GTAGATGGATGATGCATCCCGTCAATAACATCCGGGAACAGTGAACAAATCGGAGCCCAAGGAATGCGCCCTTTGCTGATGAAGGAATTAAGAGGTAAACCCCCCCCGAGGTCACAGTTGAAACGGGGAGGAAGTGAATGAGATGAGATAAGATGAAATAAAAAAAAATGAAATTTAATGAAAGGAGATAGGACGGAAATTACGGAGTACTGTAGAATTGAAAAGCCACAAGATGAGAGTACAGAAAAAAGCAAAGAGGCAGCCTTAGAGGGAAGGGGTAAAGGAAAGAAATGATAGATCGATCGCAAGCATCAAAGCCGGAAGAAGAGCCGGCATTCCCCCCGGAACTGTTTGCAGCCTTCCATTTTCCTTCATTCCCACGTCGGGCCGATACTGTCTAGTTCACATGCAAAGGGGGAAGGTAAGGAGTGGAATGTAGATATGGTGTACATGACTTCTGTATCTACTAGGTACGGAGTACTCCGTAGATTATGTGCATATGCCAGTGTACATACTGCCTCAAGGTGGGTATAGAGTATCCAGTATCCAGAGTATCCATACTGAGGATATGTGTATGTACACTTCCACTCCGACCTCATCGGAACTCTAGACAAAGTGGAGCAATCGATGCTTCCATGGGCCTTCCATCGTCTCAGAAGGGGAGGCTGTCGCGCGAGAGGCCCCCACTCGGCCAAAGACCGAAACGAGAATTGGGAAATGATAAATGATAAATGGTAAATGATTTTAAATGTAAATGGGATGTACGGAGTAGTAATATACACTGGCTTTGGGCCGTGGCAAAAGGCGCCCACATCCCCCTCTCATATCTCTCTCATATCCCATCCCATCCCTACCTCATAGGCCTCCCTCTCTTCCCCCCCCCCCGATTTCTTTTATATGCATCTCGCTCGCCCTTTCTCCAGGAACCTGGTCGGTGGATCCGCGCATACCACGCCAATCGCAGTATGCTGCGTCATGACGGACTAAACTGTCTGCGTGAGTCGTGAATCTTCCCATTATGGATTTTATTGTAAGTACAGAATACTACAGAGTACCCTGTTGTACTTGACCCCAAACCCATCATGTCATGTCAGCCATTCGCCTCACCTTCGCCTTCACCTTCGCCCTCATCTTCACTCTCACCCTTGTCACCGTCGCTGTCGCCTCGTTCCTCTCCTAATCATGGCTTCAATACAGCTTTCCCTGACGCACTTCTGCGAAGTGCATGGGCCTACCTCTATCATCTGCTCTCAAGTCGTCCCTTTCTCCTGTAATCAATGCCATCCCGACCACGATGAGGCCACCACATCCACCACCTCCTCTTCTCCCCGCGAGTCTACTTCACCAGACCTCAGATCTACCGAGCCATCCTCCGGCTCCAAATCACCCAAGATCGAAGACCACCCGTATTTTATGCGGGCACAACAACCTACTTCCCCCGAAGATCGATCTAACAGGGTCGGCGGCGCAGACGGCGACACATGCGCCAGCTGTAGCCTATCTCTACCCGAAGGCGTGAGCAGGCAGTTACCAGCCGGAGCTCCCGGCAATCGCGACAACAAGAACAGCAGCAGCCCCGTCCTGCGATCGCGCGAAGTTGTCTACTCTTGCGGGAGCAGCCACTCCGATCTCGATGACGACACCTTCGACTCTCACGCCCATTCCTCTCCTCCGGAATCTCTGCATTCTTCTTCCGTTGCATCGGACGCATCATGTCATACCCATATTCTCACCTACCTCTCACTCCGCGGTCCCCCAAACCCCACGGACTATGCGCTTCTCCGCCGCTCCTCGATTCGTACCCTGAGTTGCGAGCTCCTCCCCCGCGGTCTGTCCTCCGGTCCTTTGTGCTTCGGCGACTCCGTGGCTGGCTACACAATTGCATACATTTTCCGCCTTCCAGACCCCATGGCGCGTGGCAAGAGACGCAGCTATGCATTGGTGGCCTTGGCCGGAAAGGATGCCGGAAGAGCTTTTCGAGCCTGCCCCATAATTTGGCGCGCATTCGGTCGGATCGCATCCAGCATTGTAAGTGCCGCGGAGCGTTTCCAAGAAGAGGAAAAGCGCCGCGAGGAACAGGCCAACTCCGCAAACAAGGCCGCTGGCCGACAGCAACCCCCTGTCTCCTCTTTCCTGACCGGTCGTGCCATGGACCCGGCAGGTAACTCGCGCCGGCTCGGTCAGATTCGTGCGCGCAATCTCGCGGAGATTGTCGGCAACGAGTACATCTTTACTGAGCTTCACGCCCACTTCGTTGCGTTGCTACAGCAGCTTGGCACGATGTTTGGGGGCATTCCCATCTCCGACGAACGCTTTGTTTGCAGTACTGTTGGAGACGAGGCAACTGCTGGCGCTGACCAGCCGGTTCTCGTTTCCACAAGTGCAGAACGCGCCAAGAAACGTCAGTCTACATCGAATTACGATGGCAATGATCTTGAAATGGGCAAGCTCAACGTCACCTCCGGCCCTCAGCCGATTCCCATCACCACCCGACGGTCCGTTGTGGCCTAAGCATTACTTCATTTTTCATCCGCACCTCCTTTCGAGATACCCCGGTTGCTTCGACTTCTGCGAGGCATGTTTCCTTTCGCCTCAAAATAATTGTTTTCGAACCACGCCCTGTTCCTCCCAATTGTGCTTACAAGCGATGCTGTCATATTACGGCCTGGTTCGTTTTGCATATCTCAGCTTGATCTCTTCATCAACTTTTTTTCATCCTCTTTTTTCTTCTTTTCCGCATGATGATTATTACTATTTGGGCATAGACTATGGCGTCTCACAGACAAGGAGATCGGAGTTTTTTTGTTCTGCTTTTCACGAATCCCTTTTCGTTGCCTCTTTTCCCGCTTCCGTCTCTTTTCCCTTTGGGATTATTCCCCTTCTCTCTTGGATGCCACTCGCACATTCTTCTCTTCCAAAGACGAGTGGATCCTGTCACCTCACTGGAGTGGCAGTTTTATCACTTTCAGGCGTTTCCTCGCGCTGCCTTACGATTGACCGTTTGATGATTTCCAACGAGGCATTCAAGAGACATGTATTCTATGTACTATTCGAACACGATTACCAAAAAGCCACCACTGGCTTATTTTGAATTTTGAACATATTTCCCGCGTATTACTTAATATTAAATCCTCAAAAGCAACACCTCGGCGCATCTGTAGTACTTAATACAGATCGATTTCAAATGTACTCCGTACATTTCGCCGTATAGTTCGGAGGATGTAACTCCGGTGGAACTAACCGGTTTCGGTTCTTCCGACCACCCGGGCCACAATCAAAAATCCCACCAAAAAGACGTCCAGGGAACAAAGCAAAGACCCGCATTCACATCACCCCCTCGTTAACAGCAAAGATGGTCGCTTTCGACAAGTGTGAAACCCGGCCGGCGCATATCGATGCCATCCTCAATGGCCTCGACCGGTACAACCCCGAGACCACCTCGGTCTTCCAGGACTACATCCAGCAGCAGTGCGAGGACCGGTCCTTCGACTGCTACGCCAACCTGGCTCTGCTGAAGCTGTAAGTTGGTCGGCTTTCTTATTCTCTTCAGCCGCATTTGAAAAGCATGTGCACCGATTTATATGATGAACGAACTTTTTCATACACGTTTCCTATTACCTGACAACCTGTTACGTACGGGGCAGTTGAGAACTTTCGAACTTTCTGAAACCAAACCAATATATCTCATTGGAATTGGAATCGCGTGTATCATATGCTCGAAAAGTCGCTATTTGCTTTTGTTGAATCCGGGACGAAATATAGGAGTTCAGCTGGGCTAACATGGCATTGAACCCACCAAATAGCTACCAGTTCAACCCCCACCTCCTCCAAGCCGACACCGTCACCAATGTTCTGGCCAAGGCCCTGACCGTCTTCCCTTCTCCCGCCTTCTCGCTCTGCCTTGCTCTGCTCCCCACTCACACTCAGCCATTCCCTGCCACTTCCGAGGCCCAGGCCGCCTCCCAGACCTCCGACTTCGTTGAGTCCGTGCAGAAGCTCGCCCGTCTCTCGACCCTCCTCGAGTCTGCCCAGTACACCCAGTTCTGGTCCACCCTTAACTCTGACGACCTCTACGCCGACCTGACTGCCGATGTCGCCGGCTTCGAGGAGCTCGTCCGGATCCGCATCGCCGTCGAGGTTGGCAAGACCTTCCGCTCCATCACCGCCGACTCTCTGGAGCAGTGGCTCGATGTGCGCGGCCGTGACGCCCTCGCCAAGTTCGTCGCTGATGTCTGCGACTGGAAGGTCGAGGGTGACGTTGTCACCGTCCCCACCAACAAGGAGAACGAGGCCCGCAGCGAAGTCAAGAGCGAGCGTGTCGGTGTCGACATGTTCGGCCGTGTCATCCGCCGCGGTTTCGAGCAGGCCGCATAAGCGGCTTTTTTCTTTCCCTCTCTTCACCCACCACCAACTTTCAAACCTCAACTATTCATCTTTCCCTTTCCCCGTTTTAACCTTTTTTTCTCCGTCCTTTCTCGACTGTGCGAGGGAGACCCCAAAAAAGAGAGACATGAGTTCATGAATCCCCGATCCGTCTATGACTATGAGGCGGTGATAGAGTTCGCATGGAGGAGGCTCGGAGATGAGTCGGGATCTGGCGCAATCTGGCGTTTCCTTTCCTCGATTTATTTTGCCCCCCTTGTTTTGTATTGGGATCCTGTGTTTTGTTTCTTTTCTGAAATGAGCGGACGATGACGGGATGCGTGAGATGCCCATGTTCATACCATACCTCCTATGCCAAGTTAACCTAGCTAAAGGTTGACCTGCTACAATATAAAACATACAGAGTCAATGAATGCTTCAAAAGTAAACAGTAGTAGTAGGCAGCTTCCCGATATTGAAACATACTACTAGTAAATACTCCATAATGGATGCCAGGGCTGGCTATACTTCCAGATCAAAACCAAAGTATGCACATATGAAATCTATTTTTATGCCAGCCCTCTCCTCGAAGGCTCTCCCACTACTATCAGCTCCCAGACGGGGTATATCAACTACATCTATTTCATCTCCTCCCACTGCACACCAGCCCACTCCTCTCTCCAACCAACAACGCCAATATTCTGCGGCGCGCAGTCCTTCGCACAAACACCCATAATAATAGTCCCCCACTCCATTCCCGAATCATCCTTACCCAGTCCCACACCCTCACGTCCATCCTCAAGCACGCTAATCGCATGCGGCGTAAGCTGAAGCTCAAACACCCGCTCACTACCACAGTACTCGCAATGCGGGATACTACCCCGAGCCGTGGTGGTCACCTTACTAACGGTAGGATCAGGATGTAAGCGCTTGCCCACCTGGTCCGCGTAGTTATACAGCAGCGGCGCACCGCGGTACTCGTAGCGCAGGATTTGCTCAGGGTTATGCGCGAGGCGGGTGGAGAATTTCATAAAGGCCTTATCGAGCTCCGACTCGAATGTATCCTTCAGATCGCCGAAGCCAGAGGCACCGCCGTCCTCGTCCATGGGCTCCATCTGTACATTATCTGGGACTGTGGGTGTCGAAGGCCGCGAGAGAGTCCTCATACTCCGCATCCAGGAAGAAATTCTGATACGGGACTGGGAAGGCGGACTGCGTGGGCCAGGGTGTCTGGGAGTCTGCAGACTCGGGGGTCTGTTTGGATGCTGCGGCGGGGTTTGTGGACGTCGTACTGGACTCGTCTTCTGGGGATGAGAGACGGACCTTGTCAGCGAAGGAATCGGCCAGCGCGTTGGTTTCGCTCTTGGTGGGGGTTGGTGATGGTGCGGGGGCAGCGGATTTCGGCATCGCGAAGGGATTGGCGCCGCCGGCTGCTGGTGCGCCGAAGTTGGAGGAGAAGGGGTTTGCATTCGCGGAGACACTACCTGTCAGAGATGTGGCTCCGAATAGACTGGCGCCAAGGTCTTGCTTTGGTTTCTCAGGAGCAGGTGTGGGCTCGGGGGCCTTTTCGACGGGCTTCTTCTTTTCCTCCTGTTTGTGGGCCTGGGGGTTTTCCAGGTTGATTTTGCGAGTTGAGCGGTATGCGCGGATGCTGCCTGGCTTGCGATTGCATGGCTTTCTCGGGCATCCGAAGAGGTACAGTCGGCGCTCGTCGTTGGGAAAGTGATCGGGGAGATCGCCGTGTAATTCGAGAAGCAGGATCAGAGGTTGGTTGCAGACTTTGCAGTTGGCAAAGTCGCCGGGAGGAGGGGTAGACTCGTCAAGCCATTTCTAATTTGCAAGCCATGATTGTTAGCATCTTGGGCATGAATATTGAATTTGTGTTCAATAGAAGCATACCGGCCAGCCGCCCAGGTGACTGATTGTGTCTTCGATGACTTCGTCGTTGGCGTATCCGAGGAGAACACCGGTCTCGGTGAAGTCCTCATCGATACTGGAGTCACTATCGTAGGGATCCATGGCGGTAACTTGGGTCAATGATCAATTGTGAAGACAGAGAGTTCCCATGCGAAGCCCCGCCGTTCAAAAAAATGCTGCGATAAGCGATACGCCCCACCATGCCCAGCCCAGTCATTTAAGGTACTAGTTGTACGGTAATTACGGTATGTATTCCATCCCGTGATGATCGACCTCCTCTCCTCTCCGCATACTTCCACTGCTTGCATCAAATCAAGCAGCCTGAGAGGATGTATTTCACCCAGGACTGGAGCTACTTGTGGCTTCTCAACGCATTGATCGCCTTCATTCCAAGCAGTTATGCGGCTCAGCAGCAGCCGTTGCAGCTAGCTACAAATGACGTCTCCAAGCGGGTCGCTATCATCGGTAGGCACCATATGTAGTTCCTTACAATGCTCTGCAAACCATCATACGATCCCCTTTACGAATCACAATTAACCAGAAGAATAGGAGCTGGAGCTGGAGGCTCCTTCGCAGCCTACGAATTGCGTAAGCTTGCAGATGAGGCTGGCATCCCTCTCAACGTCACTATCTATGAGCGAGCCTCGTATATCGGCGGTCGCTCAACTACAGTCGATGCATTTGACGACCCAGCCTATCCAATCGAACTAGGCGCTTCCATATTCGTCCAAGTCAACGAAATCCTCGTGAATGCATCACGCGATCTCGGCCTTGGTGTACGCAGCGCTGACTACGCTCGTCCCAGGGAAGCCGAGGAATCTATCGGTATCTGGGATGGAAAGCAGTTTGTCTTCACACTCAAGAATGGCTATAGCTGGTGGAATATTGGTCGGCTCTTTTGGAGATATGGTCTTGCGCCGCTCTACACACAGAACTTGATGAAGAATATCGTGGGCAGGTTTCTGCGTCTTTACGAGGAACCGATTTTCCCGTTTCAGTCACTTTCCGAGGCTGCGGCAGAGATTGATCTGTTGGGTGCAACTTCGACACCTGGAGACCGATTTCTTGATGGCAACGGCATTGGGCAGCTGTTTTCTCGGGAGATCATCCAGGCGAGCACCCGTGTTAATTATGGCCAGAACTTGGCAGTCATTCACGGCTTGGAGTCGATGGTTTGCATGGCCACGGATGGGGCAGTGTCAATCGATGGTGGGAATTGGCAGATATTTGACGGTGCGGCCAGGGCTTCCAGGGCAGATGTGCGGTTGAACACAACTGTGACAGCAATAGAGCGGAAGGACGATGGTACAGTTCGAATTATCTCGCACCCGACAGGGGACTTGGACTCAGTGCAGTCATATGAAGATGCGGAGTACGACGACGTTATTATTGCAGGACCGCTGCAGTATTCTGGCATCTCGATATCTCCCCCATTGGACCATATCCCTGACGAAATTCCTTACGTTAAATTGCATGTTACACTCTTCTCGACTCCTCACCGCATCTCACCGTCATACTTCGGTCTTGATGGGAACAATGCCCGTACCCCAGAGTCGATTTTAACCACTCACCCGGAGGGCGACTGGCCCAGCGATGACCCATCAGGAGTCGGCCCAGCTGGATTCTGGAGCATCAGCACACTGCGCACAGTGACTCGAACAGTCGCGAAGGATGGCGAAGAATTTCCCGAGCAACATTACGTGTATAAGATCTTCTCACCTGAGCGGCCGTCCGCTAAAATCATCGCTCAAGTATTCGACATCGAATATAATGACACCAGCTCAGTAGTTGTTCCACGCACTAACACGAGCATCGGTGACCTCCCGAAGACTGAGATCAGCTGGTTCCACGAGAAGGTCTGGAATCCGTATCCAGTGTTGTACCCCCGAGTGACGTTTGAGGAAACTCTTTTGGCCCCGAAAGTGTGGTACACAAGTGGGATCGAGAGCTTTATCTCCACCATGGAGACAAGTGCACTCATGGGTCGGAACGTGGCGGCACTTATGCTGCAGTCGTGGCAGAGGCAAACTGAGCAGGGCAGTGGTGTCAATACTGCATCCTTCAAGCCGAGGACTGAACTGTGAGCTGCTCATATACTCTACCTAGTACCTTTCGTCTCGAATCATTATCATTTTGCATGGCAGATCCAGTCTGGTGTTTATTTACTGCCGAGTTGTGGAAGATCATGATAGGCATCGCAAACTTGTATTCTGCCCGGTTAGAACTAACATGTACTAGTCTAACTACTCTAAAGCGTAGTTGGAAGGTGATATTGAAGTAGACATTGGAAATAGCGTTGTCTGCGATAGTATTAGTTTATTTTCAAGCCACTCAAGTCACACTTCGTCTAGAGCCCTGATGCAATTTGTCGACTGGAGGATTGATCCCATTTTAAAAAGATGGTCCGTAGTGCAAGTTGTGGAAGATGATATTTTCTCAGATAGGTCTGCTGTCTTCGGTACAAGACATGTTGTACTACCACTCTGTCTCGCTTTCACTTGCGGGATACGCCTTCTTCCTCAACTTCCAAAGAGACTTCTCACGGCGTGCGGCTGCTTCACGCTGGTGACGACTGTTGTCCTCCACAACCGTCATCCAAGGCACATTACTAGCACGTCGTATCCTCTCACGCAGGAGAGACAGAGTCTGCTTTTGTTTTGCCTGGTCATCGGCCCCACCAACAGATCCCCCATTCTTCTTTGAACGAGAAATTGACTGCTGGTACCGTCTTTCTGCGGCCCGAGCAGAATGGTACTCTTCACTGATAGCCCAGTTAGGGTTGTCAAGCTGTCCACGCACAAGCACAATGCTGCGCCCTTGCTCTATAGTGTTGGATAGAGTTGAGGAGGGAATAGGGGTGGAAAGCTCCAGCCTGTGCGAACCAGTGTTGACAGATCGAACAATAGCCAAACCAAGACAATTGGATGACTTGGGGTCAAGGGGTGTGCAGCTTCCAGACCCAGAGAAGAGATATGGAAGATTTTCGGGGGTCCTAACGACAAGATCCTCAGTAGATGGGGCAGTTTGTCCGTTCTGTTGGTCCGAATCCATGTCAATGTCTTCGCCTACCTCAGACGCATCATGGTTGTCAGATCCAGAGGCCACTGGCGCTGATGAGGATGTACCCCAGAGCGTGCTTGGCGAATCAATCTCCACAACTGCAACAATGGCACCCTCGATCACTTCTCGGAGCATCTCCGGGTTGATTTGAGATCCCATAACCATGATACCTGAGATACCTTGCTTATCGCCGGCGTAGTCCACAGCAATGGGTCTTGTGCGGGAGAGAGGTGTTTCAGACCACAGTGGGTAACTGAGACCGACCGGATGAGACTGGTGGAAGTAGGACTGGACTTGCATTGAGCGCAGTTGGGCACTCGATCTACTGACAAACTCAGTGGGCTGAGAAGGCAGAATAGTCATCGGTACACGAGCCTCATTGGCAGCCAGGCTTAGAGGCCCAACGACCTCATAGGGCCCCTTCTCGCTCATATACACAACATCGGATAATCCGAGGCAGCCAATTAGCCATGTAGCTACTTCCAAGCCTTGTCCGAAGATCCATCCAGGATAGTTGACAATCAATGGGCATTGAGGGTACCTTGCCAGCAACGAGCGGTACTGGCCTAGTAAATCCATGATCGCCATGGCATAATGATCGGGGTCCTCTTTTGGTGATGTAGCGCCAATGTGGTGGGCCCTCAGAATTTGGCCGTCGCGGGACCCGTCAAGAGATGGATGGCTAAACGGCGGTCCAAAAAACGGAGCCTTCAAGTGAGCCAGGTAAACTTGGCCCATGGGGGCGAACTCAGGCTGACCTGGGTCCAGGTCCAAGAAGGCAACGCCATCGGTATTGACATATCCGTTCTCAGTCTCGGGTGCCGGGCTCAAAACATGGTTCAAGAGATACCGGCTAAATGTAGACTTGCCAGATGCCTTGGGACCACAAACCAGCACTCGAAGCTGTCCTTGTCTTTGAGAAAGAGCTTTCATGGAGGCACTCCATTTTTTGTCGAGATGAAGCGGTCGCAAGTGTCTTTTGAGCGAGTCATCTGCCGATGTATACAGCTAAGAACTAATTAGTTGCTGAACATCATGTTCAAAGAGAAGTGGGACTACTTACCACTGAAAAAGTCCGTCGCAAATCTTTGGCCGCCCCCTTAAGGGTGGCTTTATCCGCGGTGGTATTTTGCCCGTTCCAGACTCTTTGATACAAAGGAGAGATGTCCCGAAGTCGAGCGAGCCCGTTATTGCAGGACTTCAACTCCATTTCAGCCTCTCCATCCACACCCGAGACACACTTAATGACGGGCAAAGAGTGGGTTGAAGGAGCATAGACTCTGTAGGCCTGTGCTGAGGGATGTAACTTGGCACCCATAATACTGACGACTCCTCGCTTGATCCAAATGTCATAATGACCCAGGAGTGCTAGGTTCTGAAACCAATTAGTATGTTCTGATTAAATATTCCAATCGATTGGCACATACCATTCTCTCTTTAAGACGAACACAAAGAGTGTCCTCATCAGCATATAGAATGGTACTTTTGTTGAGGCGTGCCTTGGATAAGGGGAAATTCTGAAGCTCTGTCGAGGTATCTGCTGGGGACTCGTAGCCGTCGGCGTCACCAGCGACAGACGCGACTTCGTCTTCGCTCATTTCCTCTGGACCGTCGGCTTGGCCTTCATCAGCTTCCTCTTCCTCGTTGGTTTCTCCTTGTGCTTGAGGAACAAGGGGCCGAGCGTCCTTCTTTCGCCGTCCTTTTACATCCTCAGCCGGCAATGAAATATCTTGTTTCGTCGACGACCTTGTTCGCGGGCCTCGAGTCTCTGTCTCAATGGCTCCATTGGTCTTGCCTGCCTCGATAGATCTCCGTGGGCGCTTAGGCGGAGGCTCCGTCACAATCTCGACGTCGACATCGTTCTTTGGCGCTGAAATCTGCGCTTGCTGCTGCCGAGCTTTGCGCGCCGCAACGGCGCTCATGGGGGCTGCGTGGGACATTAATGCGGGTTCGGTGGTCGCACGTTTAGTATACGTATTTCGTACCAGCAGATTGTTGTTTCTCGGCCTTTCGCTTCACCATATCCAATAATTGAGGCGACTCCTGTAGGATTGAAGATCGAGCTTGATCGGAGAGGTCGATAATGCGGCGAAGCTGCCGATAAGCAAAAAAAATGGCAAGTGGTCCGTGCTCCCGCGGAGCAGAAAAAAAGATTGGCCATTCAACTCCAAACCCTTCAACATTGCAGACACTGGGCGATCAGAGATCATTGCGCTGTCAATCGCCTCGGAGATTTTACGCCTGGCTCTTAAAAAGAAGCCCTCGCTCAATTATTTCCCGCCCACCTTATATTGCGGGTACTCTTCGCAACCAACGCGCATCGTTGCGGATAACGCCGTTTAATTCCAGTGCCTCACCAACTGAAAGAAGCACCATGGCCGCCTCCTCTTCATCCGATAGCGACAGCAGTTCGAGCCGGTCCACGTCGCCTGAGCCTGACAACAAGCAGAAGCAGACCTTGAAGGGGGTATCGAAGGCGAAGGATGTTGCTGAAGATTCCGATTCCTCCGATTCCTCCGACTCCTCCGACTCCTCCGACTCCTCCGACTCCTCCGACTCCTCCGACTCTTCAAGTTCTGATGATTCGAGCTCTGATGAAATGGACACAAGCGAGGATGTTCCACAGACCAAGAAGTGAGATATTCTGTGATTTGAACTCGGCCGCGCAACAAGCTAAAGCAGGTTCTTTTAGGTTGACTTCTTCTGAACCGAAGACATACAAGGCGCCGTCCGGCTTCAAGCTCGCAAATAAGCAAGCCGCTCCAGCCTCTAGCACCTCCTCTCTTCTCTCCAACTTGCGCGGCAAGCAAATCTATCACATCTCCGCCCCGGCCTCCCTTCCATTGTCCAAGGTGAAGGAAATTTCCATGTCGAAGATTATGAAAGGCGAACCCATCCTCGAATTCGAGGGCGTGAAGTACGGAATTCCCGCCGAGTCAATTACCGAGGAAAGCTCGGAAGGAAAGAGTCTTCTTGTATATGATGAGAGCACCCAGACCTACGTCAGCAAGTCTGAAAACGTCCCCAGTTATCAGATCCAAGAGATGTTCAACCTACCAGGCGCAGACATTACTGCGGTTGAGGCATTGCGCGATGCAGTCAAGCCACCTCGACCCCAACCAAAGAAGTTGAGAATGCGCTTCCGTCCCGTTGGTAGCCTTCCTAGCGCACCCGAGACGCTTGGATCCAGCTCGGAGTCAGAATCCGATGAACCTTCTTTCAAGGCCCCGGCAGGAGATAGCGAGGAGAAGCGCAAGAGGAAGCACCATCACACTGAGGGCGATGCTACCCAAGCGACCGGTCTTCCCCGAAAGAAGTCAAAGAAGCTCTCAGCTCATGAAGATGCACCCATCACAGAGGAGAGCAAGAAATCGAAGAAGTCATCTAAGGACCGCGAGGAGAAGAAGCGGAAAAAGTCCAGCAAGGCATGAATTGGCGTTATGGTTTGATTAGCTAAAAGATATCTTTGTTACTACGATTTACAAGACTTCAATGTACACTTTACCACTTGAAACTTTCTCTACGAGAGCCTCCGTTGCCTCTGACCACAGGATAAACAAATTCAAAGCAATTCACTCAAGTTGTTTTGGTATTTGATGGATTCTCCTGTCTTGGAGAAAAGGTCCACAGAAACAGAGTCAACGCTATCGACAACCGCGTTGAATGATCTAAATCTGACAATGGCACCTTACGAACGTTGCTTGACGTTAGCGTGAAAGTTTTCATGAACGCTAACAAGCTGCACTTTCTTGCCATCCTGACCCAAAACAGTGCCTTTCTCGCCATCGTCAGATGAGTTGCGCTCGGCTGCCTCCCATTCGGTTCCAGCGGCCACCTCGAGATTCTTCCCTCGTGTCTCCTTGACAAAGAACCAACAGAAGATGGTGGCTAATACATCGAATCCCATGAATATCAGAAATGTGTTGGCACCAACATTCTGAATCATATATGGACTCGCGAAGGAGAAGCAGAACGAAGATGCCCAATGCGCCAGCATACTGACAGCCAGGCCGAGCGCACGAATGCGTGTCGGAAATATTTCAGGAACATAGGCCCAAGGAAGTGGACCCCATGAACAGTTATAAATCTGAATTCTTGTGAGCAAATGATCTATTCAAGAAAAGCCAATAGTGACACTTACCATGATGTCCAAAAAGATCATTGCCACTGTAGCCCTTCCGGCAGATGTCACATTGGTGGCTGATTGAGTGGGAATAAAGTCCACGATCAACGCAGTAATCAGCATGCAAATTGCCATCAGTGCCGATCCGCTGACTAGAGTCATGCGGCGACCGATACGTTCAGCTAGAACCCAAATAAAGAAGGTACATGCGATGACCTTGACGGCACCAAACAGTCCAGTAAGTAGCATATTGCGATTTTCATCATTTCCAGCTATGAGCTTGAAATATTGCGGCGCAAATACAGCCAAGGCGCTACTTCCAGTAGCGTTCTGGAAGATAAAGAGGACAGGGCCAATGATAAAACGAAGACGATTAGCCGGTTCTAGAAGCTCGCGATAGGAGAAATTCTCCCTCTCAGTCTGCTCAGCCTGAAGACCGAGTTGCGTTTCGGTGAACTCTTCACGCGTCTTCGGAGTATCACCGCCACGGACCCAGGTGATAGCCTTCCAGGCATCATCAGTGCGGTTCTGAGTCAAGAGCCAACGGATAGATTCTGGAAGCGTCAAAGTAGCGATTAAGAGAATGCCACCAGAGATCAACTGCAGGGCGACAGGGATCTGCCACTCGCGGGATGTGCCAGCAATTGAAGGGTTCTGGGCAACTCCCTAGGACGAAATGTCAACACCCGTGCCAATAGAAAAGATTAAAATATTGTTGGAAGTACTACTTACATAGTCGACCCAATAAGCCAGAAAGACACCCCAAGCGTACAACCATTGATAGAAAGAACCACATCGACCACGAATCTCTTTAGGAGTCATCTCTGCCGAGTACATAGGGATGACCACACTCTGGCCACCCATGCCCAAACCCGATATGATACGGCCGACGTACCAGGCTCCTAGTGAGTGTGTCTTATTGACTTGGATGATCACACCAATGACAAAAAGAGCAGTTGAACCAATGATACATACTTTACGCCCATACTTGTTGGTCAAAGGGTAAACGAGCATGGCTGCAACGAACGAGCCCAGTTGTTCCAGACCGACAGTCAAAGACGAGACTTTGGACTTGTGGGCTGCGGTGAATCTGAAATCATCCTGAAAGGACTTGTAGGTCAAGATGCCACCTGCAATACCGGAATCATAGGCTGAAAGGAATGATGAGATGCTAAAAGAGCAATGATTGCCCAGGTGGTCAATTATTTGTTCATGACTTCTCACGCCCTGTTTGTTTTATACTAGATCATTTTGGTCGATGAGAAAACTTACAAAACAATAGCAGTCAAGTGATAGGCACGCAAAGTACCCTGTCGAGTATTCAGCTCGGGAATTGCTAAAAAGCCCATACTAGTGACTGGGAGTGAAAGCCGTCCTGATGCGAGATCACTAGAGCCAAGGCGTGGTCATGGCGGCACATATAAAGCTTCGTATCAATACCCAGGCTTGGTGAGGAGCAATGAGGGCGATTTTGCGTGCTTTCCCATTTTTCTCCAATAGAAACAATATGTTCTATAGATAACCGTCGGATTGTGGTCAATTGTGGTCGAATGGGGGCCAATGTTCTCGCCAAAAAGCACGCCTTCGCCTACAACGATGATGTTACGGAGCCGACAGGCGACAGGCGGCCATAGTCCAACCTCATTCAATGTGATAAAACAGAGTAGTGTTAAAGAATTCAGAACAAGCAAGACATATTTCCGTGCCCGAGGCCGGTAGCCGAGCGTACGACGGCAGTAGATGTTGGTTTGGTGATATGATGCGATTTGATGTGATGCGATGCAGGGGTCCGTGGGGAGAAAAAGAAAGCGACGGGACTAGAAAGCCCCTATCACTCTTTCAAGGGTAGGGAGTACAAAAAATCAGCAATGCTTTTGGTAGCAACCTGTCCATATTCAAAAAGGCAAGACTCGAACATTCTAACTTACATGAAACCATCGAGGATCCTCTTAACTATAATGGTGGTCACGATGATTTACATAGTTGAAGATCCACCTTGATATAGGATTCCCCGTCGATCTTCCCCACCAGCGCTACTAGTAGAGCTGGAACTGGAACTGCTGGGTCAACCAGTAGCAAAGAAACCCAATATGGTGTCTTTTCATCAAAGCCAACCCCACAATAAACAGCAGAAACAAGATGTGTATCAATACCATATGATCCCATGGTCGATGCCGCCATCAAAGAATGTGAATGACATAAGCCTTGTCAGGTGACAACGGCATCAGCTGCGATGGGCGCGGTATTGAAAGCCTCACATGTGATCCGCCTCACTTTTTCTCCTGGATTGGCACCACTCTCTCTGACTCACTTTCGTTTGCAAGTGCATATCTCTTCCGTCTTTAATCTTTGTGCACGGCGATGGCGCATTCCTGACCCTCTTAGCGGATCCTCTGATTAGCTTATCGATCCCGTTGAGCTTCTCTTATCGCTGGGAAGCTCCGCTTCGTCCATACATTATCATCGCCATCCCATTCTCTAGGGTAGCTGTTCCCAGAGTTGGGCTTGCCATTTGAAGTCTGACCGCAGAGAAGCTTCCACGTTGATATGACCCCGTTGAAGACCCGCCTCTTGGCCAGACTTGACACTGAACCCGCCTGACGTGGGCACTCATCCTTCCCTCTATCAGCCTGAGCTGTCACCTGCAACCTCCACCCCCCCTCCCTTTACGGTCCCGACCGCTGCACCCCCAGGGTTCCCGTCCTATACCCTAGCAACTTGTCACCCTTTTGTCTATCATTCAACGTCTTCTAAATCTGCATCCTATACCTCTTATACCTTCTCGATGAAGCCCTCAATAGACGACGCCAAGCGGCGGGGCGATCACCGCTTGAGCGCGAGCATGCGGCCTACTACCTCTACACATAGATATTCTTTCGATCGCTTGCCTGAGCGCTTCAAGGATGGCGATGATGCTCAGGTTGACTATACTGCACCGCCACAAGCCATGGGCTCTCGGGATGGCAACGCTCACTATATGCAACAGTCGTTATTTGGCATGATCGCAGCAGTCGGCTCTCGATCCGACTTTCGTGGGCGATTTGATGATTTAAGCGACAGCGATGGCGAACCTGATGAGACCCCACAAGAACTTACAAATTTGAAGCCTGTCAGCCCAACAGGCTCCCCCGACCAACTCCAACCGGACAAAGGTGCAGAAGCAAAGGCTCCAGATGGGAGTCGAGGACGGCAACATCGAAGGACAACCTCTGAAAACAAACTTCTGCGGAAAGTTCCGGGTTTTGCGTCGAAAGAAAGAACAGACGATCCGTCTAACCTCAGTGCATCGACCCTCACGATTCAGCCAAGACGCACACGCAGTGCCACGCCGCGAGCCGCTCCAATCCTCACCCGCATGGTACAAGCACAGAGCCGTTTCGATAGCGGGACTACAGCAGAAAGGATGTCAACAAGACCGGGAACTCCAAGTGAAGACCGAGAGGACTCGTCTATACCGGCGCTCTCTACTCGACTGATGGAAATGTTCGGGTTTGAGAGACCGGAGAAGGTCTTGGTGGAGTATGCTTGCTCCTTCCTGCAGAGCATGCTTCTTCCGGGCTACATGTATGTCACAGAAGGACATATATGTTTTTATGCATATCTCCCGAAGAAGTCCAACGAGCCTAGCAAGTCTGGTTATGTTTCGAAGCGTGGCCGAAAGAACCCAAAGTACAATCGCTATTGGTTCGTCTTGAAGGGCGATGTCTTCTCATATTATGCAGACCCCTCGAACCTTTACTTCCCAAGTGGCCATGTGGATCTGCGATATGGAATATCAGCTTCTCTGGTGGGGTCAAAGACTGATGACACTGATGCGAAGGACTTCCAGGTTTCCACTGATCAACGAACTTATTACTTCCGAGCAGATAGCGCTACCAGTGCCAAAGAGTGGGTAAAGGCGCTACAAAAAGTCATCTTTCGGTCCCATAACAGGGAGGACAGCGTCAAGATCTCATTCCCAATCGAGAACGTCATTGACTTGGAGGAAAGCCCAATGGTTGAATTTGCAGAGACCTTCAAAATTCGGGTGATTGATAGCGCGGAAACATTCGCGATAGATGAAGTAAGTCTGCGTGTTTCATCTTGCTCCGTTACATCTGCTAACAATTTCTTCGAAGTATTTCTTTTCCTTTTTCAATTCAGGACAAGACGCTTTCAATTACCTCAAAAGCCTGGTGACTTCGTCTCCTGTGAACAATAGGCAGGAAGAATCCCCGAACAAAAGCGATGGTAAAGGTCGACAAGTGTCGGGTACTTTCGACATGGGGAATCCACGAAGACGCAGTGTCAGTGTCGACAACAATTTGAAGGGCTCTGCAGACTCATTCGCCCATTCTGCCGATCAAGAGACTGAATCATCGCGTGTCGTACAATCGCTAACGGAAACAACGGAATCTGCAAGCCAAATCCTCAATCGAAGTGATGTCTTTCAATCTCCAACCATGCATTCTTTGCCGAGGCGCTCATCTGATGTGGGGGATATCGGCCGACGCCGGTCGGACGATACAGCTCGCTCTGCAACAGCTAGATTGAGCCATGTCGCTCACCTAGCCGGATCAAATTACCCGGATAGAAATGCTGAAAACATCCCTTTCGCGTCGGGCTCCGAAATCCAGAAGATGACGAATTCCCAATACCACACGAATGTACCTCTTAATGATCTTGTCAAAGCCGGCGCATATCCTCTTCAGCGAGCTGCTGGATTCGCAGAATACTTGAAAAGCAGGTCTAAGCAGATGAGCAGTTTGCTGGCAACAGAATCAATGGGTTATATCGAAAAGGTTTCCGGCATGTGGGCTGGTGGCCAAAGACATTATGGCGAAACAGAAGAACTACTGCCCGATGACAAGACTGCGGATCCCGAAGACCATGAAAGTGGCCTGAACCATGGCGATCGTTTCCGACAGCACTTTGGCCTTCCTGCGACCGAGAGATTGCAGGCGACATACTATGCATACTTGCACCGCGTGCTCCCGCTCTACGGCAAAATATACCTCAGCGAAAGGAAGCTATGCTTCCGGAGTCTGATTCCTGGCACTCGAACGAAGATGATTCTCCCACTCAGAGACATTGAGAATGTCGAGAAAGAAAAGGGATTCAGATTTGGCTACCATGGACTAGTCGTCATCATTCGCGGTCACGAGGAACTGTTTTTTGAATTTAAGAGCGCTGGCGCTAGAGATGATTGTGCCGTCACCTTGCATCAGGATCTCGAATCGGTCAAATTCCTCATGGAATCAGGCATGCTAGCAGAAGAAGAACGCGGAGAGGTCGAAGCTGCGAAAGATGAGCATCGTCTTTTGCAAGAAGCTAGACTTGATGGCCCCGAAGAACACGATTTCCGACCAACGCTAAGCGAAGATTCGTCTGAAGTGAACCCGTTCTTTGACGATACACGTGCTTCGATCATAAATTTCAAGCCTACGGATTCACTTAAAATCACCTGTCTTACTATTGGATCTCGGGGTGATGTGCAGCCATATATTGCCCTTTGCAAGGGGCTTCTTGCTGAAGGCCACAGGCCAAAGATCGCCACACACGCTGAATTTGAGCCTTGGATTCGGAAACACGGCATTGACTTTGGTCCTGTCGATGGAGATCCCGCTGAGCTGATGAGAATTTGCGTTGAGAATGGCATGTTTACTTACTCTTTCCTTCGGGAGGCCTCCGCCAAGTTTAGAGGGTGGATTGATGACCTTTTATCATCATCTTGGGCGAGTTGCCAAGGTAGCGATCTTTTGATAGAGTCGCCTAGCGCTATGGCCGGAATTCACATTGCAGAGGCTCTTCGAATCCCCTACTTCCGAGGCTTCACTATGCCATGGACAAGGACTCGCGCCTACCCACATGCTTTTGCAGTGCCGGAGAATCGTATGGGAGGAGCCTACAATTACATCACATATGTCATGTTTGACACCGTTTTCTGGAAGGCGATTGCAGGTCAGGTTAACAGATGGCGAAACAACGAATTGGGGCTCAAAGGTACCAATTTGGACAAGATGCAACCGAACAAGGTTCCTTTCCTGTATAATTATTCGCCTTCTGTGGTGCCCCCGCCACTCGACTATCCGGATTGGATCCGTATCACTGGGTATTGGTTCTTGAACGAAGGCTCTGACTGGACACCCCCTGCTGATTTGGCAAATTTCATTGCTCGAGCTCGTGCGGATGGCAAAAAGATCGTCTACATCGGATTTGGGTCTATCGTGGTCTCGGATCCGGCTGCACTGACAAAAACGGTCATTCAATCGGTCCAGAGGGCGGATGTTCGATGTATCCTTTCCAAAGGATGGTCCGATCGTCTTGGAGACCCCTCTAGTGTTAAGGCAGAGGTTCCTTTGCCACCTGAGATTTTCCAGATCCAGTCTGCACCACATGACTGGCTCTTCTCGCAAATTGATGCGGCTGCACACCATGGAGGGGCCGGTACCACTGGTGCCAGTCTCCGAGCCGGTGTGCCTACGATAGTGAAACCATTTTTTGGCGACCAGTTCTTCTTTGGAGGACGAGTCGAGGACCTAGGCGTTGGTATCTGTATGAAGAAACTCAACGTTAGTGTCTTCTCACGAGCACTCTGGGAAGCAACGCGCAGCGAAAGAATGATTGTCAAAGCACGGAATATGGGCATTCAGATTAGAAGTGTAAGTCCACGAGCTAGCCCGAGAAGTAGATACGACGCTAACATCGATTCCTACATAGGAGGACGGCGTGGCTACCGCAATCCAATCTCTTTACCGTGATCTGGAGTACGCCAAGACCCTTGCGAAACAACGCTCTATCGCCTCATCTACCCCTTTCTCTCCAACCCCTTCAGCGAGGGCGGCACCGCATCATGACGATGACGATGTTGACGATATTGAGGAGTGGACTTTCATATCTGAAGCTGAGAAACTTACCCCGGGCATTTTTAAATGACGCCCTTCACCGGCACCTTTTCCAACACCGCGTTTCATCTATTTCACCTTGGAAACCTGGTCTCATACTCTAATGATTTAATGGGCGAGAACTTCCATGACTTATGACTGCATGATACCTTTGCTGGAGTTCATGGCGTATCCTACACAGCGTGTTCTTGGGTTGACATTTTGGGCATGGTTGAATACACCCTGCTTTTATCTATAATCCCCTAGATCTCTTTTTACTGCAGATTTGCTCTCAATCGATCATTTCCCGCTACTGCTACAAGTACTAGTACATAATTATTGTGAATATTTGAAATCCTTCTTAGACCATGCCCACTCCACGAAGCCCCACCATTTAACCACTTTCCGACTCTCTCCCGGACTACTTGGTCTCGTAGATGCCGATAATCCCTACCGACTTTCCAGATTGGCAGAACAGCCGGTGATAACTCCTCGATAACCCCACATTATCCCCGCATTATCCAGCGATGAAACTGCTTGTGCGGATTGAAGTTACACCATTTAGGCATATGCCATTTTCGCCCCGCCAGATTTCCGAAGAGCAAGGACGCGGAAAAGGCGATTTTCTGGTAATTCGCCCCAGTTGCCGTCAGTTTGGGCTGATTAAGTTTGAAGCTTTGGGAATAAACTACCGCCATTTCTTACCGACAGCTAATTGATCTTCACCGGCCCCTCCTATTAGGTGTGTAGTTTGTACTTTTAAGCTTCAAGTTTGTTTGTTAAATTTTATGGAAGGGTAGATCTGCCAGGTTTATAAAGCAGCTAGTGTTCCCGAAGTGCAACCGACATCACAGCACTTGCATTACAAAAGAGCTTCGATTAAGTAACTCTCGAATTGTCAGCATGGGGCTTGGCAACATAACATCTGCGCTGCTATCCCTCAATTTGTTTGTTGGGACTCGGGCTTCAACCTCACTATTCTGCACGAAAGATACATTTTCCTCTCTAACCTTGGATGGCATTCATGTGGCCTCTCTCAATGTCACCGCCGCTAGCGGCCTTCCAATTAGCGGGTACCTGAGTACCGACGATAGCACCGGTAGCCGCAGGCAAATGCCACCCACCGTGGATATTTGCTTGGTTACATTGACATATACGCACCCGGGAACAGGTGATAATGTCAACACGTATATTGGGCTTCCACTCGATGCTGAAAATTGGAACTCACGATTTCTCATGGACGGAGGTGGAGGTTGGGTAGCAGGAGGTCAAGAGAAGGTTCTCACGCCTGTTGGACTAGGTTATGTGTCGTCGTCGACAGACGGAGGACACAATGCATCTACCACTACAGCCCAATGGGGACTGAAAGCTCCCGGGAAAACGAATTGGCCTGCTCTTGAAGACTTCGCCAGCAGAGCTTTGCATGAAGCTGCCCTTCTGGGGAAGATGGCTATCAAGTTATACTACAAATCTGAACCTCGATATTCGTATTGGAATGGCTGCTCTACAGGTGGCCGCCAAGGTCATATGATGGCCCAGAATTATCCTGAGCTTTTCGATGGTATAGTTGGGGCTGCGCCAGCAATCAATTGGGATAAATTCATCACGGCTGAATTTTGGGGTGCCTTCATGGCGAATATCCTTGGTAATTATCCCTCGGGTGATAATCATAGTAATGGATACTCATATAGTACACACAGACGTCCAGCCTCCTTCTTGCGTGTTTTCGGCCTTTAGAGATGCCGCGATACAGGCCTGCGATCTTCTCGATGGCGTCAAGGATAATATTATCGCCTTGCCAGGTCAATGCCACTTCCGAGCTTCTTCAATTATTGGCCAGACTGTGGACTGTATCGAGCCAAATGGCAAGGTCATTATCACGAAAAATATGGCAGACCTGGTTCAAGCTATCTGGGATGGTCCACGATCAACGGAGGGCAAGTTCGAATGGTTCGGGTTCCACCAAGATACAAATCTTTCGAGCATTCTCTCCTCATCATGTACTTCGGTGGACGACTGCACACTGGTGCCCTTTAGCATCGCAGATGACTGGGTGAAAGTATTTCTAAAACGAAACGCCGATTTCGACACAGATACGCTTACACTTCAGGATTACACCTCTCTCTTTCACCAATCGATAGACCAATATGCCTCGATAATCGGTACGGAAAATCCGGACTTGACGAAGTTGAAGCGGGCCGGAACTAAGATGATTACCTGGCACGGCATGCAAGACCAACTTATTATGCCAAACGGCACTGTTGACTACTACAACCGTGTTATGAGCGGTGATCCCAACGTTGCAGATTACTATCGCTTCTTCTTGGCGCCTGGCGTTGAGCATTGCCATAGTGGTACGGGCTTTGACCCTAGTGCCACCACCTTTGATGTATTGAGAGGCTGGGTCGAAAATGGTACAGTGCCCGAGACATTGATGGCCACTGCTGCGGCAGTTGGAAGCTCGAATACCTCTTTTACGCGAACGGGGAACCTCTGTTTATATCCCAAAGTCTTCACCTACACTGGAAACGATCCCAATGAGGCATCTTCATTCTCGTGTGTTTGATGATATAAGACTATTCAGTCGAATCGATAACAGGCAGATGGAAGAAATAACGTATTTTTTTGTTCAATATTTGATCTTGGAAAGCTACACTCAAATGTACTTCCTTCCCAGTTCCCGCCAATCTGAGAATACGCTGAAAATGCAGCCATCCTACTGTATTTTCCGTAGATGCCGTATTATAAATCAAACCGAAGGATGGTAGCATCTTTTTATAATAATTTATTTTGAGAAATAGAAAGATATCTCCAGAAAACAGGACTGGCATCTGCCCAGATGGAAAGGTTTCTACGGGCAAAAAATCACAAATCTGTAAGTACTGTGAATAGAGTATTTTGTATTCTGGCGCACAAAGATCTCTCATGGAATAATTTAAGCCCTTTGACCATCACCCTTGCCATCGGCCTTATCTTTCCGCCGTTGCACAACGTCCCAGTTATAAACACGAGCAGTAGCCACTTCGAGAGTCTATAAGACACAAGTCAGCAAGAAAGTACCCCAGAAGAGGATAAATAAGTCTCTGCCCCATGGCCGCAACATACCGTAATCTGCTCGCGCAAGAACTCCAGGTCCTCCTCGCAGTTAGCCAAGCTCGCCTCGGCAGCAGTCAATTTCTCAGAAAGCATGGTCTCGGCCTCGTCCAGCGGGTACGCGAGCATGACATTCGCACCAAGCCAAAGATAGACTTCTTCCATATCAGTCGGGGAAATAGAGGCGCGAGAGTAGAGGGTATCATTGAGTTCGAAGTTGGTCTCGAGGTCGGCATTGGGGTTGGACTGCGAGAAGGAAAAAAAAAGTCAGAGATCGTGCCCTCAATTTCCATTATCATTATTCTTCTTCCTCTTTCTTCCGGACGGGGATTACACACCTCCTTGCGCAATTTCAAGAATCGCACCATCTCCAATGTCTTCTTGATATCGGGGATCTTCTCGCGCAGTCCAGTTCCGCGGCGCTGGGTGTTGACCTCCATAAATTGATACTTGGAGATCATCTCCTGAAACGAGCGGAGGGTCGGCTCGACCTCGTCGCGAGAGGAAACGTAGTCACTGACATTGTCGATGAAGGGCGCTACGGGGATTCCGCGCGGGTTGGTTTGTGTTGTTGCCGGCCTGGCGACATGGAGGGGTTAGTCGAGGCATCTTGAAAGAGCAGCGGTCATTGGCGGGCAATGCCCGAGATGAGGAATTATGGCATCGGCAGCATATCAAATCGATCGGGCGTAATTGATTATGGGGATGAGTGCACTCACGCTTTCGACTTGGAGTCCGCCATTGCTGTGTGAGGTGGTTGTTAAGAAGTGAAGTGGGGAGAGCTCGTTCCAAGCGCGAGTTTCGGGCTTCCGCTCTCTTCTCCGCCGATCCAACTTCGCCCAGTACCGACAACTTCCACGGCGCACCGCCTCCACCTTTTGCCTCGCCCAACGAGATTCACCTATTATGGTCCTTCTCAAAGCAACGGATCATATTCTCACTGCCCTTGAGGCAATCCCGGCTTCGCGCCGGGAAAAACTCGAGCTCCCTGCCACGCTGGAGCTCCACGGGCCGATTGCACATGAGCAGCTCCTCCGTCTATCCAAGCACCTCAAACAAGACGCCGAATATATTACGTCCCACAGCAATAGCCAAAACCCAACAATTCTCAGCTATCTCCTCCGCGGCACAAAAGTCTACGTTCCGCCTCCGCCAAAGAAACCAGAGCCGGTACGTTCTACAGATCGCTCAAAAGCTACACCTGCAACGCAGTATCACTGACATACTCCCAGAGCGCGGAATATCTCGCCTCCAAAGCACGTCTTCTCGCCGCTGCTGAACAAGCCGAATACCAACGCCTCCTAAACCCAACCTACACCCCAGGCCCAGACCACGCAGACCCTTACTCCGCCGACAATGCGCCTGTCTTCTCCGAAGACCCTCTCACCCCATCCCTCGTTTTGAATATATTTCTTTCAGTCATTATCACAGGCTTCAGTGTTTACTGGGCTCTGACGAAGTTCACGATGCCGCAGATTCTAGCCACGATGTTTGCCAGGTGGACTGGGCCGCGTGTTGATGATGAGTATCAACCGGCTGGGACGTCGGATGCGGTGCGGGTGCTTTTGTCGCTTTTTGCGGCGTTGGCGGTTGCTGTTGCGGAATCCTTCTTGTATGTGTTTTATATTGGGAAGATTGAGAGGGCTAAGGTTAAAGAGCGGAAATTCAAAGAGCGGAAGGTCTTTGTTAAAGAGGTTGACGGGGATGCGGAGACAGTTGAGGATGCTGCTGTCAATGTTGATGAAAAAGAGAAGATATGGGGCAAGGGCGTCAATGGAGGTGTACGGAGGAGAGTTCGTGAGAAATGGGAGAAGGAGAATGGGAATGATGCTCGAGGAGAGAGCTAGATTTGTGTACGAGTTAATTATTTCTACATAGTGTACTACATACTTTCGGATATACCCCACAATTTGAGAACATTAAGAAGAAGTGGATTTGTATTGAAAATAGAATGCTTTTTTGGTAATCTATGGCTAAGCTACAACGCGCTGTCTTAACTCTAACGGGTATGAATGCTGTTCAGTCATTAGTGCTCGTCACAAGGGTCACTGACCGAAAACGAGATGCGAGAATGAGATGAAAGGAAACTTCAAAAGGTGGTGATGCTGGCGATCTGCCAAAGGTCAACTTCGCCCAGATTTAGAGACAAAGGAGATGCAGGAGAAAATAAATGAAAATGGAAGGGAGATCAAACTCGTTTCTCGAGGAGGAGCTTGCCGGCCGGGCCCTTGTCACCGAAGTTGTTCTCGCGGCTGAAGATCCGCTCACCGCGGAGCCAAGTCTCGCGAACCATACCGCGCAGTGTGCGACCCTGGTAAGGAGAGCACTTGTTGCGGAAGAGCATGGTGCTGGGCTCGACGACCCACTCAGCAGAGTCGTCGAAGACACAGATATCGGCATCGAAGCCGACACGCAGGTCACCTTTGCGGGCCTCCAGGCCGACTTGAGCGGCAGTATTGGCACAGCAGAGGCGGACGACATCTTGTAGGGCCTTCTTGGTGTTCTCGTCCTCGGTGGAGGGGGTCAAGCCCTTGCGGCGGCTGAGCTCGGTCCAGAGAATAGGCAAGCCGAGGCCGACGGAGGAGATGCCGCCCCAGGCGGAGAAGAAGTCGCCGGTTTCCTCCTTGCCGGTGTCGAAGTAGCCGGGAATGTGGGAAGGAAGTTGCTTCAGGTTCGGTGTGCAAGGAGAGTGGTCAGAGACGACAGTTTTGATCACGCCATCCCCGGCGTGTTGCTCCAGTTCTTCCCACAGGCCATCCTGGTTCAGCTGAGAGCGAATAGGAGGGCAGCATTTGTGGCGGGTATCACCATCACGGATTTGCTCAGAGGCCAGGGACAGATAGTGGAAGCAGGTCTCGGCAGTGACCTTCACGCCGCGGGCACGAGCTTCACGAAGGATAGGAATGGCCTCCATGGCGGACAGGTGAACAATGTGCAACTGGAGATTGGGGGCAAGATGGGCTATGGACATGATGCTCTCTATGGCGCAGGTCTCAAACTCAGAGGGCCGCGAGTCCAGGAAGGTCGAATAGGCCTCGAGGGGACCAGTCGGGGCAGCTGGGGGCTCGGATGACTGGGCCTCGTCACCAACGGACTTGGTGACGGGGGGCACCATCTCAGCGTGGAACATCAAGGTCGTGGGCTCATCTGCAAGTTCAGCCATAGCCTTCTGGATATCCTTTTGGCCAACAGCGGGGAACTCATCAACCTGCAGTGGAGCAAATTAGTATAAGCCAGGAAAGTCATAGGGATAAGATGATCACTTACTCCACTATCAATCAAGAAACCCTTGAAACCACGGACACCCTCTTGGACAAGACCCTTGAGCTCGTGAGCATTTCCGGGGATGATACCACCGTAGAAGCCCACATCAACCCAGCACTTGCCCGAGGCAGCATCGAGCTTCTCCTTCAGACCGGCCACGGTAGTGGTGGGGGGGATAGCATTCAGAGGCATGTCAATCACGGTGGTAACACCGCCAAAGGCAGCGGCCTGGGTGCCGGTGTAGAAGCCCTCCCATTCCGTACGGCCAGGCTCGTTCAGGTGGACGTGAGCATCAACCAAACCGGGGAGGAGGACGTTGGGTGAGTAGTCGGTGTAAGGTGTATCGGCGGGGAACTCCGAAGCCGGGATCACGGAATCGAAGACGGCAGTGATCTTGCCAGTGGTGCGAGAGATGACAACAGTGGCCGAGGTGAGACGGCCGGAGATGACGGCACGCGAAGAGGCCACCACGGCAATGGAGGGGATGTTAGCTGTCGCCATAGTAGCTTGTCTGGGGGGGGCTTGCTCTTGTTTGGTTGCAGGCCAGTAGAATATTCCAATGTTTGACTCGGTAGCGGCGGCCAAGAGAGAAAGGAGGGAATAGACAAAGGTAGGTATATAAAATCAAGACAAGATGAATTCAGGGAGAGCCTGAGTTCAAGTGGGATTGGATACAGATAACAGCAAAATAAGAAAAGAGAGGCTTATCTGGAGGGGAAAAGAGGGACAAAGATAAGCAAGGATCCGGGGGAGGGGGATATAAATAACAGAGAGGGGCCCAATTCCGAATCCATTTGAGATTGAAAATTTGGGAACGGGGAAGTGCGGCCCACCTTTGAAAGCATGTCTGTGCCGAATTGCGAGTTGCCATCGAGGTTTTGATTACTCGATCCCATAAGATATGGCCATGGCCAGCCAGTCCGGGCAGTACTGCAGTCCCATGATCCATCGAATATCTTCGCCTTTGCCCGATTAAGGGAAGCCTGAGCGCAGGTACCACATCTGAGGGGAAATCTGCACGAAGTATGTTCCTAGAACATGGCATCCCATATTCTACATATCCGCGGTGATCTCCTACCCTAGGTCCGTACTGTATGTCGCCTCCTGGGCTTGCGGATCCGAACCGTGGTACTGAAAGGGAAAAAGTCTTCAGGGATGTCGCTGGTTGGATGAACCAAGTGGACATGGAGGAGCCAGATCGGTTATCGACAAGTCTCTCTGCCCCCCCTACCCTAGGATAAACGTGGGTGGTGGGTGTCTCAAGGTGGGGAGAGAGGAAATGCATCGGGCAGCTCCGATGGAGCTTTCCCGGCAGACCGCGTGCTCTGACTGGGCCGTTCAATGCCGACTTCTCTTTTATCAGCGTGTTACTCGATCAAAACTGTCCGCTTTACCCCGACTTGACATTCCTTTTACTCGATTGAAACCACAAGGGGAAAATTCTGCTTGATCTCCGAGGAATCTGCCCGTGAATGACTCCTCTCTTCCCCTCCCCGCCTGATCCTCTCCCTTCGGCGGTCTCCGCCCACCCATTGACTGGGTAGTTTTCATCGAGTAAAACAGCGCACTTGAAGGTTTAATATCTTTTCATATGAAGAATCTCCATCATCATGGTGGTGAAAGAGGGAGATGATGAGGGGTAGATATGGATGTGGAAGTTTCAAGTGATTCTCTTGCGGGGTGTGATCGTCAAGGGTTGACCTCAACTTTGCTTATGACATGTCTGCCAAAAATGCACATACAATATACAGGGGACACTCACACTGTGCGCGAGAGTGCTTGATTGCGCCATCGCCCGCTCCAATTGTTGGTCGTGCGGAGTCGATCAGCATCCACTGACAAGATGCTTAATGCGACGTGCCGACATACCCTTGTTTAAACTAACCATTTGCTAACCATTTGGCCTTTTGTTCTTTCATCTTGGTTTCTACCGCAGGTCTTGGCAATATGCTCAGCCCGGCTTTGACACATAGTGAAAATTGATAACATGACTACATAGATAGTCTGAGAAAATAAGGAAATGCTTGCTACTTCCATCCTCCCGATACCCCGGGTATCATCAGATAACTGCCACTACCAGTCCACCTATGTAGTCCCGGTTCGAAAACTCCATTCTTCAATCCTCGTCGCTTTTTTGGTTTGTGAAAATGGTACCATGGTGAATCAACATGGCCGTTCTGCTGCCGAGGGAATCGACCACTAGATAGCCTTTTCCTCGCTGCTTTCGTCCTCACACTGCTCAGTGATCTTCTCCAGAGAGATTTCGCTCTTCGCATGTGCCTCTGTAGTCCCTCCAGTGTTCTGTTGGACAACTTTGTCATCCTCCTTCTTATCCTCGCATCCATCCCCTTGGCTGCCCTCCTGAGTGGTCTTAGAGTCTTCATCCTCGTCACTCGCCACATTCAATTTGTCCAAGTCTTTCTGGGTCGTCTCATCCAGGTCCCGTCCGATGATCATGATTTGTTCCTCATAAGTAGGGTCCTCGTGAAGCATATCGAGCCAGTGGAGCATGTCACGCCATGCACTTGGAAGAATGCATTCGGTGTAGCAAGACTCTCCCGAAGAGTAGCAATTGCATCCATGCGAGCGATAGCCTGAATGACGAGTGCCCACTTCTTCGTCCGACATCACGTATCCCCGGCATCGAGCAGACATGAAGGCTGTGAATGATTTCGGATCGGCCAGAGTGCTCATGTCAATATCGACGTTGGTACTCTGGAGAGGATCACCCAGGCAAATCCCGGAGATGAAGGGACGCCAGGTTTCCCCTAGATCATATTCAGCACGAACAGAGTTGAAACTGATTCGTTTACCAGTGGATATCTCACTTACAGTTGGTCTCAAGGTATTCAATTGCGCCTAAGCCTCCCTCGGACATGCCGATGATATCAATGCGAGTGCCCTCACGGGTGCACGGCCAAAGGACCTTGCTGAAGACGTGGTGAATGTGTTCTCTCCAATCGTTGTTACCGGGAATTTTCGTGCGCCAACTCATGGCTGGTGGGCCCCAGTTTGCGGCAGGACGAGGAAGAGAAGCCCAGGTGACGTTTGTCACGGCACGAGAGTAGAGGCTATTCCACAGTAACTGGCCAGTATTTGCCAGAACGAGTGCATTGCCTGTTTTATTGTCATCTGCTCCCAGTACGGCTCTCGCAAAGTCAACGGCGGAGCCCTTGTTGATTTTGTCACCGCCGATAAGTCGGTAAGCCCAGACCCCGAAGTCTTGTACCGGCTCTCCAAACACGACGATGATGCGAGAGGCCTTGCGGAGATTTCCAGACACCATGATGGGCACATGTGCTTCGTCGGGGCGACTTTGAACGATCTGTCCATCGGCCTTTTCACGGAGTGGCAAACGCAAATCTTCAAGTCCAGCATCATGTAGACGTGTATTGATCAACTCGCGGATACAATCTGTAGACTAAATTAGCCGGAAACACACGCAGATTCTCCCAGACGTACCATTCATTGCCTCACGGTTCTTGACGTTGAAGCGTTCGTTTCGGTTAATCCTGTATTGGAAAGGTGCATCTGGGTCGCTGATTTTACGGATTTGGTCGTTTTCAGTGACGAAATACCTGAATTATGAACAATCTGTAAGAGAGACTGTGGCAATATGGGGTATTTTCTTACCCCAACTTCTTTAGATCTGAAGGATAGTAAGGATCCTTGGGGAGATCCTTGTTTCGGTAGACAAACATTGTGTTGAATGTGAGTGTGATGATTGAGGATATGGTTGAGAAGGGCCACACGGGAATATTTGCGAGAGTGGAAGAGAGGAGGGAGAGAGAAGAAGAAGGAGAAGGAGAAGAAGAAGAAGAAGAAGAAGAAGAAGAAGAAGAAGAAGAAGAAGAAGAAGAAGAAGAAGAAGAAGAAGAAGAAGAAGAAGAAGAAGAAGAAGAAGAAGAAGAAGAAGAAGAAGAAGAAGAAGAAGAAGAAGAAGAAGAAGAAGAAGACGAAGCAGAGAGGATGTTCATGGTGGAAGGCAAGGACACAAAGCAGCCGCTCCTTCCTCAATGGCGTTGGCGTTGGCGTTGGCGTTGGCGTTGGCGTTGGCGTTGGCAGCTATAAATGAGAGCAAACTGCCCCCTATAAGGATAAAGAGAGAAGATGCTGTCATATTAAAGTAGCAGCTTTAAAAATGATAGGTAGAGATGCAATATCTCCAATGAAGTGAAAAGAGAGAGAAAATAAATATTTAATGGTGCATACTATACAGGCTCTAAATGAAGCGACGAAAACGCCATGGCACAGCCCGGCCAACCTAAAATTTTCATATTGACATTGTTCTTCCACTCATCTCCAGCTTACCAACTGGCCTTCTTGACTCCTGGAAGCTCACCCGCAAGCGCCTGCATACGGAATTGGAACTGTAAAACGTCTGGGTTAGTCACGCTGATAGATCAACACCATCCATTCCGGCAACTACTCACTCGATTGATTCTGAAATCACGGAAGACAGCACGCGCAGTTCCTGAGGCCACACAGCGGTTCTTGATCTGGGTCGGGCGGGTGTAGGCGTGCATCTGGGAGAGCTGGAGCTGGGCCTGGGCGCGGACTCGCTGGGGAAGGCTGGTGTTGCGGATCAGGTAGCGGAGCGCTTGGCTAGAAAGTACCAGATATGTTAGCAACTGTGAACTAATCGGTTTCCTTGAAAGGCCTCTGGGAAGAGAGCAAGCCTCCAGCCATGCGCGGAGTGGCTTACCGTTCAGGCTCGGTCTGTTCAACAGCATTGCGCTTGTTGTGGTCACGGATCAAACGGGTGTTGACAAAGCCAGAGAGATCAAGCTTCTTAGGGCGGAACATGGACGCCATTTTCGACATTTTGGCGGCTATTCGTCGGAGAAAGGACAGGCGATCTGGAAAAGTACGGTAGAGTCCCTTTCGAAGCGGCGCGGTTGGCAAAAAGATACGGTTACCTGATCGGGATTAGCGTACCATCAGGATTTCCACGCCGACGGACCGGAAGTTATTCGACTAGAGAAAGGTACAGCATTTAGCCCTTGAGTCTCGAGCTACAGAGGACAGATGCGTAAATTTTTACAAAAAATATGAGCATATATCCCAGGCCCCGAGGTTTCTGTATAGTTGATGGTTGGCGTTGACCTGCTTTTAACAGCCTAAGCCCTGGAGATGTGAAGATTGTGGGCGGACATAAGACTACATTCCCAACCTACAAAGGTCCGAATACCAGTGATTCAATCAAACCAGCCTCAGAAGATTCCGAAGAATAGCAGTAAACAGTTAAACCAAGAATCCTACTCAAGGAGTTGGCACTCGACAGACGCAATGCAATAGTGGTACAGCTTGTGAATTGATCCAAGTCACCCAGCAGGGTATCTTCTATTTGCTTGGACAGAAGGGCAAACTGCCCGCGAACTTAAAAACAACAAGTGCGATCTGCGACCGAGGTCCAAATATATCTTCATTCGCCTTACTCGTCGCATCGGCTCGATTCGCTCCCGACTCACGCCACTCGGGGTGGCTTCTCACAGCGCTTCATCATCGGTCGATAATTTAGTGACCGGCGTTACCAGACTTGGCGTTGGGGTTGCGAGGGTCGTTCTTGAACTCGGCAGCTGTTGATTCGATGGTAAGTAAAGGGTTTTGCTGGACCGCACGCTATCCGAGTATAACAGTCGAGAAAGGTCCCCATGCGCGGCCATCCGATCAAAGCCGAACAAATATTCGAAGAATCATGGGTTCACTTACTGTTGGAGAGAACGTTCTGCAGGGAGTTGACGCCGTACAGGACGATGGCACCTAGAAAGGAGTCTTGTTAGAGCACAGGGTTCACGAGGTTCACGGGCGGGTTCATCGGTCAAAGTCAGGGATCGAATGTTGAGTTGCAATTCAGATCCGAATCATTAAGGCATGGACGAAGAACAGATGGGTAGCGTACCGGCGGCGAAGAAGGGAGTCATGGGCTTGCCTATAAATGGGTGTGTTAGTCTTTGGTCTTGCACTCTCACAGCGCTGCTCGGCGACATGGCGTGGCTGTTTTGTGCAATCACTTACCCAGAAGACCGGGGAACTTCTTTCCAAGGAGAGACATATTGACAGGCGGTGCGAATGCGAGGTGGATTCGGTGTTCGCGGGGGAGGTTAAGGTGGTGCAGGAGGAAGAGGAGATGTGAGGTTTGGCGGGAGTTTGCCCGGTCCGCACCATTCCGTTTCTGGTATGGTCCCGTGGCTGCTTTACCGATCTAACCCGAGTCTGTTTCCCCTCATAATCATAATCATAAACAATGCACGTCACAGCTGGCTGCAATTATTGACTCCTGTTCCTCGTCGATATCGTGATCGTGCATCATGGCTTCCTCACTTGCCGCATCGGTCACATCACTACAGTCGTCTCTCCAACTTCTCGACAATTCGATCACAACCTTGGACTCAGGCGTCAATGATTTTCCCCGCTTGTGCAAAGTCCTCCAAACAACACGGGTATGAGAAATAGAGATACGCGCTTCTAATATGATACATTCGTGACTAACGAGCCTCAATTATAGCATTTCGAGCTCCTCCCAGAACCGACTCTCCGTGAAGCTCAGCAGTCTCTGCTTGACGAAATCACCCCTAGCATTGCCCACCTTCTCTCCTTGGCGTCGAACCACGTTGAAAGATTATCACGCCGCGAAGAAGGATTGAAAGCTAAATGTGACCTGCAAGAGGGTCGTCTTTCTTCAAAATCTGAAGGTCGATCTTCGGCAACCCGGAATCAGAACAAAAGTACCACCAGTGCGCGGGGTCAGCTGGCGGGTGCGGGCAATGCTGCTTCCAAAGCAGCAGAGCTGCGCAGACTCGTACAGAAAAAAGAACGTCTCAAGTATGCTGTCGACCGACTTGAGTTGCAAAGCAAACAGCGTGAGCGCCAATTGAGAAAGAGCATGGCCGTACAATGACGATGAGACATGATCGACCCGCACCCCGTCACCTGCGAGAAAAACGACAGAGCTGGAATCTATTCTTAGGATTTGCAAGATTTCCCTTTAGTCGCTAAAGGCCGGACCGCCATCTCGGGAACTTTGTTCAACGAATTTGGCCCGCGTGTCTAGATTGAAGAGCGGGCATGAAAACATCTTACTGTTTTTTTCTTCTGAGAGGAGAGGCACTGTGCCCTATTCTCCAATCTTACTCAAAATCTTCAAGCTCGCATTTTTGGGGATCAGCCCATACTTCAAGTCCGTGCAGCTTATGCAGTGTGTTGCAACTCAGACCCTGTCAGCTTGATTGAACAACCAATCTGAGCATACATTCCGGTATCTGGTCTATTGCGCACCATTGATAGATGGCACTTTTCCAGCTCGCTGTCTCGGAACTGTGGATCCTATCAGCTCTAGAATAATCGTCTCCGCTAGCGGCACATCCTCTAGGCATTGAAGCAGCATTTGATGTCGCCGCTCGATTGTTCTCTTTAATGAGCGTTGAACAATGCAACAATGCCCTTTCAAACGGCCCTGAATGTGTTGGCATCTGGATCCATATGATTTTGTGTTTGAATGACATTGTGCTTAGATCATTGTTGGGAAATTCTTACAATCTAGAAAGATGGCAGACAAAGAACTTGCTCTCGTCTACTTCTGTTATCCAATACGCAGAACACGAATAAATATAGTATCTCTATCACTCGTATCGTTCTATTTTCATCCGAAAGACTCTGAACAGTATCAAATTATTCATCATAGATATTCAGTTCCACTCGCTTTATGATCCATGGATTGATTACGTTCCGCCTTGATATCACATCAGAATTCCAAGGTTTCATCATGGGCTTGCATCCAGATTCCGTGCTGGCTCTGGGCTTCTGCGAAGATATACAGAGACTTCTCCAGCCTAATAGTAGTATACTGGTACAGCTGGATCGGCCTACAAGGGAAGATACTCGCAGCTTTCTTTACCGAATCCAAATAGCTATCATACAATAGAAACGAGCAATCCATGAACAGGACCGACATCATCAGGATTTCATCTTGGATCATATCAATAGGGATGAGTATTTAGTTCTTGAACAAGAAGACCTGCTAAATGAGATTGACCATGAGACCCTGGTTCGTTGGAATTGGTCTCTTGGAGACACTGACTCTGAAATCATGTGGATAGAGTATCCTCCCACTCATGCATTACTCTATTTGATTTACATGAACACCAATAACTTTTTACGCTCAGCCAGTGCCCGGACAGTGCTATCAGAAGAGCACGCCACCATGCAGTCGACAATGTACATGGATTCTCGGCTTTTTCTTATAAGGTTGGAGATGAGTATCGTTGAATGGAATCACGCAAGTCGAGGTCAAATTGCCGAGTACCAACAGGAAATGCTGACTGAATTTATCGATCAACAGTATGTAGTGGCAGATATCGACCGGGGTGACTCAGATACGCAGTTAAATAGTACGCCCAGCTCTCCAAGTATCGAGGCATCACGAAGCCTCCAAATCGGATGGAGAACGCTGGGCCATGTCTCGCTGACTGCAGACTACCCAGATAATCAATTGGCATGTCCGATCTGTTACACAGCCTTTGAGACAGGCCACATATTTGCTGAGTTGATTTGCTGACTTAGGTATCACTCTAATTCTATTCTAGAATGGTTGATGCAGAGGGTTTCCTGCTCGACGTGTAATAGATAGGTATAACCCCGATATGGTATTATGGCCTATCAATCCCTAAGTTCCTCGAAATTCCTGTTCATGTTCCAAGGTTCTCTGATTTACACAAAATCTATTTAGTTTCGTTTCAAATTGTACTATGGAATTTTCTCTTTTTTTTTATCAAGATATACCAGAATTATTCAGATTCCAAACCGTGACCGCTGTTTCGTCTTCGATGCAAATCCAACCTTGTAAGTTGACCGCGCGACCCTGAGACTCGTACCTTCAGGTATATTTTTTCAGATATGGAAATTACTAGTAGGCATATCCAGTAAGAGCCTAAATCACTACCTAGGTAGTACGTAGCACTTCCATCATGATGGGCTGAAGGGTTGGAAAGTTATTATTAACACTGCGAGTTACCTAGGTAGTAGTGGGTCTAGAACGAGATTACACTTTGTCTTGAGTGAAGAAACATTATTTGCAGTAGTAGTCTGGTGTGAAGATCATCAAATATTGTACAGAAACCCTGACTCCATCGTCAGTGACCGCCCTATGGTGTTTGTTTAGTAATGTTACAAGATCACAATCCATGATCTAAAGTCAATTATGAACGCCAGCCAATGCCATGTCCTTCTGCTGGCCTGGTTAAAGAAAATACAGTCTCGCAACATGCTTACTATGCGTCCTCAGCGGCCGCACGGCGCTTGTATGCCTGTCGAAGCTTCTTCTTATCATTATGCTTCTTCCAGCTTGGGATATTCTGCCCCTTCTTCCGCTTGGGGATATCGGGGATATCCGAGGGGTAGTCTTCTTCATCATCTTCCTCATCACGCTCCAGGTCTCCTTCCTCATCCACCTCCTGAGAAGCAGCTTTATCTGCAGCCCGACGAGCTAGACGCTCCTTCTTGCCTTCGCCATGTTTCTCGCCCAGGTTCAATTTACGGGGGATGCGAGTTTTCGCACCAAGTGCCCATAAATCACCCCAGTTCGACTTGCGCGCATCGCGATACGCCTGACGACTGTAAGATCGGGGTACGGTCCAGCGCTCGATCTTTCCGGCTGGTGTGCAGAGGTCAAAAATGACATGGCCTCGACGTTTCAACGGCGGGTAAACCGCGCGAGGCAGTGAAAGCGGATGGAAGGGACTGGTTGGTTCATCAAGATGCTCAAATCCCTCGAACGCCGCATCGGTCACCTCAGCATTCTGCTGGATATTTTGTTGTTGCCGCAAGTCCTGGCCCCTTTGCACGGCAATATAGCTGAATTTGATATCCTCGTGGTTGCGGTCTCTGGCTCCCATTATGCGTTGCAAGAATGGGGGTCGGATGTATCGCTGCTCAAAATGGCAATAGTCTTTGCGACCCTTTGTGGGCCCCGCAGAGTTGTGCATCGGGCACGTCGAGTGATTGGTGCAGGGTGCAACAATCATACCAGATTCCTTCTTGACGGTCCGACTGCTGTCAGGAGAGTCGAGGAAGTTCTCATACTCAGTTGAATTGGGGCTTGCAATGTGGCGCTTGAGTAGCATTTCACGCGCGCCGGCGATGCATTCAAAACCCTTCTGGCGTCCCTTCTCAAGCAGAACGAGAACACCTCCATCCGGGTTGAGGAGTTGCCATAAATTCTCTACATACTCCTTTCGTTGGTACTCCTCTTCGAATCCAAGAAGAGAATGCGGCGCAATGATGACATCGTACTGCTTTCGCTTGGGAGCAGCACGCGAATCGTCCAATGTCGGCTTCTCACGTACATGAAGATAGTCCGGTAGCCGGGGGAGGAAAGTCGTGTTATCAAGTATCGCACTGGCACGCAGACGAAGTGCGTCAGATCCGGTCAATACAGTCGAGCGACCGTATGGAACGGGTGCATCCTCGGGGTGATCGGGAACCATAAGCTGATACTCTGCGCTAATTATATCCCTCCAGGCTAAGATGCCTGCACCACCGCCACTAGCATCAAGAACATTTGGACCACCATCTTGAGAAATAAGTTTACGGATCCAATCAGTTCCTGAGACGCTTTCGAACTTCCACAAGAACACTGAGTACTGAAGCGTATATACCGGGGTATAAGGCCGCCAGATAGGCGTTGGCTTCCATTTCTCCCATGTGATGCTGTGATGCACTGATAGGAATGGGAAGTTGGGGTAATTGTGCTCGTGGGGGAGGTGTTGTAGTCGAATTAGGCAGGCCTGGACCACCGAACAGGCGATGAGCAGTATCGGCGATATGCTTATTGGAAAACTCCGAAAGAATTATGGAGATGGGACCCGTCACAGTCTTCTTCGGCAGATTGATTGTGCCGGGCTCTGTCTCAAATTTCCCCTCGCGAGTCATGGGATGGGATCGTGGAGCAGAGTCTGGGACTGCCTCATTCACAAATTGTTCCATCATAATCTCGCCGCCCAATTGTTCAGCCACTTCTCGTGTTCGCCGCATGGCGGCCGTTTCGTCCAGTTCCGGGCTCGCATCCATATCGTACACAACTGGAGTATCATCGTGAGCTTCCGCTGATTGCTCAAACTCGATTTCCTCCCAGCCGCCCTGTCCATCCTCGCGGAACAATTGATCAGGGTCTTTCTCGTCTTCCGGGATGCCCTCGTCTGCCAATCGCTGGATGTTTGGCTCTCCGTACAGCGATATATACAGCCGGAGTTCCTCGTCATTCAAAGCGCCGTCGGGGACATCATCTCCACACTGCTGACGGACCATCTGCACCCAAGACTCGAGAGTGTATTCCTCTCCGCCGAGGGCAAGGGGCTCCTCGAGTCCATCGGCGTTGTCTGCGCCTTCCATCAAGTCCAGCTCATCCATAAGTTGCGCCATCTGGTCCTCATTTTCGTTGATGCGCTCGATCAGGGCATTGATTGCTTCGGTGCCGCCGGGTTCTATCGACTCGGGTTGGGGTGTGGCCATGGAAGACGAAAGCCGATGCCCAGATATCGATTGGACGAGAGAAAAACTATGTCGCTTCTTTGGGTATGGGAGGTGCATAGGTGCATTCGGTGGCAACTTTCTTTGCGCAAAGCTTCGTTTCTGCTGCAGCGCGATCAAACCTGCAGCTTCGCCGGATGGTCGCGATACGGCTGGTCCCGAGACCAGCGGGCGCAGCAGATACCGCGCATGCGGGTGACTGGCTCTAGATGCTGAAGAGCCAGACAACATCTTGCTGGATTAGACTTGGGGTTGACTAGAGATGGGAAGGAGAAATAAATTCCGAGCCGGGCGGAAGCTCCAGAAAATCGATGCCAAGCCATCACAAACTGCGCACTGTTGATTGGACAGGCAAGCGGCCAACAAATCCAGATGGATTGGGTTGACTCCACTTAGTACTCTAGTAGTTAAATAGGTTATTGGTTTGAATAATTTTCCATTCACAATGGAGAAAGAACAATAGGTATCAGTCAAGAAGTCAATATATATGTTCATCACCAATCAGACAGAAAATGCGTGGAACTTCTTGGGAAAATGGAGGCATCAAGGTACTGAGCAACCCTAATTGGGGTGATATTAGTAGTAGTAACAGTTTCACAACAGGAGATTCGTTGGAACTTTTTGGGATCCTCACTTGCTTGAGGAGACGAGAGAGATGGGGTAATCGATCGGTAGGTTTTTACTATTCATATAGTGCTTCACTTAATCGTGCTTGATATTACAAATATGAACCGGGTAAGGTTCGGATTTGATAGATAAGGCAATGACCTGCGGTGTTTCTGGGTATCTATAATTTGATTTCTTAGACTTCGCTCTCCGTGTCATCGTTGCCCATGAGCACCCGCAATGCGCTGACCCAGCGCATCACCTCATGTTCTAGAGCCGTCAATTTGGCCATGACCGACATGAGGCTGGGATCCTGACTTTCAACTCGTACTTTTTCTCGGACATGAACCTCGTCACCTTTCCACATGAACACATCGCCTGCTTCATCATGTGCCCGTTGTTTACTGCCAAACAGTCGATCGCGCAGGGAAAATCCGGTTAGAGATATGTCTGAGGCGAATGCCGATGGAGCTTGCGCTACGGTATTGCTTTCAAGTGTACGGACCAAAAGAACTAGTGCAGAGTCTGCAATAGAGAGGTGAAATGACAGGTTGGATGGAGGAGGTGTGTCAAACATCTGCCGTGTCGGAAATGCATTAGCTGGATATTTCTCAGGGTATGCAATCTAGCATATATCGAGGAAGAGATAATCCTACATTATCAGAGACACTGGTTTCCCACCAGTTGCCCCGCACGTCCCCGTCGCCCTTTAGCATCTGCCGCGCCTCGCTGATGGTTTCATGCAAGAGATGCAGCTGGCTGAAGATAAACCCTGCATCGTGGGGATCCCCCGTGTATGTGCTCACGTCAACAATATCCAAGCTCTGATTGACTAGGTTTCGGACCGACACGAGCTGTTGCAGTGCCAAATCGGGAGCCTCGGTGGACTGCGAGAGGATCAGGCGGGTGCTAGGGGAGCCGCGTGGAGGGGGTAATGATTGTAATCGGAGCTGAACGTCCTGTTTGATAGAAGAGTATAGTTAGTATTGTATAGGTTAAATCGGCACTTAGGTGATAATATGAACATACTCCTTTGACTAGCTTTGTCCCAACCCGCGTCACGAAGCCCTTGACATTTTCAGATCGTACCGAGGAGAGGACTAGGGTTGACCCTGGTTCCTGGGGCGCGAGGAGAGTGGCGCACTCTTGGAGACCTTCCTTCAAAGAGGCAAGCGACTCCTGTAGCGATTGCAGAAGCCATTGAAGCTCTCGAGCCTAAAAAAATGAGGAAGTTGGCCAACAGCTCCACCAGGATGGCCTGATCCTTGAGGCGATCATTCTTTGATTTTGCCAGGGCCAACCAGGGCCGAGAGCTGTAGATCGCCACAGGTTTCAGAGGGGGCCACTTTCTTCAACGTACCAATGCGGAATCCGCCTCTCGGTTCAACCGGTCGGGCGGCAGTGGGGGGGTATGCCCAAGTCGCCATGGCGGTGCGGTGCGGTAAGGCAGTAATGGAGGAAGCAACGTGAAGACAACCTCACACAGGACCAAGATTTCGGCACGAGTAAGGGCAAGGCAGAAGAGTTTTGATCCACGTCACTGATGGGGCTTGCAGCTGCACCATGGGGGCGTCCAGAGGGGAGCTGTAACGTCGGTGGGCGCGAGTTGGTGAGGTGACCGAGCCAATGCTCGTCATGGACGAAGGGAAGCTAACCACGGCGGGGACTAGCGTCGGGTTAGAGTGCACGCTAACCCAGAACAGCTAGCCGATCAGGTGCAAGCATGACGTCGATGATCCTCACGAATTTTGATCTATGAGCGGAGCTGTCCTTATATCAGGTTGAGGGGAGAAGGTTCAGCCCGGATACGCCGGCTGTTTGACTCGTCTTTCAGTACTTTTCTACTCTCGAGCTTCCATTTCTTCTCCTTGGATTATCTCCTTCCTTAATCCTCGACCTTCCCACAGCAACATCACCTCATCGCAATCCATTGGTACTTCAGGCATCTAAACAACTCCTCTGGGCGCCAATTTTGAAGCTATCGCGCACACCGACAAAGGGGAAAAAAGAAAAGGCAAAACTATATCCCTCAAGTTCCAAAGTCTCTCATCCAGTTATTGATCACGATGGGCCTTAGCAGTACGTGTGACCAGCCTCCCGATCAATAATCTATATTTTCCTAAAAGCTTCCTCGTAAACTAATTGACTTTGATATACAGGAGCGTCGTTGGGCTTCTTGGGCCTGTTCTTTATGGCCGGCTCGATTCTATTAATCTTCCTTACACTACTGGCGGGCACACGCAACACCACTCCGCTCAATGAAGTGTACTTCCTTCAAGCCGAGACGGGCAATATCCCAGGCGCACCGGCTCTCTCGCGCTGGACATTCTGGAATCTATGCGGGGTGACAGATGGGGGTAAGAATGACTGTGGTAGTTCGCACCCAGCCTTCCCATTCGACCCTCCAAGCCACCGCAACTTTGACACCACAGATAACGTGCCTTCGCAATTCATTGGGTAGGTGAACTGAACGGCTCTCCTATAGTGAGATTTTCCACTAACAATCTATGACCCCTCTAGTACAAATCACTACTTCCTGATGACCCGCTTCATGTTCCCCTTCATAATCATAGGCCTGTTCTTCGCCGTGGTTTCTCTTTTCACTGGCTTCCTGGCCATGTGCACTCGTATTGGCAGCTATCTCTCCGGATTTGTCGCCTGGATCGCGTTGACCTTCCAGGTCATCACTACTTGCCTCATGACGTATGTTTTTAATTACCTGGACACTAGGATTTCAATCTTCAATGCTAACACTGTATTTAGGGCTGTCTACGTGCAGGCCCGGGACGGATTCAGCAGCAATGGTCAGAGTTCCAAGCTCGGGGTCAAGGCTTTCGCTTTCATGTGGACTGCAAGTGCCTGTCTGTTTCTCTCGTGTCTGATGTACTGCCTCGGCGGTGCGGTTGGTCGAAAGGACGATGGCTACAGTGGGCGCAAGGAGCGCCGTCGCGGGTTCTTCAACTCTGCCCGATCCAACAGTGTGCGAAGCCAAAAGAAGGAAAAGGAATCCTACGCCACTGGCGCCGCTTAGATGGATATGCACACCCCCAAGCCAGCGTTGCAGGATCTCGTCTCGTCGCTTATAAAAAGTCGCTTCGTTTGTTGCAAAGAAGCGACTTACCTGACCATCAAGCACGCGTTGATGCCCTCGATTTATTCAACGTCCTGGCTTCTCATTCTCACCGTACACGATTTTCCACTGCGTTGATATCTCTTGGAGTGCTGATTCTCTGCCTCTCGCCTTATCTTCGCCTTGTTTACGATATGCATCAGGGATCTTTAGATTCCTGAATGAAGGACCACCACCCTTTCATCCTCACGCTCTTTTATGCTGTTACGAAAATCTACGATCGTTACTGTCACACCTGCCTATCGATGCCGCATGCCTTTATGGTATGACGCTGCCAACTTGATTTTCTTTTTTGGGTCAATGAATTGTTGACGAGCTCATGTTACAATTGTTTCCCGGCTTACTGGAGTCCGATGTCCGCTCTATCTATCTAATCTAGTTGTAATATAATTTCTATTTGACCTCATTATATCAGCATTTCTACTCGGCAAGACCTACTGCCGAAACAAAAGTTTCGTCATAGCGTAGACAAAAAAATCAGAGAAGTTTGGAAACAATCTAGGAACCCGAGGGTGTTCGTCATCGAGTCCTCGGGGTGACAAAGGCTGGAAATCGGGAGTTATGGACCATGGATCAAATAATTGAACATGTGGAAAATATCTTAATTGGTTACTTCCAGTTGTGAGTCTATAGATATTTGCAAAACTCGAAGAAATAGATGACTCCAAAAAGATAATGAAGGGTAGACAAAAGGGGAAAAAGGAGAAACAAAAGCACAGCCTCTATCAGTCATGCATGCATCATCACACCATAAAGAGATCGGTTTTTTTAAGAGGTAAAAATTTCATTTAAGCGGAGCCGTTGATGGCACCACGGACGGCAGTAGAGCCACCGACCTCGCGCACGGCGATCTGAAGACCCAGATCGGGGTTGACGTGGACCATGACCTCAATCTTGGCGCCAGCCTTGACACCCTTAACGGCGAGCTCGGCAACGGGCTTCTCGGTCTTCCAGACGATCTCACGGATATCCTCCTCCTCCTCATCCTCATCAGAGAAGTCGGAGTCCTCGTCGTCAGCGGGCTTCTCCTCCTTAGCCTTGGGCTCGGGCTTGGTGACCTTGATGTCACGGGCACCCTCGCACACGCGGACAAGGACATCGCCACCCTCCTTGGGGGCAACGTACTGAGCAATGCGGCGGGCAGGCAAGGCGGTCTCAGCATTGAGAAGGGGCTGGAAGGTGGTGTCGGTGCTAGAGGTGAACTCAACGCCGATGGCCTTGCTCAGGTGGGGAGTAACAGTGACCATGGGGTGAATGGACTGCTCAATGTCCTCGTGGTCAAACTCCTGGACTAGAGAGGCCTGGAAGGCGGCACCACGGGCAGCCAGCTCGGAGGGGTTGATGGCCGAGATGAGGGTGGAGGGAGCCAAGATGGCGGTCTTCTCGGGGAAGATGTTGCGAGCAAGCTGGGCGATCTTGGGGGTGTGGGAAGCACCACCGGAGAAGATGACCTAACATATGATTAATATCAACTAATATCCTGGGACATTTTTTCAATTTCACATACCTCATCAATGTCCAGAACATCGAGATCGGCCTTCTTAACGACCTGCTCAATCAGACCGGTGAACTGAGCGAAGACCTTGCCGGAGAGCAGCTCGAAGCGGGTGCGGTTAACGGTGGAGCCGAAGTCAATGCCGTTGGCGAGGGACTCGACGCTGAGCTGAGCGTTGGTGCTCAGGCTGAGAGCCTTGCGGGTGGCCTCACCCTCCAGCTTGAGCTTAGCCAGACCACGAGCATCTTCACGGGGGTCGATCTGGTGCTTCTTCAGGAACTCCTTGGCGAAGTGGTCGATGATGATCTGGTCCAGAGAGGCACCACCCAGCTCATAGTCGTGGGCAGTGGCCAGAATGGTGTAGATGCCACCGCGGCAGGCAACAACGGCAACATCAGAGCGGGTACCGCCCAGGTCGGCCACAACAGTCAGCTTGTCGGTAACAGTGGCCTCGGGGCGAGCATCGTAGGCCATGACAGCAGCAACGGGCTCGTGGATGAGTTGGAGAACATCAATGCCGGCAGCCTTGGCGGAGGCGACGAGAGCCTCACGCTGAGCATCGGCGAAGTTGGTGGGGACGGTGATAACGGCCGCGTTGACCTCCTTGCCCAGGAAGTCAGTAGCGGACTGCTTGAGGCGACGAAGGTGGCGGGTGGTGATCTCAGAAACGGTAGCAGAGTTAGGGGTCTCGCTGGGGGTGTCACGGATGGAGAAAGCGATGGTCGACTCGCTCTGCTGGGGGTGGGCAGAGGCGTGGCATGGGGTCGGGTCGATAGACTTGAAGTCCTTGCCCAGGAAATCCCGGAAGTATGCGACGGTGTTGCCGGAGTTGCGAATGAGCTGAGCCTTGGCCTGGGTACCGTGGTACTCCTCGCCCTCGATGTAGGAAAGAACGGAAGGGATTTGACGGTCTAACAGAGTCAGTTTGAAATGATTCGGTGTAGACATGCGGGGGACAAGAAAACATACCACCCTCCTCGTTAGCGATGACCTCAGCCTTGCCATCCTACATAATTCAAACATCAGTGATTGGTCTTGATCAGAGATCGATGGATGCGACGTACAGCAGAAATGCGAGCAATTGAACTGTAAGAGTTACCAAAGGAGATACCGATAGCAAAGCGCTCCGCCTGAGCGTCGACACCGTTGGCTGCGTCACCCATTTTTAATGTGAAAGAGAAAATTCGTTATTAGAAAAGAAAAAAAAAGAGCTTCCACGACACAGTGTGTGAAGGAGAATAGTCGGGGGGAGTGTCCGACGAAGGGGTGAATGTCTTAATAGCGGGGGAAGCCAAATCGAAAAATTTGAAGATTTTCGGCGGAAGCGTGGCTGGTGCTTATCGATACCAGTGTGGCGGTACAACCAACCACAGTCGTCGATTTTTAAGGTTACCATAGGAATTTCCAACCCTCACATGTTATTATCGAATTGTTGATATCCTACTTCTTTGTTCTAGACATACTTGAGACTTCGATCTTGATCTTCGAGATGAAGAAAACATAATTACCTTCTTGATCCTTGTAATCATATAGTTTCTAAATCCAGGGTAGATCCCAGGGTGGTCTCTAATAAAGGTTACCGCGCCGGCAATGCAGATCACGTGCTGATAAGCGATACGTTTTCTTTCGCGCGCTTAGGGCAATCCCAACCTCAAGAACATCCTGATCACTTCAACACTCCAGTCGTCAATTTCCAACGGACCTGAAGCCTTTTTTAACGGCTATTTGCGCCATGTCTACACCCCTCATCCTACTCCCCGGTGACGAGGTGCCCAGCAGCCACCTCCCATCCACCAAATCCAATCCTCTCAAGCTAGGATCTGGTGTTCGTCTTCTGTCGCAGCCCTCAGCGAAGCCAGCAGCATCGAACCATATTCTCACAGCAACCCAAGCTGGCATCCTGGCGACCGATGCTAAGCGAAATACTGTCTCTCTTCAATCCTTCTCCAACCGCCGATACATTCCTACGACCAATGACCTTGTCATCGCACAGGTTCACCACTCGAGCATCGATTACTTCCATTGCATTGTGACCCCACACACAGCACAAGCTCTATTAGGCCAACTCTCCTTCGAAGGCGCCACCAAGAAGACCCGGCCCATGTTGAAGGGTGGTGATCTGGTGTACGCGCGAGTTTCGTCAGTGGGTGTTGGCGCAGGTGCCGAAGTCGAAATCACCTGTGTCAACCCGGCGACCGGTAAGGCCGAGCCAGGTGGTCTCGGTCCTCTTACAGGTGGCATGGTCTTTGATATCTCCACGGGATTCTCAGCGCGTTTAATTCGTGCGAGCTCCTCCTCGGCGGACCATGGTGATGCCATCGATGGGCTTGTCGTTCTTGCTGAGCTTGGGAAGAAATTAGAAAGCCTCGGTGGCTTTGAGATCGCCGTTGGTCGTAATGGAAAAGTCTGGATTGACTGCTCGGCAGCGGGTGAAAATGCGATCAAATCTACTATCGCGGTCGGACGATGCCTTCAGACTACCGACGACAAAGACTTGAATGCGATGGACCAGAAGAAATTAGTCACTAGGATTCTTCGGGAGATGAAGCTTATTTCCTGATAGCCCACAGGTGGCGTCCATCGACAAGGGAACGGATGACGTCTCTTCCTTACGTTGGGCTCGAAATATTGCGGTCCTGGCACCGCTTTCCATACCATCACCGGCCCAGTATCCATTGGAAAACAGCGGCAATCGAAAACTCGCCGACTTGCGACCAAGAAGCAAAGCTGGAATATTCCCGCCGTTCTGGAGATCATTGGCCTCTTGCAGTCTACCCTGAGCTTTGCGATAATCCCCGAATGTGTCCATTGTCAAAATAAGATTTCGACACATACATTGAACCAGGTCAAATGATGACATTGAGAGCATTCCAACTTGGAGGTTCGAACCGCAGCTATATGCAAGTGGCAGGAGAATCTGCCGGGCAGCTCACGGTGCATTACGTAGCTTTTATACGAGCCATGAATGATTTTGTCCGAGCGCTTCTGCAACCTTGAATTTATTACTTCCACTTACTAGTAGAAAATATGTTGAACAGTTAGAAGAAATTGAAGTTGACTCGAACAAATACCTAGGTAATCGACTCAGGCCTATACTAGTACTAATCCTACAATTTCCCCGCGGGTGAGATTCTCATGAATTCAGCCAGTCCCAGGTTCCTAGGGCTCTATGCTTCAAGAACTTGTTGTGCCTCCTTTCCCCAATCCATCCATGAACCTTTTGGAATGGATACTGGAGTCCGCACATGCAGCGCTGGAGATGGCTGGATGGCCTTGGTACGTCAGTGCATACCTAGGTACACCGCTATATCTTCCGCCTTCCCAGGCCCCGGGGTGCCCTTTATACTACTAGTACTAATCAACCAATCTTTGTTTCATAAAGCCTGTTCATTATTCAACTTGAATCATTGAGTCGAGAATCAGCCTGCTAATTTGAATAGATAAGTATAGATTCTAACAATACAGTCAATACTCTATAATTTTCTCCATAATTCACAATCTAGATATCACATGGAGCCAGAGGCAACCTTCTTTTTTTCTGCTGGTCAAATTTCCGGAATGCGGTTTCAGGTACGGGGCGGTGTCGCAGGCGGCGAGGGATTCTGCAAAATTTATAAAGGCAAAGTAGATTGCTGCACTCCACTCCGTTTTTTTTGACCGCGAAAAAAAAGATGGCTCGACCAAGCTTGCTCCAGCCCGAAAACTCCAATTCAGACGTCCTTGGTAAGCTCGTGCATATGCGACGTGCTCACACTCATTATATTGCGCGATGTTGATTCTGACTGCTCCTAGACGCCCGATCGCTAGACGCGCAAGTCGCAACGACCGACGATAAATCGAAGCCCAAGAAGGCGCACAAGGAGAAGAGCAAGAATAAGAATAAGAACAAGAGCAAAGATTCCTCCGACCCAGCCTCAAAAAATGGCGCCAAGTCCTCTTCGAAGCGAAAGCGCGAGTCTGAGCCTGGCCGGAAAAGCAAGAAGAACAAGCATCATGACCGAGATGACCGCGCAAATGGCACGGTTCTTATCGGTGAACCGGAAGTGGATCAAAAGCCCACCCTCGCACAACTGAACGGTGTCCGTGTAGATGACTCTGCCGCTTCAGCGCCTGCAGAGACACCCCATCCGGAGCTCGACGGCACTCCAACCCAAGGAAAGAAGCCCCGAAAGGCGCGAATAAGTACCGGTAAAGCTGGGAAAAAAATCGGTATATTTGAAGAGAGCGAAATTCAAGCCGTGGAGAAATACAAGGTCGACTTTTGCAATCTTAACGGAGTTGAAGCCTCGACATTCGACGCGATTGTGCAGCATTCCCAACGCGAAGGTGAAGACTTTCCCTGTCCTACCGATATCTGTACCAAAGCCGAGTTCTGGTCTGCCATCTACGAACTTATGCCGAATAGAGACCGTCGATCGGTCTATCGGTTCCTGCGCAGACATTTCCAGGACTCCGATCAGAAACCACATGAGTGGACTGCGGAACAGGACGAAGACCTCATCATGTTGCGGGCTAAGCATGGACCAAAATACGCTTTTATCGCCAGGATCCTCGGCCGCACTTCCGATGATGTGACACAACGGTGGAAGAATCGCCTTGAGCACCGCAAGACTATGCAACGTGGACCGTGGAGTGAACAGGAACTGCGAGACCTGCTTCGATACGTGTTACTGGTCGGCGAAAGCTCCCAGCAGCTAGGCATGTCTTCTGATGTGTATGAAATGGACGATAAAATATTCCCGTGGGGCAAGATCAGTGATCAAATGAAAAACTCTCGGTCCCGCCAGCAATGCGCCGACAAATGGCGTAAAATTCGGAGGGACGTTTTAGAAAGACGGGCTACTTCCGACCCGAATGCTGTCTTTAATCCAAGGGAGAGTAAAAGTCCTGGCACTCAAAAGAGCAAGGTATACGTCGAGGAAGAGGATAGTGAAGACGAGGGAAATGAGTCAGCACAAACTGCTAAGCAAACTGGAGCTACAACCGTGTCCGCTCCCGAAGCAGATCCAAGATCGCAGTCTGTATCCGGTGACCTCAGCGAATCTCCAAATCAACAGCTGGTTGAGGAAGAGGCTTCTTTGTCCGAGGATGACGAAGACGAACATTCTTCTCCCGCCACTCAACGATCTGAGCCAGCATCCGAGAAGCAAGAAAAGAAGCAGAAGAAGGCGAGGGAAATAAATGACCTTGCAGAGGCCGAGGGGCTCACTTTAGCGGAAGCAAAAGAGCAACGCAAGCAGGAAAAGACACGCAGGAAGTCATTGAAGGGAAAGAGGACATCTGCAGTCATCAAGGCCGACATCAATGAGCACACTCAATACAAGCAAGCATCTCCAGTCCAGTCGCAGGCCGGCTCTGACAATGACTCCAATATGTCTCATCTTGAGGATCACAGCCGAATCAAACAGGAAGTATGATGCAATATGTTACCAATGAAGAATGGTCTGTGGAATTTGTGAATAGTGCAGTGATTCAATGGACCAAATAGCAACTACGTTCTACCGTCTGCAGTAATGCATGAAGTATTAATCCATGAGTCAAGTTTGGAAACTTGAATTTCTTATACATTTGGTACCCTAGATAGTAGAAGAAAAAATGTCTATAGTTCATCCTTGCGATCTTCATCCGCTTCCTTCTCGTCGACATTCTCCTTCCGGTCCATCTCCTCGCCCGTTTGCACAAATCTAACCTGCTCTGCGTCAAAGCGCTTCGCCACTGCCGCAATCTCGTCATCATAAACTGTCCACTCGGGAACCTGTCGTCTGGCACGCGCAAGCTTCGGCTCCTTAGTCTGCGGGTTATTGCACAAGTCGATGGTACGCGCCGTGGCAAGATCCTCGTCGGAACACCAAGTCTCGCACCACAGCCACTCCTGCGGCAGACTATGGATAGGAATGTGATGTTGCATGTTATTCGGGAGATCTTGGTCCAAGTTGCTCAAGCTGTTGGGATCAGCCGAGAGCATCTGGTACTGGCCGCGCAGACGATCGCCCGCCGCAATCGCACGGAAGCGTTTTAGATCAACGACATATAGTGCCGAGATGTGGTATGGTCTGTCGCGTAGGAATGTTTTCCAATAGCCTTGCTTCCAGAATCGGAAACCCTCCATCTCAGTTCGTGAGTCACCCATTGGCGTGAAGCCGTATGGCGCGCCCTCTAGGTCGTGGGTGACAAGATCATACATGTCCGTGCGAACGATCTGGTCTGCATCCACGAAGATGACTTTGTCGAGAGAAAGCGGGAACAAAACGTCTAGGAAAAGCATCTTGTAGCCCCAAATTTCACGCTGCTTCTCACGCTGTTCACGAAGCCAGTGTGGCCATTTGTAGGTGACCATCTCATATGAGAAGCCATATTCAGCAGCGAGACGAGGGAGGAAAGCACGGAAGGAGGGGGAGAGGAATTGCTCAATGAACCAGAATTTGACGGTATGCTTGGTGTTCTTCATGACCGATACCATCATGATATTAAGCATGCGTTCATATAGGTGGCCGCTAGCGACAGAGAAGATATTGATATCGGCATGTTCACTTTTGGAGCCTACACCCACGCTAGAAAGAACACCAGAGGCAAAGTTGAGACCCTTGGATACAAAGTCCATGGCTGAACCAGAGCGAGGTCCATCGTCTAGAACGTCTTCGTCTTCGAAGCCTGGCTTGCGGGAGAGACGGGGGAAAAGCGTTCGACCTTGGAAGGAGAGGAGAGTCACTTCGCTGTTCTCATCTCCGGGCTGGGGCCGGTAGCCAAGGCCACCGACACTGTCGATCTTGAAGAGCTTCTCGCTTCGGCCGGGCTTAAGGTTAATTTGCCATAGACCTGGCTGCGCCTTGAATTGGAAGTAGCCCAGGTTGGCCATGATGATGGTATCGGCAAAATGATGGTTATTTTCGGTTCCCAAGACAAGTTGCACTCCTCGTGGCGGCTGATTGGTAGTCAGATCGCGAGAGTGACCTTCAATAAGGATATGCTCCAATTCGTAGGTTGCGTCAACGTTGGAGTCAGCCTTAAGTGAGCCCAGCTTAATGTTGTCCAGATCGTGGATAGAATCCTTCGGTGCAACGAGCCATGAAGAGGGGACGTCCATTCCCAGTGTGAGCAAGGCTTCGACAGGTATGCCGGAAAACGATGCCCCGGGGCGTGAAATTGAGCCATCACTGGCGAACGAAGGCTCAGACTCGAGCACATAGCGATAAAATCGCTTGACAGGGATCTCCTTCATCTCGTCTTTAGGATTAAGGAAAATCTTGAGCTTGACACCAGCTAGTTCAGAGAGAACTTTGAGGATCGGTAGCCATCGTTGAGTATTTTCGGAAGCTGGATCAAGCGAAGCAACAACGTTAATCGCAGGGTCTTCCGAGTTAGAGACTGTGATTACAGAATGACCGATCTTCCACTTCTCAGACAGATCCATTCTGAAGTCGGGGGTGGACTCAAAAATCCCCTCGGGAACATCTGAGATGGTGGATAGAGAAACAAGTGCGGAGAGCTTGGCAAGATCAAGAGGTTTGGAGACCCGCATGTTCAAGCCTAGGTTCATGGCAGCCTTTGTAACAGCATCAACACGTTTCGTCCGCTCGTAGTTGATCAGCTGGTCAACCTCATCTATAGTCAAGCCATCTTCTTTGGCAATAGGGCCCACAATCCGGCCGTTAACGACTAAACCCTCAACACCAGGCTCAAACCCAAGTTTTTGGGCAAGGTGTCGATGAATTCCAAGATTCACCTGAGTTTCTGACTCAGAAACATCGATTTCCACATTCTCAGAGGTGTTAATAAGAGCTAGAGTTTGATCGATGTCCTCGCCCTTTGTTATTGATTGGTGAACCTTCTCTAGAAGAGGACTTTTTTGCTCGGCATCTGAGGCGCCGTTAGAGACGAGGAGAATCTCGACTCGCTTGTCCTTTTTCTGGAAGGTCAGCGCATCGGAAAGCAGCTGTTTTCCTTCCTTGGCCTCGAAGTCGCCAACGACAATGAGATGAATACCACCACGTGAACCATCCTTTGCTGGAAATTGAGGAAATTGATCAAGGATATCTGCTTGTAATCCCAAGGCATCCGCAAGGTCGACCATCTGGACGCTCTTTGGATCTTCTGGCATCAGGAACGTGTTGCGTCTTTCAAACGAAGCAGCCAAAAAGAACTCCGGCAGCCAAGCGTCGGGAGGAAAAACACCCTCCATGATGCCCTGTCGGACAAGCTTAAGATCGCGGCCGATCAGCATACTCATCTCCTGCATCCAATTGCCTTCACGACTCATGGGAATGCCATTGACCAATATATTAGGAGTTTCGCTGCTGAGGCTCAAGCGACGCTGGTATTTGATAGTTGTGGCGGCAACAGCTTCGTAGCGTTCACTCTTCAGTAATTCTTCTAATGAGACAGTCTCCTTCTCTTCTCGTGCTTCTTGACCCTGAGTCGCAGAAGTAAAGGCCGCCTTGTCCGGATTACCGCCTTGAGCCGTAGACAAAGACTAGCGACATACTGGTTAGTTTCGTAGTCGGAGAATAAGTCAAAATGCAAGTTGACTCACCTCTTCCAGATACCGTATGAAGGATGAGAGTCCAAATGTTTCATACAGATAGTGCGCTACTTTCATTTGGGCAGTAGACTCCGATGACGAAGCCATGGGAACTAATCCGAATCGGACGGGAATCATGCGCTTAACAAACGTGTGAAGTTGTCTGACAACCAGCAGCATGTCTTCGGGGTTCGATAAGTCAATAGGCACGACCACATTGTGCAAATCGCGGCCAACAGGCGGAATTTGTCCTGGGTGAACACTGGAGATGAACTGCTGATAATTAGCCATATTTCACAAATATTATAGGCTTTAAACATACGGCCTCAAGATCATTTGGCCAATCTTCGTATTGAGAATCATTCTCAAGATCGTTCAGCCAAATAATGACATCGCCACCTTCCAAATTATCCCGGTAGTCATATCGCTGGGCTTCGTCGTCTGCGCGTGCCTCTGCCAGAGCCGGATGAGACAAGAGTCTAACAGTATCCCGACCGGAGATGCCGAGATCACGGAACTTTTGGATCAATTTCCTCTCACGGCGGAGGATATCTAATAGGGAGAACGCATCTATTTGGCGCGAGTCGATTTGAACACCGTTGATCCACATCGCATTATATCCTGCCGGAATCATTCTCGCTCGGTTGATGCGAATTTCGTTCTGGAGGTCTTTCGAAGCATTGTGGGCAGCCACCGTAGAGGAATGCTTGGGAAAATCTTGTGATAGTTTTAGTAAAGTGTTCAAGGGGTCTTCGCTGTCCATAACAAAGGCTGCGGCATTCAATCCCAATCTGGAGACCTCGGACGAAGAAAGAGGTCGCAGATCGGCCGGCGCATCTTCCTTTAGGACATCTGGAGCAGCTTCCATCAGGTTTTCATCCCGCTTCTCGGCATCGCGGTCATCAATCACAATATAATCGGTTCGTTTTAAAGCAAGCTCCACGCCGTAACCAGAAACGAACAATGGGCGAGAGGTCCAATGCTGAGAAGGCCGATAGCGCACACGGTACGAGATTTGGCCTTGTTTTGCCATATCGCTCAAGATCTCGTGAAATTCTTTGAACATGGGGGCCGAAACATCCGCATATAGTACAGCCGGTGGCAGAGACAAATCCCCGAGCACTCGATCAAAGGGCAATTCCCGAGGGTCCCTATGCAAGAGAACGTGAGGTCAGCTCGGCTTAAACAATGACGTAGGTTTCAGTGTACTTACAGTTCTCCCTCGACATCCTGCTGCGCACGCTCCATCGCGGATGAACAGTATTGCTTGTCCTCGTAATGAACCCAGACTGGACAAGCAGCATCTTGAGCAGCCATCAAAGACTGCTGAACAGAGGTGTTATAAAATTGGTAGTGGGCTTGAATTCGAGGAGCAGGTGATCGAATGGCAAGCGATAGTTTGAAGGAGGAGAGGCTTTCGGCGGTGCGAAGGTGACCATCTTCATGGACGACCTGCAAGAAGCGGTCGTATAGCTCCTTCTCGGTGACGGCATCTTCGAAAGCACCGCCAGCAATTCGGTCGAGTAATGGGAAGTATGATGTCGCATTCTCTTCAGCGGCCGACTCTCTAAATGGGGTTGGTGTGTGAGCAATTGGGTCATCGGCCCGCGGAGCGAATATCAACGGAAGAGGACAACGTACAGCAACTCCACCAAGTACGGAGATGAGTCGAATGAAGCTTGAAGGGCAACATTCACAGATGGGCTGCCATTGACAAGCAAGCCAGGTAATAAAGCGCCGATAGCGGCGTACCAATGCCACGAGGATCTTGAGACCTTCATCCTCGCGCAACGGATCTCGGAGATCGTGAAAGGGTCCGAATATTAAGATTATTGCGGTGGGGAAAGACCCAGTTGTTCCAGTTTGAGTGTGCTCTAGTTAGTCGGTTTGTAGATCATAGAAAGCATCACGAGCCAGACGAGCCAATGCTCAAATCATAAACAAACGCGGAGATTCCCCGGTGGATCTTGCCACGACATTCGGACTTGGATGGGTTCGCTATCTCTTATCGGCCGCGCAGCTCCGGGCGGTGAGGGTGAAGGTCACGCATCCTTTAAGGTAGATTCATATCAACTTGTAATTCGTGGCTTTCGTTAATGGTTGAGAATTGACTACTAAATACTAAGAAGTATTGCTGCGATGAATATGAGATTTAATGATGAATATGAGATTTAATTGCGAATATTTCAATTGAATTTGCTTCTTTGATTGTTCGTTCAGGCATGAGTTCGTAAAGTAAAGTAGATATCCTGCGCCAGTTTTTTTGTCTTCCATGACATGCTATGACCGTTCGCCTTGTTGCTCCGAGTAAATGACGAGAAATTTCAGTTTATGTGCATCCCAGATGACCTCTTTTTTCTTCTTCTGCCAGTGTATGAGACGCCATGGGTGAAATGCTTCGAGTGAAAAGTTGTAGAAAAGGAAATTGAGTGAGCCTAGGCTCAATGAGAGAATGTAAGTCGACCAGTTTAGGTGGGTGGGTGGGCAGAACGAAGGGCCGAACCTGCTTCAAATGAAGCTGGACACCTAGGACTGGGAAATTTTGCGGCTAGTCGCCTCGCCTAGCAAGCGGCGACGCTTTTGTTCATCGATCTCAAAGAAGGAGCTCTCTGCGGAGCTCTGCTGGCTGCCAGGCCGAGAGTTAAGAGCGGTGGTGGATTTCATCTTTTTGAGGTTCTTGGTGCGGGCAGTGGGGCCCAGGGATCGCACCTCACGGGCAATGCGCTCGAGGAAAGAGCCGGTCTTGGTCGGGCTTGCCTTGGGGACGGGGAAGTGAGGGAGGGGTTTCTCAGCTTCACCGTCGGCGAAACTGGCGTCGGTTCCAGCGGAGCCAAAACTAATACCGGAATCGGCCTTGCGGCTCTTGTTGCGGTGGGGGGAGCCGCCTTCGGATAAGTAAGAGGGCTCGTTGACCAGCTGGCACTCTTCAATGAGCTCATTGACGTGGTCCACGTAGCGCACGAGACAATCGTGCAGTGGCCCCCACGAGGTAGCCTCGCCTTCAGGGGCACCCTGGACGACGACGGGGTCCAATGCCTCCTTGCCATGGGCGGCGACCGCATTGATGTACCGGAAGAAGCCATCCCGCTGGGTCTTCAAGTGCTGATAAGTCAAGTGGGGGGGTTGGGGTCCGGGTCTTGTCGGTGACAGGTGGATACAAAGTATTGAGCATAGCGATGTGGTTCACCTTGTTTTGGGGCTCAAGTAGCATATCATTAATGAGAACCTGAGTGATATGTTAGTAACCAGCGATTTGATTCTTTTTGGTGCAGTTCAAGTGGTACTTACCCAGCGACGCAGGCCAACGTAGATCTGAGTGTACAAGGCGGTCACAGTGCGAGCTTTGGCGTTCATCGTGTGTAACCAAGTCATAACACCGGGATATTTTCCGGCAAATCCTGAGGAGTTGGGATTCTCGGCGTCCTCGCGTTTGATACCCAGTCGCGTCAGAGCGGCCTCCATTTCCTTCTTCCAACGGGTCTCGAGATCTTTGAGATAATCAATGGCAGTCAGAGCTTGAGGGAAGTCCACACTCTCAAGCTCGGGAGTAAAGCAACGGTGCACGAATCCAGTCAGGAAGGAGACAGGAAGTTCGCAGGGCTGAGAGCTCCGGTTCGCAATTTGGTGGCTCATGAGCGAGCGAAAGTCCGCGGCGGCATCGAAAGAGCCATTAGAGGAGCGAGAGGAGTGAGTTGAGGAGGAGTTGCGAGGGGAGAAAGCGGTTTCGGGAGAACGAGTGCGAGGGAACGGAGTATTCGTCGGATTACAGTTAAATGTGTACATGTCTCGTAATGGGATCTCATAAGAAGCCGGGTAGCGAAGACAGTGATCGAAAATCCAGGTGAGAGCCGCACCATTTGGGCTGTCCAAAGACTGCGGGGAACGAGGAGACATCTTTCCGGATGTGATAGCGGAAGGCGGAGAGAGAAGGAAGTCGGATGTACGTCTTTTTGATGGTGGAGAAGGAATCAAACGATAGTTCTGACAGCCAGCAGAGCATAAATAACAAAGCTCTGTCTGGTCGGAATTACCGAGGGCTGGGATGATTCAAAACACGCTCAAGGGGTGGGTGCGTGTAACGAAGGAGGATAGAAAAAAAAGAAAGAGGAAAGTGAAAAATAGGGTTGATAATAATGAGGGCAGGACGGAGAATCAGACGGAGACAGCGGCCATACTCTGTGTCAAGTGGCAAGAAAAAAAAATTGTGGCTGAGGAGGGGGGCGGATGTTTGAGATGAGTCCTTAAGGCGAAGCGAGGGGGGTCACAAATTGACAAGCTGTCGTTGGTCGATCGCTAGGCAGCTGCAAGATGAGAATCTAAAGCAAAGTAACCCAAAATGAAGGTTGGATTCGGAGGAATTGAAAGTGTCGGAGACTTGCTCTTGAGTGAAAGGAAGTGAAACAGATGTTTCAAGGGAAGGAAAGGCTGGAAAGATGGTAAAGATGGTAGAGGTTGGAGAAGTTGAAGTTGAAGTTGATGAAGATTGAGGGGAGAGGAAGAACTGGGGAGAGGGGAAAACCATGGAGTGTTAAACACTTCTTTTCCACACTCACACCTTCTCTCTCCCACACTCAACTTTGACCACTCTCCTTCCCCCCATCCACTCTATCAGTCCAGACCACGGTGGATCAGATTGACTGTATCCATTTCCACTTCCATCGGACCTCTCAGGCTTTCCGACTCTATGGATCCCATCGCCCGTTTATTCGAGGCTCCACCTGCACTCAGCCGGCACCAGGAAAACGACCGAGGGGGGAAAAGACAACCGTTGGCCTTCCGGACTTCCGGATGGCCCACTGAACCTCCCGTCTAATATCGTCGCTAAACCGAAAGGATTCAATTTACCTCGCTTGGCTGCGTCTTCGAGCCCGAAGCTCTGGGTACTTGCTTTAGCGTTGTCGTTGTGCATCCGCGACCGCGTCCCTGGATGCTAACCCGTTGAATCCTCAATTTGCGCCAATTCGCCTCCCATTGCTTCGATTTTTTATTTTTATTTTTATTTTTATTTTTATTTATTTTCGGTACTTTTGTATGACACTTGCAGATGGCTTGACTCGTCCTACATGATACCTATAGATTAGGGCCGCCCCCGACCGTGACAATTGCACGAGCGCGCCGAGGCGTCCCTCGCAAGCAAACTTGATACGGAGTACAATCAGTGTGAACCGGTTCGGCAGAGCACAGAGCACAAAGCACAGAGGCATGCGATGCAGGCGGAGTTTCTTCTTCAATCCACACGATCGACCTTTTTTTAGAGTGTGTCGTCGTCACTCCAAGCCTCGCCTGGAGGCGAAACAGTGCCTCTTCATCTGTGGGGCCGGCAAAAGCCCTGTTGCCACTCTCATCTGGACAGCCTCGACAAAGAAAAACCATCGCTAGTACTCATGTGGACTGGACTTCCCATAAGATCGGAATGTACGGAGTAGTCAGGACACACAACATCTCCAACTCGATCAAGATTCTCTATCTTGATTTCATCCCACAATAAACAACCGCAATCGGAGGCCATGCCCATGGTTCTCGCCGTGTCACCCCGCTCGCGACCCACGGAAACGCACACTTGGTACCTGCGTCGTTTCAGAGTCCTCACTCCCACGACGCATCACTTTGGCGTGGTTGCCTGTCGTACTTCTGCAAATTGATTCCCGACATGATAGATCGTACGGATCACGGAGTACCTACATGTGCCTGCTTTGACAGTTCATGTCCGATGTAGACATGCAGCTTCGCGCACATTATGGCCTGGCACGCTTTCCTTCCTGCATCCGCGTCCATAGTTCCGTACCGACACGGTGGGAGAGACGAAAATCCTCCCAGCTGGGGACAAAAGGCCCCGGTCCTCTCTACTTGTGAGGGGGGGGCAGAGACACACCTTCCAAAAACAGGACAACCGAGTGGATCTAGCTTCAGCTCCGCAGTGCCAGCGATCCCCAAAGCCCAGACTGTCCAGGCACGACGATCAACGCTCCTTTGATTGTCCGGTGGATACGTCAGAACTCCTTCGATCACGAGGGTATCAACACGGGCTAGACGGCGATCATGGCATCATGCCCCTGGAGTACCTGAATACTGGGCTCCCAATTTCCAATCCCTCGGGCCAGAGATCAGATTTGGATGAAAGACTCCCTACTCTCCCCTCTCCTGATGGTAATCTCCGTGCTTGAGGTATCGATTTTGGTATCAAAGGAAAACCGTGTGGGGCGCGGGGCGCAATCCGAATCGCGAATTGGACCTGTGCCATTTGCAAGTTCTGCTCTCCGCGGCCAACAACGCCGGCTTTCTCTGGTCCGTCCCAGTTTGCGGGTTTGGATCGCAGTCGTCTCTCTCTTGGATCAGACCGTCTAGGACTCAATCTCCGATTTGGTTTGGCTTGAAATTTAAGATTCTTTTTTAGAAGGGTCACAGTGGGAATCGTGGGGTGAAACTTTCCAGGGTCCGAAGCGAGTCATGACGATAAGCATGGAAAGATATTGATCTTCAGTCAATTTCCTAGATTCGAATCTATAAGATGCATAATAAAACTATCTGTTCTAACGTTCTGTCAAACGTCATTCTCGGCCTCGATGGAGTACACCTCCAATTCGGCGATCATCGTGTGAGCCGGGATTGTAACGCAAATCGGAAAGCCTCCGTAATCCGGATCGTCGTTCGGCATCATAGCATAGATCCCGCTACGAGTCTCGTCTCCATTCAAAACTCGAAGGGTTCGTAGTTGCCCCGTTTCTTTGTTAACAACCTGCTTCTCCTTGAAGTGCAAGAAACCGGTGAAGGTGCTAGTCGGTGACAACGATCGAGCTCGAACCTGGAACCCCCAGCCGATCAAGAGGAACTTTGGACCTCCTAAATGGATGACCATTCCCGCGCCAGGTCCAGCCTTTCCAAAAACGAAGCACCGCTCAATTGTCACCTCATAGCCTCCCCAATATTTGATAATTGGTCTGGAAGGGTCACTGCCGTCCGCCGCAAGCTCATCAAAGTGGAACCCGACCGAGGCGTCTGGGCGCGATTGGGCGTCGAGGACGATCTGCGAGACCGATTCGAGGAGTCCATAATGCTTGGTAAAGGGATTGGTGGCGGGCTCGAGGGTATCGATACCGAAAGGCGAGACCCCAATAGCCTGGAACGATCCGTACGCCGTCCAGATGCGCCGAACCCCGTACTCATCACGTCGCTGCTCGGGTATAAACAGCGGCTGGTTGCGGTGCCGATATTTGCGGCACGAGCTAGCGTACTCGTTCAAGTAGACATCGGGTGCGATGAAGTCCAACGATGAAGCAAACCGTTGCCAAACATCTAGAACATTTGTTGTGCCGCCTCCCGACGGATAATCGCCAGGATAACCACCACCCCCAGCAACAACGGGAAAGTTATTGTCGCCATCTTCACCGACATAGTTTTGCCACACATTTGTGTACAGCGGGATGGGGTATTCTTGCTTCCCAGCTGCGGCGACATGCTCGAGGTAGTGGGCGTAGTGATAAGCCATAAACAGTTCATCCGTTTGGGGACCTTTGCCAAAGACCTGTTCCCAGGATCCCTGGGGCTTACTCTGAGCTTTTAAATGGATGAGATTGGCCTTGAGATCTGTATGAAGGTTATCCCAGTCCTGTGCAAAGAATTGTAGTAGATCTTCAGGGACAGACTCGTGGAACTGCTTCTCTGCTGCGACGGAGCCATCGCGTGAATCACCCAGTAGACCGGTCTCGTTCTCTACCTGCACCATGACTACGGTCGAGTGTTCGCCATCAATCTCTTTGATATGTTGCAATAGACGAGCGAATGCTTTTGCATCGGCTATGCGTCCCTCGTCGTGGAAGATGGACAATACATCGCCGGTCTTTAAGACTCCCCCAGCCTTTCTCAACTTCGCACGAGGAAATCTCTTTGTGTTGGTCTTCACCCATGGAGGAGTGTAAGTGGAAATGCCTTGAGAAATAGTTAGTATGAACTCATATAGATCTGCAATCAGATATCATTGCATACCGTTTTTGAACGACCCAAACCAGAGCAAAACGAGATGTAGCCCATGTTTTCTCGCACCCAGGATAGCTTTATTCAGTTCGGCGAAGTTGAATTGATCCTCAACCGGTTCAATATCTTCCCAGGTGACACATCCCAAAACTGTATTGATGTTTGTATCTACTAGCTTCTGCCAGACGGTGTCCATGAAGGCCCCAGAGGTCATAGAAGAATTCTGCAGCTCTGCACCCAGAGCGAGAAACGGCCGGCCATTAACCACCAGCTGCTGGGTGTTGCCAACCTTACGAAGGTGTGGGATCTTAGGAGAGAGAGTCATGATTCTCTCAATCTGTCCGGGCTTGAAACTGCGAAATAAAATAAAAGAACTTCGGGTTGGAAGGATTGATCGAATACCCGGATCACACGATTTTCTGGTGTCCTCTTATACCTGCGATATCTTCTTCACCCCCTCATCAACCCCGCCATCATAGTACAGCCTGCTGCACCATGCGGGATAATAAGTGATCACAGCCCAGTTATCGAAACGGGATTCAGGCGGGATGATTGGGTGATATCCCGCTGGAAAGCTCAAAGTGTATCCCCCGCACGGAGAGGCAAGTATCGTAACATACGGGATTGAATACCTATGATTGGCTGATATCCCGCACCATGGAAAATGGCGCCTCTCCACAAACGCTTTTCCTAATTTGGCAGAAACCCGGGGTAAGTAGCAACTACTGAGATCAGCAGATGAACGGGGAGATATTTACTTTGTATTTGTGTATAAATAGAGGCTTTGGGCTGGGAGGTAAGACTATTTTTCCATCCGCAGCTTCATCAAACCGATATCTACCTCTTGGCAAACGATCAACTACCTTGTATATTCTTCGTGATATGGAAGATATAATGAATTCGAAAGCCCATGAGGCCTCGGTATCTCATACCGAGTTCTCATCTCCTTGCAGGCTGACGGCTTCAAACATCCCTGAGGTTACTTGGTGGAAGCACCCTGGACTGAGAAAGCTATACTTCATGATGCCAATCTTGTTTCTAGGTAATACATGAACTCATTGACTGATCACCGGGTATCATGGCTAAGACTCCTAGGTTCTTCCACAAATGGATACGATGGCTCGTTATTAAATGGACTGCAGACAATGACACCTTGGCAAGACTGTGAATATAGCCCAGCTGCATCAATGCCGTGACTTGTGATATGCTAACAGTCAAGCAGATTTCAATAACCCAAGTGGCTCGACACTGGGTCTTTTCACGGCAATTCAAAATATCGGCGGGGTGTGTGCACTGTTGATTGGTATTCTTTCTCTCAACTCCCTCATCACGATCGAGTAACTGAAAGATGTGATAGCTTCCTATGTGGCCGACCTCTTTGGACGAAAGATCGGCGTTGTCATCGGCCTGGTTGTTCTTTTTGTGGGAACAATTATTCAAGTCGTACCATCTGTCAACTCAAGCATGTTTCTTGCAGGGCGCTTCTTAGTCGGGCTTGGGTAAGATGATTCTCCCTGGCAACTACTCGATCCGATAAACTAACTCTAGAAGATCAAATGTGACCCAGGGATCCGCACCGCTACTTATAACCGAGCTTGCCCATCCTCAGCACCGCGGTAAACTGACTACGATGTACAACACTCTGTGGTATGTCGGAGCAATAGTCGCGGCTTGGACGGTATTTGGGACAATCAAGTATACATCGGAAGCATCATGGAGAATACCGGTCGCTATGCAGGCAGCCATGCCAATCATTCAGTTTCTGGGTATATGGTTTCTCCCTGAAAGCCCCCGTTGGCTCTGTGCGAATAATCGTTACGAGGAGGCCTTTGAAGTCTTAGTCAAGGTAAAGAATACCCAAAGTCTTTCAGTGATGGAATAATCAACATGCTTCAGTATCACGCCAGTGGCGACAGAGACGACACCTTCTGCGCATTCGAATTCCATGAAATTCAGGAAACAATCCGTATGGAGAAGGAAAATTCGACAACCGGTTGGCCAGTGCTTGTCCAGACGCCGGGAAATCGCAAACGACTTCTACTTATTCTACTGGTGTCATTCTTCTCGCAGTGTTCAGGAAACGGTCTGGTCTCGTATTATTTACATGACATCTTAAGTTCCGTCGGAATTGAATCCTCTTATGACCAGTCCGTCATCAATGGTGGTTTAACAATCTGGTGCTTTTTAGTGTCAATCTGCTGTTCTTCTTTCCTTGTCGATGTTCTCGGTCGACGAAAGCTTTTCCTGATTGCTGGCTTCGGTATGCTGATCACATTTAGCATTTGGACAGGGTAAGTGACTGCCATTGGCCCGGAATATAGTGGAAACTGCTGACCGAATCATAGTTGCTCAGCGGTATATGCACAAACTGGCAACAAGGGTGCTGGAAGTGCAGTCATTGCTATGATATTCCTCTTTTATGGAGTCGCCGGCTTCGCTTGGCCTGGATTGACTGTTGCGTATCCCGCCGAAATCCTTCCTTTCGGCATCCGGGCGAAAGGTCTTGCCGTTACCATGGCCGCTACAGCCTTGTCGTCTGTCTTCAACCAGTATGTTAATCCAATTGGCCTTGAATCGTTGAAGTGGCGATTCTATTTCGTGTATATTGCGATTCTGGTCATTGAGTGCCTTTGTATTTGGTTCCTATTCGTGGAAACAAAGGGCCCGACACTAGAGGAAATTGCAGAGCTCTTCGACGGAGAACATGCCAATGTCGCGGGTAACCAAGGGCTTTCACATGACCAGAAGCCCATGTCAGTGGAGCCATGATAGAACTGTTATTCTGTGTTACCATTTTTGTTCATGCAGACGGTCGGAGCATCGACAAAGCGTCACTTGCAAACTTTCCTCGTTCTGCAAGATCAGATGTAGCCGGTGTATTTATCTCCCTGTCAATAGGGATCGCATGTTGAAGAAGAAACTTGACTGTCCATTGATCGACAGTGTATGTTCGATCCATTGACTGCATGCATGCTTTCTGGAAGGTGAATAGCCGCTCCATCTAATATCACATTAGCCATTTCTGTCAATATTCTCCAAGAAGTATAGAGTCACACCATAAGGTCTACTCCTTGCCAGTATCCCTTCAGTTTGAGGAGTATCTCAAAGTTGAAATAGAGTCGTGCGCGCGCGTCAAGAAGTTCATGCTGACTTCCAAATAGAAGTGTATGTAGCAGGACTGACGATGAAACCACAGTCATATGTGCTACAATCAGGTAGACTGCCTCGCAGCCTGGCGTTTCATGTGAGGTCTTTAGTAGATCACTGAACGAGGTGGCATGATGCTTGCAACGAGCAACGAAGGTGCCTTGACTGGGTATTTCAGCAAGTTTCATGTCGAGATAGGGAAAGTAGAGAAGAGTCGAGTAATGATGATAGCCTAGGTGAAGAGCCACGAATGCCTGCGCTAGACCAAGCTCCGTATGCTGTGTTAAATTCCTGGTGTTGAAATGAAGATTGGCTGGTAACTCTTGAAGAAAGTGATCAAATTCATGTGCCAGTTCAATCGTGGTCATTTCGGCTTTTTGCTGATCTAAAGCTCCCTCTGCCAACTTCTGGTGCAGAATTTGAATATGGCCGAATATTCGAGCGAGAATCACCATGTATCCCCATAGGCCTCGACGAGGCTGAGAGCCATCTTCAATTCTCTGCCCGGGGACAAGATTCCAGAAGTCAACTTCTGGCATTGGAAGACTATGCTGTTGGTTATGCATCTGTCGTGGTAGATCTAAACCGGCAGAGGACCATTGATCAATCATATACAAGGACCACCAAGTTCGAATCTTTATCTCCCTTGTTATACTGTCATCTGTCACATCAGGCTCCGGGAGATGCAGTATATGCGCCATTCGAAATGCGAGGCCTACCATGAATTTTAGAATTGGTTTTTATACAGTGTCGTGTGGGTTTATCTCACCAAAAAACACTGCCTCTCCGGCTGACTCGCTTTCTGTTCCACACAAGTTACCCATAAGGACGCATGCATGTATGTTGTCGAGAGACACATGGTCAATTTGCATTTTTAAAAGACGCTTCGCCGCTGAAAAGAAGCTGTTCGTCTGATGGCATGTCTCTTGATCATCCGCAAAACTGTTGTAGAAAGAGAGTCAGTATACTATTTACTACACTCGGTCGTAAGGTCTGATAGTCCGCCTATAACTTACCGTGCTGCTAGTGCCATGATACCATAAAGTACTGCCATTGGTAAGGTTTCTTCGCGCACTCTCTTTCTCAAGAGCGAGGGGTGAAACAGAGAATGAGGTTTGTCATGGATGAATCGTAAGTAAAGGCTGACCAAATTATCTCGCATGCTATTCGTGACATTTTGGCATTTTAAATGAGAGTCAATTGTACTAGGCGATATGGATGCCGGGGTTGGCAATAAGGAGCGCTGAGATCCTTTTGGCTGGTTTGACAAAGAACAGCGTTTCCCTTGCTTCAAGCATTGTTGGCACGGGCTCTTCGCCCCCGCAAGCCCCGCAACGCATCGCCGCTTGCTAACTCTGCATTGTGAACAGGAAGTAGAAACCTTCATCAATTCGGGGGGTTGACCAGTTTCGAGTCCTAGTAAAATGAGATCTTTTGAATTTGTCCAGGATCTATTCTGGAGTTTGGGGACAAAAGGCTGCAGGGACTAGTTATAGTATAGATGGTAGCCAAGTAACTCGACCGCCTCCGGCCCCGGGATCGGCAGAAAAGACAATCTTATCTCATGCTAGTGATGGATGACCCTACTACAGCTTCCCTTCCCAAGGCCCAAAAAAAAAGCTGTTGCGTCATGGGGAATGGCCCACTTGAGCGAAAGCTCAAATTCGAGAAGCGCAACCAAGATCTGGTGAAGCTGCCCAAGTGTAGGCGATCCTCTCTCCCGCCGACCCAAACCACCGGCAATACCACCCGCAACACGGAACTAACAAATTTGTCCCTGCAGATGCAAAGGTGGAAAAGCGCCCAATCCCTCATGCCCCTGTCGCATCGCCATATGCAGGCCCATCCATCCCCAAAGTCGTCTATGTTTCTAGCAATACCCCGTTCATGAGTGCCGTGAAGCGCGTCCAGAAATTACTACGCCAAGCCGAGAAGCGCGCAACGGCCAAGATTAGCCTCGAAGATACGCGCAAAACAGAGAAGCAAAAACTTGCGGAACTGGCCAAGTCGGACGAGCAGCGAGAGGAAGTGTTTGTTAAGGCTACTGGACGGGCAATTGAAAAGGTGCTCAACGTGGGGAAGTGGTTCGAAGAGAAAGAAAGCGAATATACGGTCCGCGTGAATACTGGAAGTGTCCTTGTTGTGGATGATGTTGTTGAAGATGAGGAGCGAAAGGAAAAGCTTGCACTGAAGGAACAGAAACAAGATGTGAGAGGCAAAACCGAGCCTGAGGAAGGCGCTGCGAAGCCTGACGCCAAGAAGCGCAAACGACAAGAGAAGCCCGAGGCTACCGATGATTACGAGCTACCTGAGACGCGAACCCGATGGATTAAAATGGTTGAGGTCGCCGTCAGCCTCAAGTGAAATGACTACGGAGGGTATGGCTGCCTGCGGCATGTTATGCCATACCTCGCTAGTATCACGCTCCATATCATCGTCCTGAAGGTACTGAAAGACATTGTCATCAGGCGATATGTCATCCTCGACTCCACTGTCCACACGAATCAGCACCATCGACGACCTTTCGACCGTTTCCAAAAAAATGCACTTAGGTGCACCGACATTACATCCGCGCGGATTACAAAGAGCATGCATGCATGCATGCAAAACTCTTTCCGAATTTTCAGACGAAATTGCAAGGATTATTTGCCAAGTCGACTCCTTCACATCCACTCACTGGCTCCTTGAGATTTATATCCACGGACGAGCACACAATGATACCCATACAATTTTACTCCATAGACTCCAGAATAATCTACCTAAATGAAAGAAAGATCAATTGATTGATTAACATGAAGTATCCATACTTCCAAAGCCATCATCTATAAATACTCCGAGATATACAAAATAGAGATCCTCTCGTAACCGAAAATAATGATCTAATCCACACGCTGCGAGTCCGGCACGCAGGCCCAGCTGCAGCCATATCGTTTGAATGGCAAGGGGCGCATCTTCTCTCCAGAAGCCCTCGGCCGCTTCATGCCATTCTCGTGGGGAGTGCAATCCCACCACTCCATCCATTCCGCACGACGACTCACAAACTCCCGCTGGCACACTGAGCAATACCACCCTCCGTCTGCGCGAACGTCTTGTGCTAGACTCAGCAACGGAATCACAAGGGATGGAAACTCGAGCTTTTCCTCCTCTGTGATGGAATCGAGGCCAGGATGTTTCCATAGGGCTCGAAGAGATAGTTCGCGTAAAGATGGAGCATTTGTGGATGGTGTTTGTTGTGCCTTTGCTAGCCTGGTGGGTTGGGTATTCCTGATAGGCTTGCCATCCATATTGTACAGGATTATTGGACCTGTCGCTACGTGAATAGCGGCCCAGGCCTCATCTGGTGGAGTGCCCTCGTATTCTGTGAAGGTAACATGGCTTTGCAGGAGCTCCTTATCTCCTTCGTCGTTATTGTCTTTATTGTCATCATCGTCATAACTGTTGCTGTCCTTTTCATTTGGGATCTCGTTGGGTTTACGATGCCACTCGACGATGTCGGCGTCTTCAATTAAAAGGAATGGATTCGGGCGTGGCGTAAAGTGTTTGAGTTCTCCCTTTTGAAGAAGAACCAGCAGCTCCCACGGGAGGTGAGAGAGCCGGTTGACGGAGAGGTTCAGAACTTGAAGCGCAGTGAGATCCCGGATTGTGCAGGGAATGGAGGTGAGCTTATTACTGCGTAAGCTAAGTACCCTGAGATCCTTCAACTCAAAGAGCTCTCTGGGAAGCGTCGCGAGGGAATTGTTAGGAAGATATATGCGCAGAAAAGGCTGAAGCGAGAAGTAGGCATTCTCTGATATCGGAGGTTCTCGCATAGAGGGAAGCTTCGTCAAATGCTGTAGTGATTGAACCATATCTTTGGGAAGAGTCTTCATGTTGAGATTTCTAGAGAACCAAGTTAGGTAGGATGAACGCGAAGTCTTTGATATCCAGAGAAACTTACCCCAGGTCGATACTCTCCTCGCCCTTTTCAAGACAGTCATTGACCACTTTTCTCGCAAATTGATGCTCTTCTGATTCATCATTTCCATTCGCGACGATTTGCCAGGACGGCGCAGGAATTGGCACTGGCCCTCTTAAGAAAGGCAGCTCAGTAGGAGCTCTTCCTGATGCGCGAGGATCCAACACCGTCTTCAAGAGGTCCTCTCCCCAAGCTGGCGAATCTTCGGAGGTCAGAAGAGACTCGGCGACAGACTCATCGCTGCCCATCCAGACACCACTGTCCACATTACGTTTCTCCTTGAAATCAGCCCTCTTTCGCTTTGGATCCTGAACTTGCTCTCCCCACCAGGTTCCTCGATAACGACGCTTGCGCCCCGGCCCAGATACTGGCGCATTATAATTCTCTAGCCCAGATGCAGGAACATCATCACTAGAAAAGAGCGCCGTGTCACTGGAAGGTTGACTCGAGCGGTCATCGAAACGCGACAATCGGCGCGACTTGCGGAAGGATGATGCGACCGAACCTGGTGCCGATGGGTTTGCGCGTGCCGGGGAACGGTGTCTCAGTCGTCGTGGTGGGGGGAGAGGAACTTCGTTATCCATTGTGGTGATTAGGGGCACCCCTTGAACGAACAAGACCTCCTTGCTCTCCAGAGTTCCTCAGGAATGTGCTTGACAGGTGAAACGGCGCGGGAAGCTCGCGGGTGCGACGCGTGGTGGAGCCGCAGACAACCCCCGATGTCAACAACGCGCAAACCGAACAAATTCAATGTCCAGTGGAGTGAATGATCCGTCGATTGGACACCCAGGACGTACGGAGGATAATCAGATCAAATCTTATATCGATTGAAACCAGGGCCGAGATAAGATCAGATCCAACGACCGAAGCGGCAGACGCGTGGGTGCACGGGCATGAGTCGACCGCGGAGACCACGGCAAGCTGGCAGATCCACCAAGGAATGTTGGATCGACATGATCTTCACTATCTACGGAGTAGTAAATTTACACTTGACTCTATATGAACAGCTAGAATACATGGAATATTGTTATCTTGGAAAATGAAGAATGTGTCTCATTTCATGTCCAGTGTTCAAAATTGGAGGTTTAAACCATGAAAGCGTATCCGGTCAGATGGGATCTCGCTCAGGTGTTCCGCGAACTTGATAGCACTAGACAAATATCGACAAGAAGAAGAGAAAGGTAAAAGGTATAAATATAAAAAGGGGTGTGAGAAGTGAAGCAACATCAACTCGTGTCCACAAAGTCGTTATAAATGGGGTATTTGAGAAAATTTCAACGTAAAGCCGTTTCCGTTCCGAATCGGATTCTCCAGCCAACCGGAGGATCAAAAAAGTGAAAGAAGAATAGAAAATTATAGGTCCAAAATAAAGGTTGTACCCCGGCTTTCTGCTGGAGATGAACGGCGGAAGTAAAAGGAGATCCAGACATGGTTCGCCTCCCTTACAATCAATGTAAACAATCGATATCTCGACGCTAGGTCTCTGATATCAAACGATTGCCGGGAGGGTGGATCACTGTCAGAGATCTCGTGGGGTCGCGTCCGCGATTACAGGGCCAGGCCCATAATCAGCGCGAAAGATCCAGCGCCCAGGACGGCCGGCATGCCGGCGGCGACGTTGACTGCAGCTCCAGTCTTGGTAGCCGATGCGGCGGACTGGGTTGCGGTCGAGGTAGCGGTCATCAGGGGGGTGGAGGTGGCCGGGAAGGTGGTCATGCTGGAACTGGGAGTAGCAGTGACCGAATTCACTCGGATCAAGGTCTTGGTAATAGTCGTAGTCGACTGAGAGGTGGTGTCCTCGGCGGCGGCAATATGCGCCGCCGCAATGCAGAGGAACGAGGTGATCAGGGAGCTGAACTGCATTTTGGCTTTTTGCGAGAATGAGTTGCGATTTTTGTGTGTGCAGCACCGAGTGTATCGGAAGAGAGAAGGTCTTGAAGAAGACGAAGGTGGTAGGTCGTTAAAGAAGAAGGCGCGACACTATCGTGGGTTGGTGAAACAGTTCTGAAAGCGATTCTGTTTCGAATGCGTTTTGAATCTTGAGCGCAAATGAGTGGGACTCAAAGACGAAAGTGAAAAGAATGTGTGTGGTAAGAGTGAGAGTGTGTGAGAGAGAGTGTGTGTGAGTGTGCGATTGCGGCTCAGAGCGATGGCAGGATGTATAAACGAGTGACTGGTGTGGGAAACGAGTGACTGGGGTGAACAAATTCTTCAGTGGCGCCAACAGGAGGGGGAAAGAGGAGAGAGTATGACAGGGTGTGGCATGCGCCCTAAATACACGAAGGCCCAACGAGCCAGTCGAACCTGGGGAAAGGGTCATTTCACGCTTTTGGGCCCTGTGGCACCCAAATTGAGGACTTTTATTGATTTTTTGGCGCTACTGATCCTTCCTATTGGTCCGGGTAGCACACGGTTCCTGGGACTATGGACCGGCCTAAAATCGAAACTATGGAGCACTACTCCGTCATACATACTAGAAGCCCGAGACTAGTACTCCATAGGAGGAAACTAAGCAACAGTTCTGCCAAGTAAAACATAAACAGGGTCTCATTGCCGCACAGACTTCTCCGGGTTGCAAGGGACTCTCTCAAAGGGATGACAACATCCGAGTACCGAGTACAGAGTCAATGATAGACACTGGACGGAGCATCATCATTAGAGATCATCCTTTAGGGCTACGTGGACAGTCAAATAATGACCCACGGTTCCGTTCCAGTGACGATCAGATGCATATCGGGTCCGGTGGGCGACTTTGGGATATCGGGAAACAAAGAACAAGCATGTCCGCAATGGGGGCACCGGACCCCCCATGTGCAATACGAAATTCTTCGCCCCCGAAAGATTCCACTGACCCTCGTGCTCGTTCTTGGGTTGCCCTAGACTCCAATGGGGCCGATGGAGACATGGCGGATACGGAGTATCCCCCCAACGAAGTCTCCCCTAACGGCGAACACGAACTACTATTTGGCCCCAGCTGAGCCCCGTTGGCCATGAGATGTGTTTCTCATAGACGCCGTGTCTTTCTGAAATGAGGATTGGCTCTCAGCATGATGCAGCAGGTGCTATCCTAGACCCATTGGGTTGTTGGGGTTGGCTCACCAACAACAAAGGACTGTGCGACCCCTGGCGTCATGGGTGCAGGAACGGACATCACGGATCTCGTAGGGTTGGCCGGTGATGATTTGCCCCCCGGAGGGTAGAATCGGCCGGGCCTTGGGAAAAAAATGCTTCAATGCCCATCGAAGGGCTGAGGGGCGACGATCGTATTGGCCAGAACCGGGGAGTTAACCGAGATTGGCTTAAAATTTGTCTTATTTTGCCTCGTTGGCCGACACGAGAGTGGACAAGTGGGCAAAGGTGGAAATGGGTGGACTCAATTCGTTTGATTATGTTTGGGCTTGGCATAGTGGCCCTCCACCAATCAACTGTTTGTGCCTGAACGAAGCCCATGGGTTCCTCCCGGAGGCCCACCACTATAGAGATCGTCTGCTCAACCTTCCACTTGTAGTCTTATAGTGCCCGTTCGTGAGAGTCTGGGGGGGTTCGAGAACTTCGCTGATCATTGTCAAGATTTTCACCTGACAAAAACCCCTTGCTGCAATCATTGAGCTTGACAGAGTATGGCATGCGAAATTTACAGCGACTCGGACAACTGCCGGAATCTGGCAATTGCTGTACGGAGTAAGCATCTCACCCACAATGGATCCTAGGACGTCCCGACTTCAACCGATATAGTTGAATAACAGGGAGCCTGCATTTTGCAGGTTGGGACCGATGATCTGTACAATATCCGACACCGCTTCTTCCGTGCCGCGGCCCGATATTCCCCAAGACTCGTCGGAGGACGCAGGAAAGTGTACGGAACCTTCCGTCCTTGACAAAGGGGCACAGGGCACCGTAGGTAGGCATGGACATGGACCGGAAGGAGTACAAAAATTTAGCTTGGGTAGGTTCCATAGCAGGTAGAGAATATACAATGTAAATCGGACACGATGAGATCATGCAATCAGTTGCTACATATGATTGCTACACAAGGAGGGGTAAATGAGCAGCCAAGTACGGAGTAATTGGAAGAAAGCCAGAAAGCCAGTCAGACGCCTCAAATTCTCGCTCTAGTCCCATTTTGGAAAAACCAGGAAGCAATACGCTGTGGAAAAGGTTTTCTTCAATTATCCGCGAGATGGCCATCCCAAGGTTTGATGATGCACGTACGTGTAAGAGCTTGTCTAGCAGTGACTACTTGGGTAAATGGTGAGAAAGGCCGAGTCAAACAACAATAAGTCTGTAATCTTGTATCAAACTTAATCCATAACTTACCCAAACTAGGCGCCATCTCTCGGCTGTTACGTCGCCAGCAATCTAACGCAGCCATAGGATACATCCGTCGATGAGGCTATACAGAGATTTGAATTTTAGAAAGCCCTTGATATTTTGCTTAAAGTTGACCCAGCCGGTCTCTCCAGCATATTTCTTTTCATCATCTGGTAACATGATGGCCGTACTGACAACTCAATTCGTCGCCTGTCAGTGATTGATTGGTCTCGCTTCTTTTGCCCCAGCGTTCTCCCACTCAGCATTGATTCAAGTTTGCTCCATTGTGAGAGGAGGCTTGTTGTTTTGCGTGTTCCCTACATCGGCACTAGCACAGACTTCATTTATTTTCACGTCTCTCCTAGTAGTAGTAAGTGCCTAGGTAGTAGTTCTATAAAATATATACCTAGTAGTAGTAGTAGTAGTAGTAGTATTGATAGTAAAGATTCCAGGGCTGCCAGTGGATCCTGAGGTCCGTCTGAGTCTGATGTCATCACTGCTAGTACCACCTACTACCTACCTACTAGTACTACTACCTAGGTAGGTATATATTTAAAAGAGAACTTCAAGTTAATGTTAGGTGGTAGTACCTACTAGTAGGTAGAACTACTACCTAGGTACTTACTACTACTAGGAGTACTTCCAAGTACCTAACCTTCATAGGATTGGTAATTATTTCAAGTTTTTGCAAACACGCTCGGTCTCTGCAATTCTAGCAGTCTTTGAACATACATTCCACTGCCTTGAAGCTGCACTGCACTATTTGAGAAAGGCATCAAACTAATATAAGTTCCAAGGTTAACCAGTCGATCAGGTGCCGTCAATTTCGCAGAATAAAAAACCTCAATCCCAGGATGGGCCAGAGTATCGTATGCTGAAATCAACAGAAAGAGTGAGCAATGATACTGACTCTGTGATACCAAAGTCGCCATGTCTGCTGAGAGAGAGAATATTGAGCTTTCGGTGACTCGTAGATGCAACTGGTATATATACATTGAAAACCGAGTGTCCATAGGCTTTATCATAAAAGCCGAGCCTTCCAGGTAGTATAAGCCCAAGTAGCTGCCAGCCCAGATGTTTCAAGGCCGTCAAAAACGCTTCACAAAATGTAATAATTATATCGTACAAAACACCCCCGCCTTTCGATTTGGTCATGTTCGCATGAACCTCGGGCATCCCAGCACAAACGCTAATGACTGTCGAGCCTATTGGCGCATAGGCTTCAAGGGGCTCTGACGAGGGAGCATCATAGGAGGGCCGCGGGCACGGAGCCAGGCATCGTTACGGGGTCCCTCAGTACGGATCACGCTGCCGATAGACATGAAAAGTCTGAATATTAGAAGCACCATGGTTAGCCTAATATTGACAAAAGACAAGGTACATCGCAAGAAAACGAGGAAACCAAGAGAGGGTGTAGAAGGCAAGGCGGAACATACCCAAAAGTGGCACCGGAGCCCAACATGTACTTGCCCAGTGTCCGCATGACACCGTTGGGGCCGGCACCGTACTGGAAGATAGTGACAGTTCCTGCAATTTATCAGCTAACTGAAAAGCAGTGGAACTGCCATTTGTATTAGGGTCCTACTTACCGATAATGAAGCCCATAATTCCACCGACAGCTAAAGGTGGAGAATCACGTCAGTTAGACGCAGCTCTTGTACTTCGCGCTTGCAGCAGATACATACTGGAACCCATCAGACCACCCATTTTCACTAATATATGAGTTAGCTTATGCTTGATATAAACAGTTTTCTGCATTCCAGGACAGCTTCCTGGGTGGAATCTATGGGCCACCTACTCTTGTCAAAGGTGGAAGGGCCGGCAGCACCTCCGCCAGGGGCAGGACCTGCGACAACAGGCATTGTGTAGTAAGTTATGAAAGGTGGTTTCAAAAAGAGAAAGGTTATTGATTGAGCAGAAGCTCAGAGGCAGATGAAGCGAAGCTGATTGCCGTGAATGGGAATCGGAGAAGCTGCTTTTTCTCCTCAGCGTAACGGAGCCGTCTCCGCCTTTATCACCTGATCCGAACGGCACCATCACACGTGCGGGTAGAGCACGTGACCATACATGGCCATTCGACGGGGGCCGTCAAGGGAGCCGATCTCCTCTCCCTGGGTGATAACGCTTCATGGCCGACCATCCTCGATCTTTGATTTCTCACCTTTTACATCCTTGTTAGGGCGGCCTCGAGCCCGTGGCAAGGCGGAAGTCCCGTCTAGCGTTTCCTCCATTGTCCTTGGGACGGTGTGAGACACCGGTCGCTACTCAGTTTCCGGCAAGACCTCACACGCCTCCCTGGTCTGGGCGATGGTTCTTTTGTCCTAGATTGCGGTTCAATATTCTCCGATCTAAATCTAACAGGTAAGTTCGACTTAACTTGACCGCTTGGATCTGCACTGGGCGACTTCAGCTCGTGCCTTCGGCTTGGGTTCAAAATAAATTGTTTGGCAAGCGACTGGCGCTAACGCGACCGTTCTGACCTAGCCGGCCGACCAGAAAAACAACAGCCCTGTTTGCTTCACAGACAATTCTTTCGCTCACGAACACTGTCACGATTTGACGCAAATTGGAGGCCGCATTCACAATCACCCGACCGCCCCCTGTCCTCATATCATCGCCATTGATCTGCACCTGCCAAGCACCGTAGACTCTCTGTCGTGTGGAACTTTCGCCCGTATCCTTCTCCATGACTGCTGTCGCATCTCCACCTAGTGTGCAATCGGGGTCTCGCTTGGGATGGTACAGCACTGGTGACGGAGGACAAGGAGCCCTCTCTTCGATGAACACCGACGAAGTGTCACGGATGTTCATGCCAAGGAAACACGTTCAACGGTCGAATTCCTCATCCTCGCTTGGGTCAACTGCCTCTACGAACACTGTGTCCAGCAACAATTCACAAGATATCCATGCTGGACAGGTCTCCAACGGTGAATCCGGTACCTGGTCATCAAAACCAAAGTCTACCCGCAAAGTCTGGCCAAACTCCAAAGCCGAACCAGTCTCGGGAGTTTCAACTGCACGATCCCAAGCGGGCCCTGCATTCTCGTCCGGACCAACTGCCTCATCCACAATGTCTGCGATTCACCAGCCATCCTCTATTGTCCCGTCACAGCACATGCTTCAGTCCTCTCAACAGAATGGGGTCCGACAGCAGCCCAACGGACAATCTGCGGACCCCCCCAGCTATCTTGGCCCTTACGCCAATGAACCAAACATTCGAGAAGAAACAGATAAATGTGCCCTTTTACCCTGAAGTTTTACGGATCGGCCGCCAGACGAACGCGAAAACAGTTCCTACCCCATTGAATGGCTTCTTTGATTCAAAGGTCCTTTCTAGGCAGCACGCTGAGATATGGGCCGAGAAAGCTGGCAAAATTTGGATCCGCGACGTGAAGTCATCAAATGGAACTTTTGTCAACGGACATCGATTGTCACCCGAGAATCGAGAGTCAGATCCCCACGAGTTACGGGAAAACGATACGCTTGAGCTAGGAATCGATATTGTCAGCGAGGATCAAAACACCATTGTCCATCATAAGGTCTCTGCTAAAGTTGAGCACGCCGGTCTTTATGGATCCACCCCTAACATCCTTGACCTAAACTTTGGAGATTTGGATCCTGCATCTGGGGGCGGACTTCTACCTTCACCCCTCAGCCAACCGCTTTCGCACATGCGCGGCCGATCTGGTAGCAATGCGAGCAATCGTTCTGCCCAGAGTGCTGCCAGCAATCAACTCAACGTTATGCACCAACAACGTCAAATGAACTACTGGAACTCCCCCATATCCGTTGAACAGGTGGTCAAAAGACTTACGGTAAGCTTCCGGATGAGAGTTGATTGTTGCGAGTTCTTATTCTAACATTATCTCAGAACGAGTTGAAGCAAGCCAAACAGCAGTCTCAAGATCTTCGCCAAACAGACGATTTCTTGACAGCGATCAGACAGCCAGGTTATGCTGAGAAGGAAAGATTGAACAAGCCGTCGCCTCTCGAAGGTAATCCTTCCCGCCAACTTAACGGACGCCCGAAAATGCCCCGCGTCGATTCTTTCTCCAGATTCTCAGACCCACCCGCTCCTCCACCTCAACAACCTCTCCCCGAAAAGCCAGATGCTCCCCCACGTAGTGGATCGGAGTCGTTCTCGCCCCTGAAGCGCAGTGATACGGATAAAGCCAAGTCTATGTCTACAAGTTCTCCCGTCTCTCGCGAATCAAGTCAGATCTTGTCTCTTATTGAGGCATTGTCAATTGCCAAACGCGAAATTGATACTCAGGGCACTCGTATCAAGGAACTCGAAGATCTCCTTCGCGAGGAGAAAACTGCGCGTGAATCTGCGGAAGACAAGGCCAAGAAGTTGGAAACCCCTACCCCCGCAGAGGAAGAAATTAAAACCGAGAAGGCCCACCAGGAAGCTCTGGAGGAAGGACTTTTCGTCAAACAAGAACAAGACGGCGTCAACTCCACCGGAGAACCAAACGGTACCATACTGTGTTCAGAGGTTCCCTCGCTCCCCGAAAACAAAGAGGCGGAGTTTTCAGCAAAAGCACACGCCGAGCAATTGCAACGTCGTCTTGATACCATGGCCGGAGAGATGGAAGAGATGCGAAAGCAGATGGCGTCTTTCAGGGAGCGTGCCGAAACCGCCGAGGACGAGACAGTCCAGTCGAGAAAGTCTTTGGCAGAGATGATCGAAACTCTCCGCCAAGAACGTATCGAAAAAGCGGCAGCCACAGCCACCGAGGTCAAGACGGATGGATCCAATGATGATCCAACAAAGTCTATTTTCGACCATTCGATTCTAACCGAGAATGGCGTTGCAGAAATTGGCACCCCAGCACAGAATTTTGATCCCGGATCTGTAAAGAGCCAAGAGGAGGACCCGACTTCAAATGTTACAACTTCCTTACAACGGCGTCAATACCTTGAGGAAGCAAGTCCCTACGCATCCATATTCGGAGTGGTTCTCCTCGGGGTCGGATTAATGGCCTATCTCAACGGGTGGCAAAAGTTGGACAAATAAACCGATTCCGGCTACATCTTACTCCTCGTTTGACCCACATTAATGATTGCTTTCCTGCAAAATCCGGCGTCTTTCATTGCTGATTAGCCAGCATGGTATTTTTCATCCCGACGACTCTTTCCATCTGACGATTTGATTTCCCTGTATTCTAGGCATGGCCTGCTGGCTGAGGCACCTAGTTGATTGATACTTCTGGGGTTCGGTGTTGGTTTCCATGGCCGTCATATCGCATAGTTGCATATTGTGACCTCTCAGTCTTTTATGTCATGAGCTCTTTCCAATTCGCGCCAATAACGATCCTTGGTGTCGAATGTCCTGATCCTTTCACACCGGGTTGAAATCGACCTTTTCCTTTTCCTGCAACGCCCCCTGTCTTCATATCCCTTGTCCCATCAGTTTAGCCCACACAGTCTTTATTTCTCATCTCTTTTTGAACTCTCTTGTCATCCTTTTCCTGCTTTGACCCTTCTTCTTTCGAGGCACTGGTATCCACTTTCTTCTCTGTACATGATGCACATTACCAAGGATGGTCATGACCTTGGCTCTGCTTTGATGCCGTTCAATTAAATCCTTTTAACGAGCACTATCGATCATGTCATGATAGTGCAACATTTCTAGTTCTTTTCCTCGATCTCGTATGCTTCACTATAGCGAGCGCAATGTCTTATTGCCAATTGAGCGATTGCACATGTGTCTCTGAGCGTAGATTCGTTTAGTATGTAAACGGCGGCTGGTTCGGTTGCCAAAAACTGTCGGAACTTGAAGCTATCATATCATTTGCAGATGTCTATAATTTGTAACTAAGAATGAAAGTTGTTCTTCAGCCTTCTACTAGGATAATGGTATAATCCGGGGCGTTCACTACAAAGTTGTAACAAGATACGGCATGGCCAGATCTCAGCTTACTGTCATACAGCATACTATCGCATATTGAAGATTGTACTTATCGAATTGTACTAGTATGAATATCAAATCGGCGACAGAAATACAGACATAATATTCAATCATTCAATCAACAGGGGACAACTTGAACATGAACGACAGGTCAAAGTGTAATACTAATACGTATACCTAGCACATTAAAGGATGAAAACCATCGTGCCGCCCATTTACCATCCACGCTGTTGACCACTAGCAGTTTTATTCTCATAATCAGAACTTCTCACACGGGGATCCAACTTGTTTAGAAGGTTAGAGCTGTGTGGACCGGAAGATCTTCTCTGGGTATTCGAGCTGCCCCCGGCGGCGGCAGTGCCACCGAATCCCTGCTGTTCGGCACGGCTATTGAGCTCAGATTCGCCGCGACTCTCCATCTGGTTGGTCATATTGGAGCCCGCATTACTGCGAGTGTTGTAGCCGTGGCTACCGCCGAGGTTGGTGTCATCGGCCCTATCACCCATACCGGAAGCTCCATACTCCGAGGTGGAAGCACCCATTTGACCAGTATTCAGTTCGTTAGAACCGTACCCTCCAGCGTAGCTCGATTTATAAGTCGTGGAATCAGTCTTGGAGTTTCCAATCCCCATGCCCGAATCATAGCCCCCGGAAGGTCTATCGGATGAGGCAAAATCGCTCGTATCTTTCGTGTAATCACGATAGGCTCCAGTATCAGGACTACTGGTATCGTGACTACTAATAGCACCAGTAGTGCCCATAGTACCCGAGCCATACGTATTGGCAGTGTCTATTGAGGTTAATAAACGGTGCGTTTGATAATGTTGCATTATCAAATACCTCGCATGGTATCCATCCCACTCGAATTGCGATTAGTGCCACTCTCATAGCTACCAGATCCATGGTTTGCTGTAGTGCCCATCGTGTTCGAGCCCATCGTATTTCTCAAGTCAATTTTCTTAGAGTCGTTGAAGCCACCAGCACCATATCCGCTAGAGCCGTAGTCCCCAGTATTCCCAGTATTCCCAGTGGCACTTGCACTAGTGTTCATGGTGTTGTCCTTACTCATTCTGGGGTTATGAGTACTCCTATCTTGGGTATTGGTACTATATGTATCACGATTCTCGGAGCCCATGGTAGACGAGTTGTACTGGCCATGGTTGTTTTCAATATTCTGGTTTGACGAGTCATAGGATGATCCCTTGTGGTCATTGTGACCAGTGAGAGCATCCTTGACCTTGTGCATCAAATTCGACATGGCGAGGATGATTTTATGACTCGTGCTTAAAATGATTTCGGTCGAAGTTGGACTTGAAGGTGGGATAAATCCAGGGCTTATATACTAGTAGTTGGTAGAGCTTGAAATACTTAAAAATTGAGCAATCGGTGGAACCTTGAAAACTAGTAGGGATACCACTCAGAGACCTGACCAATAGATAATATATACATCCATGGATACTCACCAGTTCACTTCGATCCATTGTAAAATTGCCGCATTCTGAAATCAGTGGCGCCATAACGCGGGGTGGAAAAGATGGGAGGGACCATTCAGGTTGGGAGATTTTCCATTCAGTCTTTTTGAAAGCTCAATGACGGTATGTAAGATGCTGAAACGGCCACCTTCCAGCGAATAACTGAACCATCCATGTCATCTAACGTCATGAACTATGAAGGCTAGACCAAGCCCCGCCACTGGACAAAGCTCAATTGTATCCCCGCCTCGAAATCGCGTGGAGATGAGACCCGCGGAAGCACGAGTGGAAACTTGCTCTTGCAGGTAATGTCATATTTCCATGGGTCAATTAATAGGCAATATGATTTCTCAATGGTCATGATACTATACGTGGATACGCAGTGACATCATGCGCAGTGGCTTGTGTCGAACTTTCGCTGGTACTTTCTTTTCTTTCCCCCCTTATTCGCATTGTCTAGGTCTGCTCTGCTAAACCAAATTTACGTGGCTGAGTAGAAGCAGCCAAGTGTTTATATGGCATTTTGTTGAAATTGGAGTACTGACTAGTATACGTCATGTTAGCGGGCACTGCTGTACCACTGTGGGGGGGGCACTAAACTGTGCATAGTTGAGTGGAGAAGCAACAGTTGTCCTCATCTCCGGGGCAGAAAAAGTGAGTATGTGAGCGTTTGGAGCGTTTGATTAGGTTATATGTAGCCTCCTTAATCATGAGAATCAGATTTCTAGTCTCAAAGCTTTTAATTAACACTACCGTGATTGCGATGTCATGGTTATCCTATGAAAAACCCTAACTAGGGTACGTAGTACCCTGGTAAAGACTCGGACGTGGGTCGGTCCCGAGAGTGGGACTGGGAGATCCGCGTCAACTAGTCAGCTAGTTCTAGATGTAGATAATCCGTACATGGTGCCTAGTTCTTTGAATCACGGAATATGGAGACTGTTGATAAGATATCAATACAATGATACCTTTAGGTAGAACTGTGAATATATCCTCATGACCAGACAACGTGATCAAGTAACATGACCTTGGCAAGTCTGCCTCAGGCATGACAAACAATGCCGTCACAAGGTGGTTACCTAATCACGGGAGCTTTCTCCACTCACTCCGTACTGACTTAGACAACTCGAACTTCTGTGCATCCACTGTGCCCCTCTCCCCTTTTTGTATTCTGGGCGAGTGTTAGTTTATGTTTTGACTGTGACTGTCGTTTCGTTGTTTTATCGCTTAGCGGTGCTGCTCATTGTCCTCGATGAGTGGCCGCCTGTTCGCTATACGCCAACCGTTGGATTGGTCGACCGTCCCATCCGTCAGCCGTTGTGATACAACGGGAGTTCCAGGCAAATCATCTACTGGGCTCCTTCGACATATCCGTCTGCCCTTCTCTCCAATTCTCTAGATTTCCCGATTCTCACACCACTGCCAGAGATGCGGTCACCACGCCTTCTTCTGGTACTCTTCTGCCTAATCTTCTTCCCTATTCTTTTGACCCTCTACTCCGCCTTCTCCTCGTCAAAGGTCGCAACCCCAAATACGCTCGCTGGACGCTCGTCCGGGCTGCATGCCTTGTTTTCTTTCAATATCCCCACCTCTCTCTTCCCCCCCTCCGCCATCATCAGCCTCACCGATGACAACTCAACTTTCTTCCTCGCCCGCCCCGCAGCATTCGGCCCACTTTTGCCGGGCAAAGGTTTGAGTGGCCGGCTCTGGGTAGGCAGTGGCTTTGGAGAGCCAGGACTTGCTACGGCGTCAGAGGGCGAGCTGGGCTGCTCCGATATTCCCGGATGGGGTGAAGGTAGTGGCCATAAAAACCAGGATGCGCCCCCAAGGGGCACGGAACAGAAACCAAGCAGACCCGGCAGTGGTACGATAGACGATGCTGCTGTTCCACAAACTCGGCCCCGGCTTCCATCGCAGGTGGAGTCCAACCGTCCGACCGACCGCCATGATGGCGCTTCCCACTCCACGAATGATGGGACCGACGACTATTTGCATCATCCTCTACCGGAATCCGGCGCGTCAGGTGCGGGGCCGACCCGCAAATATGGCGACTACATACAAAGCAAGCAATACACCCACGCCGACATCCAGTCGCTGCAAGAAATGGCCGAGATCCAGGGAAATGTTGTGCTACTGAGTCGCGGTGGCTGTGGATTCCTGGAGAAGGTGAAATGGGCCCAACGCCGAGGCGCTATGGCGGTGATAGTAGGAGACGATACCCGCGGCGGCAACTTGGTCACCATGTATGCCCGTGGTGATACGTCGAATATTACCATTCCAGCCCTATTTACTTCTCATACAACTGGTCATCTTCTCTCGTCATTGATACCGGGTCATTCGGGCGCAGCCCATGGGGGTGGAGATGTTTTGAAATCGCTCCAGGCAAAGCTTGCTGGTCAGGCCGATGCCGATTTGCGGAAAACCACAGCAACTACGACTTCGGTTGCGGTGTCTATGCCTACAGCCTCTTCTATGAGCTCGTCTACACTTAATGAGCGGCCTGCTGCTGCTACTCAGCCCAGTAACGGCTTTTTCCGCACGCTCGGCTCTTTGCTAGGGTTGTGCAATCGACATGGAGGTTCCAAAACCGTTGGTGACAGCAGACGCCCGCCGAGTAGCGGCAACCTGGATTGGATGAGGCTTGGATCCTGGGACTCCGCTAGCTCTCGATCGCAATCCTCCAAGGGTCGCAAGGAGAAATCCCGTTATCGTGCCAAAGCTGACGACAAGTCAAGCAGCCCTCCGATCGGTCTCGTATCTGAAAGTATTGATAGTGACGACTTCGTCATTGGAGTTCAAGACTGGAGAGACCCCGATTTAATGCCCCCACGCGGAAGTGCACTACCATTACCTAGTACCTCTACAAGTGGAAATGAAGGCTTGAAGACTTCAGCTCCTGATAACGACATTGAATCAGGCGCCAACATCCTACGTGGTGGAAGTATCACCCCCGGTAGTGGTGAATATCAGAGCATTGACAAGTCCACCGGTAACATCCATGACGCCAAGGTGAAAGAGTTGGGGAAGGAGCCCAATGCTGCAAAAGAAGAATCTAGCCAAGCTGGCACGGGGTGGTTCTCGAGTCATTTCGGCTGGGGCGACGAAGATTCAAATCAAGCGGCTCAGCCATCTGCTTCTCCCTTGGTAAAGAATCTACCTATCAACCAGAAAACCCAGACTGCAGCCCAGTCGTCAGCAACCGCGAACCCCATGTTTACAGAGCATGAAGGCCTCTGGGTCACGTTGACGCCCACCAGCATGGCAACTAGCCCATTCTTCGACACCCTCCTAGTCCTTGTCATTAGTCCGCTGCTGACATTGACTGTTGTATACGCTTTGTTATTACTTCGATCCCGAATCCGGCGACGTCGCTGGCGCGCTCCGAAGTCTGTTGTTGAACGCCTTCCCGTTCGAACATACCACACAATTGCCAGCATCTCGTCCTCTTCTAGTTCTAGCTCTCTACGGAACACTAGTCCTGGGCCTGTCACACCGGCCTCTCCACTTCTTGGCAGTGGAAATCTACCAGGCGCGTCTCGACCAACGCGGCCACGCTCTCAGACTATTGCCGGGATGACCGTTGACTCACCAATGACACCCAAGGAAGAGAAGTCAAACAGTTTACAGTCTGGCTCTGTCCTATGGCGTCGTAAATATACTGGTAGACAGGTGGAATGTGTTGTTTGCCTCGAGGAATATATTGATGGACAAAGTCGGGTGATGAGTTTGCCCTGTGGGCATGAATTCCATGTTGAATGCATGTAAGTGACTAATCTCAACGACCCTACTCAACGTTGGATATCTGTATTAATTTATTCTAGTACTCCGTGGCTCACAACCCGACGACGAACATGCCCGATTTGCAAAGGAGATGTTGTTCGTTCGTTAGCGCATTCTTCCGGCGATGACTCCCGTGAGCAAAACGAAGAATCCACCGAGGGTCATATTCAGACGCCGAATGTGCATTCAGAATCTTCGTCCGCTCCCCTTCTCATTGCCAGCATGAGTGACGATGTGGACACCGAACAGCATGCGGGTCTTGATGGCCATGCTAGCTCTGCACCACAATCAAGCTGGAGGAATCTCGCAACTCTCAGCTTTTCCGCTCTCAGTGGTGATACCATTTGGCACCAGGCTCGTGCGGACCGGAATCGCTAACGATATGGAGAACCGCCTAATCATACATCTATTTCTCTGTAGCCACACCGTGGTACTTGCTCTCACCACTTTCACGCATGTTGTATTAGCGATTGTTCGATTCCCTTATGATTTGATTTGCAGGGCGTTTAGCGGGAACATCTCGGAGTGCTTTGCAGTTGCAAATCACGGGCGAGCATTGTTGCGGCGGCTGGAATATGCCGCGGGTCATTCGTTTGTAATATCTCTTCGTTTGAATTGAAGACTCTTAGTGGATACCCTTGCACTCAAGATTTACCGCCTCCCCTTTGACTGAGATTCTTTGTCTTCTACTCGTATCAGTACGTAGTTCAAGGAACACTGTATAAAGCTAAGTGGCTCTCTGTGTTCAACTATTCCTATTACTATAACTATTACTATAACTACCTAGGAATGACTATGAAATGTACCTGCTTACTGGCACAACACGGTATTGCCTGGCTTCCCAAAATCACAATGGCGCCTACCTCCAGACTCTCTCACCTTCCTTCCGTCTGGCCACTGTTTACTACTTGACTCTTCCTCACTCTCTTCTTTGCTTTCATTTTTACTTGTCTCTTTGCTCTCCTCTTTTTTCACCTCTTGCTCCTCCCCCACGTCTATCTCAGGCTCAATCATGTCTTCGTCCACGTTGAGGCGCAGAGATCGTGCGGCGCGGCATCGAATTGAGCACCAGTGTGACCCAAGTACAGTTCACGGTTATGTCGATAACCCCGTTCTTCAACATGGCCCGAGGTATTCTGGCCCACAGAATCCCCCGGGATACTACCAATCCAATCCCTACTCAGTTTATCCTTACCGGCCTCAAAATCCCTATTACATCCCAGGTAGACCCCCATATGACGGCCGAGGGAATGGTTATCAATATCAGTGCTATCAATCCTACCAACCTTCGCTACACTACTCAGGCTCTACACCTGCTCCCAATCCACCTGCTCCAAATGCTCCGGGGTATTACCAAGGAACGCCATTTACTCCCGGGTTTAACTCTTCTGGCTACTATTTCCAACCGAGTCCAGTCTATCAACAAAATCAGTTTCAATACCCAGCTGAGATGCCCGCTATGCCTCCGTACGAGTCATATCCGAACATAAGATTTGAAGGCCATGGCTCTCGAATCTCCGAGGCGAATCACCCTCAGATATTGCATCCATTCGCTCCAGCTACTCATCCTTATCCACAGTCTCGACCTTTGGTGCCTACCGTGGCCCCCTTTCAGCCATCATCGACAAAAAAGGTCCAAATGACGGAAAAGCATAACCCTCTGAGATCCGAACACCCCAGTTCTCAGATGCCAAGCCTCGAGGAGCCAGTCCCAACAATGCGACTGAGTATGGACGATTTTCCCGCGCTCCCAAAATCTCAGGCCAGCGCGGCGCCTCTGAAGGAAAAGCATGCCGCGAAGGCAATGGAGACACCAGGCCAGGGTAAAACAGTGGTGATCTCTATGAGTGAGGGTTCGAACATCTCACTTCATTCCCAAGCTACTCCCGCAATGGATCCCGGTTCTCGTTCAATCAAGCCCAAACAGGTTGGCGCCCTATCTCGAGTGAAAACAGACACAACCTCGGCTCAAGCAACCACGACCGCCAACCCCCAAGCATTCGAGGCTGGCCCTGTTAGTAGAGAGGGGCCAATCAAGCCGGTTAGTGTAGCTGGTGATAGTGCTTTGCCTGCAGGGCTAGCACGACCCGAGACAGGGCTTAGCCAGCGGCCAGCAAGTCATGGTCCTGTTTCTGATAGGACTTCTACGACTTCTGAAGGCTCGAATACTGGCTTCACTCACAGCCATGACGTCTTGGCTCCAGTTCGCGCTCCACCTGGTATCAAATGTTCAGATGAATGTAGGTTGCAAAATCTCATAGTCATGGAGTCTGAAGCTGAGTTCATGGACCCAGTTACAGTGGATCAGGTCGGGCGATGGACTGAAACGCGTCGACGTGAATATATCGAGAACTGGAACACGCCTAAAAGGGGATTGCAAAGGGATGTTGAGTTTTGTCGCATGCCGCCTGGGACAAAATTCTATGGTTCTGAATCAATTAATGCTTCTAGCTCTTCTCTGGCCCTCGACAATGAGAAAGAATACAATCATATCCTGTGGAACCCAAGGCACTGGTTCTGGGATACACCATCGACTTTTCGAATGTCGCCTACTCACGTCATAGCCGCGGACCCCCAAACGCAGCAACTAGTGTCTGTCTTCGAAATTGCTTGCAAGAGATTGGGGAGTTATATTGATGGATACTCTAATTTTCAAAAACCCTCGGTTCTCCCTCCGACTGGACATCGTTATGTAAAGGGCTGCACCCCACGGCACCATGCTAACTGGTTGGATTGTCGAGGTATTCCTGACTGGAATATTGCAGAGGTTTGCAATAACCTCCTAATTCATCAAGACTTTCGAAACAACGCTTGCCATGTGCCATACATGGGACCACCGGGGACCAGTTATCCACGACCCTATCGAGATTCACGTAAAGCCACGATACCTCGTATGGACATGACCACTCCCTTTCATTCCTCCCATCATCTAGATCATTATCCACAGCCTTTCTCGGCAAATCCTGGGAGTTCAGCACAGATACAAAGGGTTATGGTTAGCCCAAGTTGCCACTGGGATCCTGTCGACTACCCTGCTCAGACCTATTACACTGCCTATTCAGACATGCATAATAACGAAATGATTCAGCAGTCGACGGATTCTGTTGAGAACCTGGCATCCTATTATGATTTTCTCGAGGGTGCAAGCAGAACCGAACCCCCGCGCATTACGATCGAGGCATGGGAACCAGATCAAACCCCACGACCCTCCTTCGCAAGTTGCGTAATAAGCCCCCGTTCTCTTCGGGGTAGAGATTGCACGGATACCATCACTGACTCGAGTACCTTTATTGACTCAATCCCCGAGGAGCGTCCCCCACGCCCGCCCCACGCTGCTGCCCGTGGTATTGCCCTCGCTCGCTATGGAACGCAAGCCCCTGATGGGTCTCCTAGCCCTCTCCCTCGAAGCCGCAGCAGACGACGACGGGGATGATGACATATTTCAAGTACTATCTGACAACGACAATGCACCTGGAGCCGGCGAGAGAACCACCATCTCCATTTGTGTTTACAGTTCAATGTCTTCTCGTCCGATGTTCCGTCCGATGTTTCGAGCATAAGGCTTGGAGGGTTACAGCTGGAAATCACAATTTCACAATTTGCCTGAAAGATTGTTGACATTGTTTCATTCCCTCGAGGGACCTGGCAGTCGCGATAAGCAGGATGGATACTCAGTGGGAATTCTAAATTTTGAACGTGAAAATGTTTGGGTTAAAGCCCAGTCTGTCTACCTTTGCACCATGTACAGGAATGTCTATCCGAGATGAAAGCAAGTGTTTAGTATTTGAAGTTTGAAATTGTTCGTCACGCCCATCTCGGTAAATCCCTTTTAGTAGGTGGTATCTAAGGTTGATTACACGGGACACCTAAAGCTCTTTCACGAACGGCACCAGGGCCCAGCTTGTGGTCTCGAAAGACATGGATGATGCTCCATGATGTAAAGAGGCAAAAGTCACATATTAACATAGTATTATTGCTATCAATCAGCAAGGAAAACGAGCCATCAAAAGGGGTAGACATTGAAGATCGATATGGGTTTCTCCAAATGCTCAAGTCCCATCACAAAAAAGCTCGATACCAGCGCGGGAAAGTGAATTACTAAAGAAAAGCGAGGATCATGCATTGCAAGGAGAATGCATCGCCTCGTGAAAGAAGTGTAGAAAAGGGGGGACAAATCGCCCAAAATTCGAAGGAAGGTAGCCCACAAGCAGCATCAGGAGCAAGGAAGGATCGCAGAAGGTATGAGAGCAGGCGGGAAGAAAAAGTTTGCCAAATTCGATCGCCAGGACACCGTATAACTTGCGGGCTAGTGTATTGCGAGCCATATTACAAATAGAACGGCACAGAAAGGGTCATACAGGAAGAGATGAAGGGAAAAAAGGGTCTGCGTCATAATGGGTTTAGTTGATCTAGCAGGAGACAAGGTTGATGTGATGGTCATTCAATGCGGCGCATGCGAGCATTGTACGGTGGGGGTGGAAAGCCGTGCTGGCGATGGGAGAAGAGCGGTTGTGGTGAAGGAAGCTCGAGTAGGGCTCGAAAGAGGAGAGATAGGTTCCGTCGACATTGTAAGTCTTGACCTCGTGGCGGTTTGTTCCCCTGGAGATATAAGTTAGTAACAACATTCATAGGACGACAAAAAATGAAGAACATACATGCTAAATACGGGAGCATGCTCGTGGACACTCAATGTGCGAAGTGTGTCCTTGGTAGCGTAGATGGTTGAAAGCGCATGGTCCATGCGAAGATCCCAGAGTCGAATCTCGCCGTTGCGGCTGCCGGAAATGAGCTCGCGCAAGCCGCCACGTTGCATATGAACATTTGTAATCCATTGTTTGTGTTCACGCCAGACCTTGACCATAGAAGTGGTCGGCTTCAATCGCTGATCGAAGACTCTGACGGCTCCGTCACCGAATCCAGCAACAAAGATATTACCAGCAACTTGATCGGATGTTAAAGATGTGATGCAGGAGCCGGAACGTGCGGGGATATCCTATTTGCAAGATAGAGTCAGTCACCATATCGAAGAATTGTATAGTCGAGAGACGGGACTCACGTTTGTGCAGACTTCAGTTGCAGCATTCCACACTCTAATGACCTTGACATCGCCCGCAACGAGAGCCTTGCCTTGACCTTGCTGCCAGTCCAGCACAAGTCCGGCATTTCGGTTGCTGGGAAGGAGTTCTGGCAAGGCGCGGAACGCGGTAACGACTTCGATACGCCCGGAAAACTCGTAGTTGCGGTAAAGCTTCAGTACACCGTCAGAAGAACCAGTCAACAGTAGTGCTTGGTCATCTTCGTTGATGTATCGAACTTCATTGATCTTTGATCCAACTGGGTTGCCGTTAGAAAACTGGTTCAGTCGCCTGTGAGTCTGCCAATCCCAAATTCTAGTGGAAAAAATAATAATCAGTAATGGAGAATAAATGCCGAAAAATATCTATGGAAAACCCACGCGATGGTGTCACGATCATCTGCAACAGCAAGGTGATCCTCAAATTGATGGAAGCACATCTTCAAAGGCTGGCTGCTATTAGTAAGGAGTGTAGTTGAATTATCCCATCGGCTCGTGCCGGCCTTGCTCTTCAAAGGTTGGGTTTCCGCAATGATCTTTTCGTTGCGGCCGCGTCTCCAGAGACGCTCGTTGTAGTCGGAGCTACCAGGCTCGTCAGGCTCGTTGGGTTTCATCTGGGGCTCGCGGAAATACTTCGAATAGGTAAGCAAAGGTTAGAAACGCAAATAAGAATTTGATGATTTGGAATTACCTCTGTAGACCAGTCCAAGAATCTGCTTTTTAGTGGGATCATCGGCGCTACTTCTGGGTTCTTGGCTTCAAAGCCTCGAGATCTCGGGACAGGAGCGTGGTGATATGCGGTAGCTGGAGCGACTTGATCGTTGACTTCTGGAGGGCGAGTCCATTCAGGGGGCGCGCGGCCACGAGGGGTGATGGGCATGCGGCTCTTAGTGGGCGAAGATGGGGGTGAGCTGTCGGACCCTTGCTCTCCTGATCCCGAGCCAAATGCAAGGTTTCTGAGAGGAAGCAGCAACACTGGCGGTCCGTCGGAAGCCAAGTGACAGATAGCCTTCTTGTTTGGCGGATGCCGCTGTCGAAGACGGCGGAGTCGAAGGAGGCGCAGTCTTCTTTGCTTCCGGTCGCTCATAAAGTTGAAGCTTTTGCGAGAGGCGATATGTGAGGTCAAGGATCTCAATTCTGGTTTTGTCAGCTACCATCGCCATTGGTGACTCTAGAAGAGCCAAGTGGATGAAGTCGACGATGGCACCAGCATCCCGAGAAATATCGGGATGAGGGTCAACAGAAAAGATTAAGACTTGTTTCCACAGAGCCCCAAAGGTGGTGTTGCGAGAGAGCTGGTGCTGTTTCGACTCGGAGACTTGGTCATTCTTTGAAGTCTCTGATCGACCAGTCTCAATTTGAAGCCGATTCACCAGTGACTTTTTCTCATCTTGCAACTCGTCATATGCAGCCACCAGAAATTTATTTTGGTGACGTTTGACGAACGTCGAGAAGAACACAAGAAGCTCTTTCCGCACAAGGACGCTGCCGTCTGTTGACATAGGTAGAACGGATAAGGCCAGCGACTCCTCAATTTGTGCAACTTGATCTGTTAAGTCGGGGATACCAAGGAAAGTTGTGACCGCGTGAAGCATCGCCGCTCGAACCTCGGGGACCGGATCAAAGTTCAATTCACATAGCTTTGAAGGGGCGGCAGAGCGGATACCCATCCATTTCGCTTCGGGGAAGTCGCACCAAAGCATGCTGAGACACAAGCATGACCATTGCCGCAAAAGCGGGTTCTCGACATCCCCCAGGTGTCTTAGACAAGAATCAAATAGTTCGCCAGACAAGCAAACATTCTGGCCTTGGGGATAGTTTTTGCAGAATATCGAGACTATGAATGCGCACATGGCGCGGTGCTCACTGGCGTTGCCGACGGGAATGGGCGACGACGGATTAAGTATGGAGATAAAATAATGGATGCCGTTATCTTTCAAAAGATCGTTTTGGACAGTATGGTCGACGGCCATAATTCTTGCCCAGATGAAGACCATGACTGGCTTGAGCTCTTGTGCAGCCGACTGCAGCAGCTTGACGACGTAGGGGAAGATACCGATACTGAGGGCGAGATGGACAGCCCATGGCCCCAGATCCAGAAATTTGCTGAGTAAGATCAATGCTCGCAATCGGTGTGCTTGACTGAGAAGTACCTGTAGTACGATAGGTAGTTGATCTGGCGGATTCTTTTCAGTGGGACCAGAAGAGAGATAGACTTCGAATGCAGTGAGCTGTTCCGCGAAAAATGTGGAATGCTGGTATTCATACTGCCGGCGGCCTTCTTCCTGATCAATTAAAGCAGGCAGCTGCGAGAGTACCATTTCAACGGCAAGATCCCAGCTCTTCCATAAGGGGTGATGATGAGTCTCTGGCAGTTCTGGCGTCGAGATTGGATGGCACTTATACGTGCGCATAATTCGTTCGCTGAGCAAGAAATTACGGAAGAGAGCTGCAACCATGAGGTCCTGCCGGAAAAGCTTCTTGAAGAGGGCGCGGGGAAGGGTGTTCCATGCGATGGTATCGGTAATAGCGGTAAAGATCCAGTTGAGTTCTCCGAGCGGACTGCGACGATCCTGGAGACGACCGGGAACATGGAAATCATCGATTGATATATCCGTCCGGAGTGGATTTTGTAGAATGAAGAAGCGCAAAGCAATCTCGATTGGGGTTGTTAGACAGCAAGAGAAAAGATCTGCGGGAAGATCTGGGTTGGTAGGAAGCGACTCGTTCTTCTGGCAAGCCGCAAGAAGAATGCAGTCACCATAGTTCTGTACGATCGCGTTGGGATCTCTTTTCTTGGCTTCGGCATTCTCCTTCTCATGCTTCTCCACAAATGTATGGAAATTGGAGACGATATTGCCAGCATGGGACACATCGAAGACAAACAGACTTGGGCCAGCGAGCCAGGACTGCAGGTCGTAAAGGGGCACCGGGATGTATTGAGTATAGTTCTTGTTAAAGACCCATATTTCGCCAGATTGGGTTGGTAAAGGGACTCCATGACCATTGTAATGGAGAAGAACCCGTTCATCCTTAGCATTTCGACGCAGTGAAATACAAAACTTCTTGGTTTCATCCACAGATGGATCTAGATATTGTTTGTATCTTGTCCGAAGGCTGAGGGTTTCATACTGCTCTTGAAGCTTCTTGCCGATTTGTTCCATTATCTTGTTCTGTCCACCACCGGTAGTTGAGGTAGGATCCACCCAACATTCGAGTTTTGATGTTGGGTTTGTCTTGACGACATCTGGAGGGTCGACACCAATATTCAAACAAATCGCAAGGGCCGCTGACACAGTCTTCAATCGATCTTTCATGCGCCAGTCTTGACTAGGCCAGCTTCCAACGGGATCTCTGGGGATGCCATTCGTCTCGTGACGTTTTTCCGTGAAATACATATAGAAATTCTGAGAGTATGGATATTAGTTCCGATATCAACGCCGCATTCCACTGATCGGCACATTCTTACCGAGTGTAAGATCTTAAGGTATTCACTGGACGTGTACTCTTCCTGCCATCCATGTCGCATGGCAAAATCCTCTTCATCATCAGCCGATTTATCGAGTAGAGCACGACTCGGTCCATAGTCGCTTCGTGCTCGTTTCAGCATGGCTGGGCGGCTGGTCTCCGCCCTCCGTGGGGAGGGCCTACGCGGCTGCGGCGGCGTATCTACCGCCAGTGCCGCATTCTCACCGGCGGAGCTCGTGGGGCGAGCAGGTGGCGTCAAGGAGGGCTGTTTCTGCTCGACAGTGGTAAAGGAACGATGGTGGCTGCTCAGTGGAGCTGGAGATCTTTCGCGAGCGGGGATAGTTGAATCTAGCCCAGGGCCAAACGCGACTCGAACTGATTTGTTGGTGCGGCGGGGTTCGCTTGAACCATTCGTGGTTGCTTGGTGAGTATTCTCTTCCATTTCTGCGGTGGGATCCCTCATGTTGTAGAATCGGTCATCGTGTGACGTGAGAGGCGGGTGGTTAGGTAGGTAGGACGGTCGCGGGGGGATGAGTTGTCGGGCAGTCGAAGAGTGAGAAGCAGGCCCAAGGCAACGGCTCGATGCGTGTTTAACTCAATCCAGGGGAGCTGGCGATCTCCTCAGGGTTGTAATAAAGAGAGAATGAGAATCACCAGAGGGATCCACGCGAATATCGAAGCTCAAGTCAGAGCTTCTGGGGTTCAAGCAAACCGTTGCGGTCTCTCCGTCTCTCCGGTTCTGGACGCAGCGGATTATTAATAACCCGGGCAGTACACAAGAGTGCCGTAACTCCGTTGAGCTTCCACTTCTATACTCCCCACTTTTCTTCATTTACATACGAGTATTCTATTTGGAGTACGAAGTACTGCAGTCTGCTTAACTTACAAGTACATGGGACGCTGCCAACTCAGGGTGGGGCCGAACTAATCGATCGCAGAAGCATATTACTACTCTATCGCGTGGGCAAACCAGATGTCCCGAGCATGCAGGACAAATCACGAACAAAAGAGGCGCCCAGCCCAAGAATCCGACTTTGTTCATGGTATCTGCCAAGACCAAAAAAAACAAAAAAAAAACAACATTGCGGCCATCTCCAATGAACACATTGTCTAAGACATTTTACATTCGGATATCAAGATGATCACAGTACATCGATAGTCTCACTAGATGATTATCTTTGAAGGAGCCGTTCATGCATGACAAGAGACATAACAAATTTCCCTTGAGGTGCTTCTGATTCATCGAGAAGCCGCGAACCTGTTTCTGAATGGTCAAACATGTATGTCATCGTCAGATCAGGGTCTATCCCTTTCCTCGGCGCATTTAGTCCGATTTTAACGGCACACACAAGTCTAACCGAGAAGAACGCTCAGGGCTTGTGACCAGCGATCTTCACCCGTCTTGAATTCCTCTCTGATAGGTAAAAGAACGTGATTGCACGCCCCCCTTTTTTATGTTTTTATCAATTTTAAATTCTATGTGTTATACTCTATATCTCTTTTTTTCGAACCGGAAGATTCCCCTGTGGACACCGCAAATTGCGCCTACTGACGCCCCTGGGACCACCAGCTGCAGCTACGTGCTTGGAACTTCGAGTCAATAGGTTCTTTGCACGTTGTGGGGTGCGGATCGCCGTGTGGGCGTGGTGTGTACTGCGTGCAGCGCCGCTATTGGGCATATTGGGCTTCACACTCGGGAAAGCAGCCCCGCGGGCTTAATTATAGCACAGATATTGACAGCTGGGCCTTGCAGGGCTATTCTCTACAAGATTCGGAGTACAGAATAGCAATTAATAATAGGAAGGGATTTGTTAAAAAAAAATAACTTATGAAATATGTACTGGTAAACTTTGATAGGTAGCGTTGCCATTCCATATGACAGCATTCCTTTGAAGGTATGGGAAACCACATTAAACAACTGAAGGCGGATGGGCTGAAGAGGGAGAGTGAAAGAAAGATAGAGAGATTTGGGGGAAAAGGGTCTAACCTACTAGTAGCAATAGACAATGAATATCCTAAGTACTCTGTAGAATACCCCAAGACATGTCAAAAAGAAAAGGCTGGCACGGAATGAGGGCGCATAACGAACGTTGGAGAGTGACTGCCCCTGAGTATGCAGCCCCATCCACACAGACTCGCGGGTCTTTCTAGTGTCGACTCTCTCCGTATTGTTGGACCCGGTAATTTCAAGTTGACCATCATCTTCTTCCTCATCTCCTTCTGATTTCTGTTTCCCCCCTTTAACCACCCACTCCACGAGGCTTGCTGTTAGTGTGGATGCTCACAATTGGGCAAGGACGTTGTGTTCAGATCATCTCCACCCCTGGTCACCCACCTCTCTCTTTTTTTTTGTTCCTCTCGGACGAACTCTTTGGTGGATTGGTGGATGCATACTCTCTTGTTCCTGTGGTTCCTGGTTCCCGACTCCACATCTTGAAAACACACCTCCCTTTCCACAACTCTCTCCTCCCCTCCCAACCTCAACCTCCGACCTAAGCCAACCACCTTCTTCCCCCCTCTCTACTCTGATTTCCCCCGGGTTCATCAGACCGAGATTTGTGCTGGGGGAAAGAAATTGCAATTCGGCGCATCCCTACTCCGACCCTGTGGGCGCGGATTCTCCCACTTGCGCCGTGAACGACCTATTACGACCCATTAACGATGGCCTTTTTGTTTAAATCGAAAAAAGCCCAACAGGGCACTGCGCTCCCTCCGGCATCGAGAAATGTTCACACTTCCGAGGGGTCTACTTCGTCAGCGACGCCGCCCCTGTCCAACGGACCCAAGGTCGAAGGAAATGCTTTTGCGCAGACCACGACTCCGAGCAGCAGTTACAACAACTCTCTCAACTCCGCCACAAGTCCGACTAGCCCGGATTCCGTGAGAATGCGACAACGCGCCGAGTCAGAATCTCAGGTAAGTCTCCCTAGGAAATTTACGGCGGCACATCCCGCAGAAATCAGAATCCCTGACCCTGGTTGTACTTCAGGTCCAACGGCCGCCGCAGGGCCCCAATGGTGTGCCTCCGCACAGTCCAAACTCGTCCCTATACCCATGGTCACAACGTCGTCTCAACTTCTCCACACCCCAAACGAACCCCTTCCCCCGCTATGGCGCCGCTATCAATTCAGTCGCTTCGAAAGAGGGTGACATCTACATGATGGGAGGGTTAATTGATGGCTCTACTGTCAAGGGTGACCTGTGGATGATCGAAAGCAGTGGCGGTAGTTTGTCTTGCTTTCAGGTTGCGACGGTGTCAGAAGGACCCGGCCCCCGAGTTGGTCATGCCAGCTTACTTGTCGGAAATGCGTTCATCGTCTTTGGTGGTGACACCAAGATCAATGAAACCGACGCCCTGGATGATACTTTATATCTTCTGAATACTTGTATGTTGTTAGGCCCTTCCTGCCCCCTTTTAGCTAATGCTGACCCTGGTCCTCAGCTTCTCGACAATGGTCTCGGGCCATCCCTCCCGGCACCCGTCCTTCCGGTCGCTATGGGCACACATTGAACATTCTTGGCTCCAAGCTTTACGTCTTTGGTGGACAGGTCGAGGGTTTTTTCTTCAACGACTTGATCGCATTCGACTTGAATCAACTCCAGAACCCCGCAAACAAGTGGGAAGTTCTTGTTGCCAACAGCCATGAGGGGGGTCCTCCAGAGGGCCAAATACCTCCCGCTCGAACCAATCACTCACTCGTCAGCTATAACGACAAGCTATACTTATTCGGTGGCACAAACGGCGTGAAATGGTTCAACGATGTCTGGACTTTTGATCCCCGAGCTGGTGTCTGGACTGAGATGGACTGCGTGGGTTTTATCCCTACGCCCCGAGAGGGCCACGCATCGGCCTTGGTCAATGATGTGATGTATGTGTTTGGCGGTCGTACGGACGAGGGAGTTGATCTTGGAGATTTATCTGCATTCCGGATTTCTACACGCCGCTGGTACTCTTTCCAGAATATGGGGCCCGCTCCGTCCCCACGATCCGGCCACAGTATGACTGCCTTTGGTAAACAGATCATTGTGATGGCTGGTGAGCCTAGCTCGGCTCCAAGAGATGCCGCAGAGCTCAGCATGGCGTATATTCTCGATACCTCCAAGATTAGATACCCCAACGACTCCCAATCGGCCGATCGTGGTGCAGTATCCGGTGTCAGAAAAGCCAGCATGGATAAATCAGGCCCTCCTTCGGGTCGGACGTCTCGTGAAGCTCACAATGCGACACCCGATCAAGGAGCCCGTCGCGGGCCTACTCCCTCACGCGAAAGCCTAGTGCAGGCCGCAAATGGTAGACCTGGCGACTTCGGCTCCAACCCCAACCTTGGGCCAGGATCTCGACTTCCTCGGGCTTCAATTGCACAGGCGCCCTCTGGACCTCCACCCCCAGGGCAAGCCCCATCCCCAGGGCCTCGCCCCAACGGGCCCCAGTCTGGACCCCGGAGCAAGACACCCACCAAGAATGAACGCGGCTTCACGCCAACTGTCGATATTCGAGTTGCGAATGCTGATAGAGGTGCAGAATCACCCGTCGCAAAGGATAATCAGGATAGCTCCGCCTCGTCCGGTCAACGCACCCCAACTCAACAACAACAAAAGATAAATGCGAAGGCCATGGAAGCTGGGGAAGCGGCCCCTCTGATCGCGCCAGCGCGTCAAAGGTCACTGCGCTCGCATCGTCAACGTGGCTCAATGGACAGTGCAGAAGAGTCGGTTCTCGGACGTCAAGCCAGCATCGACGGCTCAATTGAATCTCGAAGCTATCGCAACTCTCGAAGCCTCGCTGATGAACCTCGCTCGCCACGACTAACCCCCCACCAAGAGGCATTGATTAAGGAACTCGAGGCCGCCAAGGCTCGTAATGCTTGGTACGCTTCTGAGCTAGCACTGGCGAAAAAGGGTGGATATGTACCAAATGCCTCAAGTAGCCCCGCCCTGGATGACCGTGCAAGAGAGTCTCTAAACGATGAGGATCGTCCGCTAGTCGAGGCATTCCTCGCAATGCGGGCAGAGCTGAGCAAAATGCAAACGACGGTGGACCGACAGGCTGCGATCGCTTCCAAGCGCATTGCCGAGGTTGAACACCAACGTGACGTGGCTGTAAACGAGGCAGCTTATTCCCGCGCCAGGCTTGCTGCTCATGGCGGCAGTCAACGTGGAACACCCCAGCCTGAAGCTCCTCGCGAGGGAGAAGATGAGCGACCTACCGACATGGGTCGGCGTCTTGCGCTGGCTCTGGCATCCCAGTCTGAGCTCAGAGCCAAATTGGATATTTTGACAACGGATCTATCGCAAGAGAGGCAAGCGAAAGAGCTTGCGGAGGATACCAACGAGGCTACTCGGAAGCGCCTCGCGGAGCTTGAAATGTCAAATAATGCGCTGGAGGCGGAGAATCTTCGAGCGGAGCTCCACCGTGCCGAAGCCACTGCTCGGGAGGAGTCTCTACTCCGTTCTGAGGCGGAAGCTTCCTTGCGACAGATCACCATTGACAAGGAGGAGCTTTTGACGCAGGTTGAGGACCACTCAGGCCGTTTGAAGGACTTTGGAAGCAATTTCGGTGGCCTTCGAGAAGCTGTCGCCGCGTCCGCCGCCAAAGCAGCAATTGTTGAGAAGCAGTTGGGTGAGGAAAGAGAACGCCGCGAGGGCTTGGAGAAGAAACTTCTGCAACTTCGATCTGAGTACGAGGAGCGAACCACCGAGCTTGAGAATGTCAACTGCCGCCTTCGTGACGCCGAGGAGTTGGCCGAAAGCCACGCTAAGGAAGCAGAAACCCATAAGATGGCGTTTGTTTCAGGCCTTGAGCGTGCTTCCTCGACTGATTTGGAAGCTTCCATGCGATCCCGGGCTGACCAGAGAGTTGCCGCCCTAGAAGCTCAGATTGAACGGTCTTCGACTCTTGCGAAGGCTAACCAGGCTGCTGCCGATTCCGCCGCCGACAAATTACGTCGCGCTGAGGGTCGGATTGCTGGACTCGAGGCTTATCAAGAACAGGCTAGTCGAGAAGGCTTGCAACTTCGCCGACAACTCCAAAGTGCTATGAAGGATAGCCAAGCGGCAACTGCAGAAATTCGGGACCTGAAGACCCAGCTGGAATCTCAACAACGGGAGACTGGTGCATTAAATGTTCAACATGCGGCTCTGAAGGATCTGCTTGGCGAACGTGGCATCAATCCTGATAGCCGTCGGTCTCCTCGTCTTGAGTCCCCTGGCTCCCGCTTTGGGACTCCAGAACAGAGCAGGTTGCGCGAGCTTGAGCAACAGCTATCTAATAGTATGAAGGCTCACGAAGATATGAAGTCTGGCTTTGAGACTCGAGAGCAGGAGGCGGACAAGGCATTCCGAGAGAAGCTTGAGCAGCTTGAGAATGATTACCAGTCCGCAGTACACTACGTGAAGGGTACCGAGAAAATGCTCAAACGCATGAAGGATGAATTGAGTCGTTATAAGACACAGAACTCCAAGATGCAGTCTGAATTGGAGGCTGCTCAGAAGAACGCGGAGGATGTTAGCAACCAGTCAGAGATCTCTGCTGAATGGGAGGTCGAACGGTCTCGCCTGCAGAAGTCCATTGCAGAGCTTGAGCACAACACTTCTTCTTCTCTCGAAAACCTGGAGGGGCAAATTTCCGAACTAAAGGCGCAGCTTGTGGCTGCTGAGACCGAGAAAACGAGTGCACAGAATGAGTATCAGCGCATCAAGGAAGAGATTATGTCGACTGCGGAGCGCAGCCGCGCCGAACTGGATCAGCTGAAGCAAGAAAACAGCCAGCTCGAGACCCGCGCCTCGGATGCGGAAAAGAAAGTGAACATGTTGTTGGAGCAAGTTGAGACTTCGGTGGGCCACTACCGCCGTCAATCACAGCATGGACAGGGTCCTAACGGGATCTCACGCAGTCATAGCAACGCATCTAGCAATACCGTCAGCGGTAGGCCACGAGCCGATAGCAACGTCTCCCAGGAGTCCACCTCCTTCCCCGATAACCGTGGCTCCATGGCCTTGGACTCTCTCGCCAACGAACTAGAGGCCCTTCGCACCCACTGGGAAAGCACCAACCGCAACTATCGCCTGAGCAGCCAGCTGGACATGGAGCGAACTCCGACCAAGGAGAATAGCGAGGGACCTGCTTTGATGAGCGACAGTCTAGCAGATTGGAGACGACGACTTGACGAGGAAGAGCGTGTGAGTAAGACCAAGCCGCTGAATGTCGGCAATGGTCCCTCGAATGTGATCTGAGTGACATGAGTTCTATCTCCCTTACTCTTATTACCAAATTTCTACGACCATGTGCCCTGAGATATGTCAATCTGCACTTTCTGAGCCATTTGCACATGTATTTCTTGTTTACAGTCCTTCGTTTGTTTCTATCTGGATTTTGCGCAGCATGGTCGTTTTGTATGATGATTGATCCCCTCCACCATCGTTAGTTCTCTTTTTTTTTTCCTTCCCCTTTTTTCTTCTTTCTTTTCTTCACTTTTTTCTTTCGTGGACACCGAGGGACGGGATTCCCTTCTTTTGTTGTCTTTGGTTTGTGTCGTCGATCCCTCTCTGCATCCCTTGTTTCCTTTTCTTATACCCCGGTTTCCCGATGTTCATTGGACTCTGGCTGTACCACTAGCATCTATTCACATGAAGTCTTCGCTGTCGTTGTCGTTATCGTTGTTATTCTCTTTTTATAGTGCGAAATCATGATCGTTGAACAATGAAGCACCACTTCTTTCCATATTCTCCATCGTAAAAGGTTGCCCGCATGTTTGGGCAATGTTGGGTTTAACGCCATGCGAGGTGATCTAGCCAGTGGTTTGCCTGTCCCTTTGTTTGTCATCTGTGTCTGACACCGAGGCTTTCTGCGCCTAAACTGAATTCGGACAAAATGTGAGGCAGGCGGAGGTAGAACTGAGAACTGAGCAAACATAGCACTGCATGAGGGACATTCAGTTCGGCCGTAACTGGGGGTATTAGTATGTACTAGTAGTAACATGAGACATTTCGGGGCTAGGAAAATCCCGCACGATGTTGATATCGGACCGTACCCTTCCTTGTACTCCGGGTAGAAAACTAATTACGAGGGAAATCCGGAATAATTTCCCGAGTTTGAGGAGGGTATAGAGTACAATATGAAGGCGCCTGTTAGGTTTGACGCGAGGCTCTTATTATTTTTTGGTGTGACATGTATCCAGAAACCAGGATTTGGAGAGTCTGGGGTCAGCTGAGGCGGACTCCGATAATGGCCGCGCCCAGAATGCCTGAAACCTGTCAAATGATCAGTACTATCTTCCAGCAGGGCAGCAAGTTATGCTATCGATTATTGCTAGTAGGGTTCAAGAATTGATATATCCTATACAGAGTATCTACCCTAGCCTTATATTGTATAATTGCTTCGTATCTACGGAGTATAGCTATTTCGAGATCTATATTTAGTGATGCATAATAACACCAAAGCCTCTTTAACGAACTGTTGCAGCCCAATACAAGTGGTTACAATACTTCAATACGGTAAGGGGCCTAGCCTAAACTCCGTACTCCACACATATTAGGACACACCGCTCGCACGCCCTGCAGAGTACAGAGTACTCCATACAATACATACAATACCATACACATCCAGCCCCTTCGCTACTGTAACTTGAAATCTCCCTCTCCTCTCTTCACCGACTACCGCTGCATATTACCATTATTGCCTTTTACCCCCCTCTCCTTTCCCTTCCCTCCCAACTTGAACCTTCTCCCCCCTGTCTTCAAGGCTTTGCCCTTGATCTCTCTTCTCTTATCTCTGCCTCTATTTCCTGTTCCTCCCGACACATCTGAGTCTTCTCTCGTCCTCCCCTGCGCTCTGTACAAATATTGTACGGTCGGCATTGGACCATTTCTGTTTGACCCGCCTTTGCCCTTCAGGTGAGCAAGTTCCTTTCGTCGTGTATCTCGGCCCTCTACATCATCATCCTCCCCCTCCCGCTTCCCCCGGTGGTATGATAATCCTGTCTCCGCCATCTGAAAGACACACATTTTCTTTTCTCCAGTTGCCTGCATAGCCAAGTGTGGTGGCCAACACTCTGCAACCGCCGAGCCCAGCCTCTCGTTGCTCGTTGGCCTGAGGCTCAATCTCGTCACACCCCCTCTCCAACCTGTTGGGCATTCACTGCAGCCTCATCATTGTCCCATCGTCCCTTCACTGCTTTTCAAACACTTCTTCTCCAATACACACGTTCTCATCACCAACTTACCCTCTCTTCACCCCGCTAACACAATATCTAGCAGTTTCAAGCACGGCTACTCGCTGTGCCGCCCTAATCAATCAACATGACGACTATGGTCAGTACCACCTCCGACCGGACCCTCCTCGTTCCTCATATTCACCACCCTACGACGTTTGGATACCAATATGGGAATCATACGCCTGGGAAACCCGGATTACGAGCTGGCTCGAACGACCGGAATATACTGACATCATGCACAGGATCTGCGTGTTGGTAACAAATACCGCATTGGCCGCAAGATTGGCAGTGGTAGTTTCGGTGATATTTATCTCGGTATGATTCATTTCTAACCTTCATGATACAAGGGTCGATGGGAACTGACAAAGGTCTAGGAACAAACATCATCTCCGGTGAGGAGATCGCTATCAAGCTTGAGAGCGTTAAGGCCAAGCACCCCCAGCTGGAATATGAGGCCCGTGTGTACAAGTCCCTGGCCGGTGGTGTTGGTATTCCTTTTGTCCGTTGGTTCGGTACCGAATGTGACTACAATGCGATGGTGATCGATCTCCTGGGCCCCAGTCTTGAGGACCTGTTCAACTTCTGCAACAGAAAGTTCTCCCTGAAGACCGTTCTTCTCCTCGCCGATCAACTCATCTCCCGCATCGAGTACATCCACGCCAAGTCTTTCATTCACCGTGATATCAAGCCAGACAACTTCCTTATGGGTATCGGCAAGCGCGGCAACCAGGTCAATGTCATCGATTTTGGTCTCGCCAAGAAGTACCGCGACCCCAAGACTCACTTCCACATTCCCTACCGTGAGAACAAAAACCTTACAGGTACTGCTCGTTATGCCAGTATCAACACTCACCTTGGTGTTGAGCAGTCTCGTCGTGACGACATGGAGTCTCTGGGTTATGTCATGCTCTACTTCTGCCGTGGATCTCTTCCCTGGCAAGGTCTGAAGGCTGCTACCAAGAAGCAGAAGTATGACCGTATCATGGAAAAGAAGATGACCACCCCTACCGAAGTCCTCTGCCGTGGATTCCCTAACGAGTTTGCTATTTACCTGAACTACACTCGCTCGCTCCGTTTCGACGACAAGCCCGACTACTCGTATCTCCGTAAGATCTTCCGTGATCTCTTCGTTCGTGAGTCCTTCCAGTACGATTACGTCTTCGACTGGACCGTCTACAAGTACCAGAAAAACGCCGCCATGATCGTGGATGCTACGAAGAAGGATAAAGACGATGAGCAGCAACGCCGTCAGGCTGCTGCTACTGCCGCCATGGGCCCCGGTGGCGCTGCTAAGCCTAGTGCCATCTCGGGCCAGCGCCGTAAGGTTATCGACCGCGGCACCCTCGACAACACACCGGACACCAACCGTGCCGTGGGAGGGAGTGACAGGATGTGAGTACATGATACCTGGTTCCGTGTAGGGAACCCCTTTTTTTAAAACTTTGCGTTTGGCTGTTTTTTTGTGACGCTGGCGTGGAGGACCCTACAGTTCTGAATCTGACTAATCGCATAGTCTTCGGCGTTAGGCTGCGTTCTGCCTCGAAAGGTGCTGCTCTAGGTTATGGACCTTCTGGTAGCCGTTCGAAGCGGGACGATGGTACAGGGGCTCAGTGGTACTAATTGTGTGAAGCGTTGCAGTGAGACCCATGTCTCCTGTATTCTCACTTTAAACCTAAGAAACCCGGGATTCCATTGTCATTCGCCGTGGACGCAACATTGCACTCGCCTTCTCGGATTTCTTTTTTCTCCTTGGGTCTCCATTCATTCTTCAAATCTCCCACAGCCCTTCAACCCTATTTCGATCATCTTTCGACTTCAACCGTTTCGATCTGCCATTGTTTGTTCGCCTGCTCATCCTTCCAACTTGCGGATATCGCCATTTACTCTTGGTCGATTTCTGCGTCGAGCTTCCGTCTACTTTGGCAATTAGTGTTTTTTCTTGTTCGGATTCTTTGCCCCCGATATTCCCGGGTCAACCGATAACTCAACTCTCGGAACGTGTTTGAATGATGGCTATTCTTGTGTCTTCGCCTTTGATGTTTGCGACTTGGTAGCTTGCTTCCACTTAATCACCACCGCAAGCAACTTGAAAGGGAAGACTGGAGATGCGAATGACAGCATCGAATTGGACAGGATAATATTCGTCTTTTTTTTCTGATCCTTTTGATTGCTGGTACTGGACGCCCTGGAAACGCATACTCGGATGCGTTGCCCCATCATCATCGCCCCTTTTTCTCTATTCGTCTTGTTTCATTCTCTCATCCCCCTGTCTTTTTTGTCCTTGTTCTGTTTTTCTTCTTCTGTTTTTGTGCAAATCGACGCTATCTGGGGACGAGGTGACGGCCGGCAACCCCGGCCGAGTTGTTGAAGTGGATGTACGGAATGACTTCTTTGGGGTAAAGATGTTCAAAGGCATAAGAGGTTCCTGTTGTGGGTTCTTGTACAGGGGCTCTTATTTTGCTCGGTCTTTGAACATCCTCCATTCGGGGAAGATCAAGCCTGCTTTGGTAATTGGCGACGGACGTGGATAGGGTCGCTTCCGGGGTGGTTTCGCGTCGATTGCACTTGTACTTTTCTTTATGTTTTTCTAGCCCTACACTTCACTGCTACTACTACAGCACCGACATCTCCAATTTGTCTTGTCTTTCCCAACCCCCCTGAACGGCAGCCGGTTCTGACGGTGACCATGCAGCACGACTACGGATATTCTTATGAATTCCGACCAGTCCTGACCAGGTTTCGATGGAAAAGCCTGCCTTTCACTTTTCTTACAGTCTAATATCAAAATCCTTTACCCCCACATTAATTTTCTGCGTAGGTGGCGGAGACTACTAGTAGTATTGAATTCTTTTTTTAGAGTTGCGGTGAGATCATCGAGTCTGTACAGAGTACTCGGTAGTTCGCCCGGTTCTGGCCCGTCCAACGGCCAGACGCGATCCACCAGAGACATCTGACTACATACTGTAGACGTGCGAGAGACCTAATGGTAGATAGAGTATATAAAGAACGAATTGTGGAATCGAAAATGGAAAATAGGATTCGTGTCAAGACGGTGCTTTGTGGCGTAATAGTTTAACTAGTAGTACTTCATGTTGTATGGACTAATAGGACGCCGAGTATCGGTGCGGGACAATCAGTCAGATCTCTCGGGGTAAAACCCACGCTTGAAGGGTCCATCCCGCCGGACTTCATATCTCTCCCATTCCACCTTCCATCTTGACCACCAAACGAATCTGTGCCCGAAAGAAAGTCTGTGGCGTGATGGACTATTCCAACTACCCTGGCAATCAGTCCCAACCCTTTTCGCTTTACGGGCTACCCACCCCCGACCAGCAGCCTCAACCACCCTCGGACGATGGACTCCGCGATCCCTTCTCCCTGGTACAATACCTCCTCCCTGTATTCTATTTTTGATAGACTTGATCATCTGACTCTAGTCCTAGAACAACTATAACCATTACTTCCCTGGGTTCGATCCTTCTGCCCGCCTCGACCCCTCCTCATCCTTCGTGCCACCGCCACATTCGCCGCCGGACTCCTATACCAAAGCCTCCGTCTCTAGCCATGACCCGAATAATAATATCAAACCAGGCACCTCCTCAATTGATGGAGATGAGAATCAGTTTGGCGACCCGGCTTTAGGCCGAAGTAGCAGCGAGGAGAAGGACTCGATGACTCCAGCGCAAACAAAGCGCAAAGCGCAAAACCGAGCAGCGTATGTGATAACCCGAGTGAGACTTCTACAACAATACCAAGCATTATATGCCGGTTATCATCAAAAAACTATCAATCGCAGGCTTGGTTGAGATCACGCTGGCTAACAGAGTTCAATGTTTAGTCAACGCGCATTCCGCGAACGCAAGGAGCGCCATGTGAAAGACCTAGAGGATAAAGTCAACAGCCTGGAAGATTCATCCACCTCTCTCCAAGCAGATAACGAGCGCCTAAAGCGCCAGCTCGCCAAATACGCAACCGAGAACGAGATTCTGCGCGCGACATCACATTCTCTGAATGGCAACAACAATGCTCCGGCGAAAGAACAACCTCAAGTCCCCGTTACGGGACCCATGAAATACACCCCCATCGACTTCGTTTCCAAAGTCACCTCTGAGGAGTCAGGGTGGACTCCACACCCTGGTTCAACACCGCTGAGTCCTCAGAGTCCGCAGCAACATCGTATCACAGTGTGCCAGGTTACCGGGGAGAAACTTCTCGGTCCTGGCGCGACGTGGGACCTCATCCAGAACCATGAGCTCTTCAAGCGCGGTGAAGTGGATATAGGTATGGTCACGGAAAACCTCAAGGGCCTAGCCCAGTGCGATGGCCAGGGCCCTGCTTTTAAAGAAAGCCAAGTGCGGTTAGCTATTGAGCAAAGTGCGGCCGAGAGAGATGAATTACTTTGATATAAATGATATCCTGAATTTTTGGGGTTGACGGGCGGATGATATATGACCGGTTTCCTTTTTTTTTTTGCGGAGGCTTTTTGGCTACTTTTTTTTTGGCTCTGGGTTGCGTGGAGTTTAGCGAGTTGGCAACGGATCTACCTGGGTACCTTCAGTTAGTATATCTACTAGGCAGGCTTCTATCTGTTCTGTCTCATCAGTACATTGAAGTCGAAACTACTATTGAAACTTCTTTCACCCACAGTATTAGGCTCAATGGTGGCCGCTACTGAATACTAGTATGATTTACTGTGTCCAAGTTGTCACAGGAACAAATTCAAAAGTAGAGGAATGTACAATTCAACAGCTGCTTATTTGCATGCCTTCCGTCGCTGGATCAACCACGCACGAGAATCGGCCAAATTATCCTGTCTCATTGGCTAGATCTCGCAGGGTCTGGACACATACAATCCGAGCCCTGGAATCTTCATCTTTCGAGACGATTTTTGATAGTTTTTGCTTCAACCTCTCCTCTTTTCAATCTTCAACATAAGGTCATAAACTGGACCAATTGCATAATATACAAAACATCGCATAGTCATGAAAGTTCTGGGTCGTGTTACGTCGAGTAGTCAAGGGAGCTTAGTCCCAGTCGTCATCATAATCTTCAACGTTCAGCTCATCATCGCCCGCCTCCATGGAGTCGGACCGCTTCTTGAGACGAACGTCACTTTCCTTGACCGCACCGAGGTCAATGAGTAGCTTCTCCAAATCCTCGATCTTGGTTCGGGGTCCGTTGAGTTCCCGAAGAGTGATCAACTGCCTCTTAATCTCGGTATCCTTGTAGACGAGAATAGTGGGAGTGTTCTTCTCTGGATACCCCTCGATACACATGTCGGCGCGGATCTCACAGAACTTGATGTCGCCGAATTTGGCTGCCATTTGGCGCCATAGCTCTGTCAATACCCGGGACTCGACATTGGCACCTTGGGCTGTGAGGTTTACGAACACGAAGGCGCTGTTGGAGGCGTCCGTTACCTCTCGGGCATAGTCGACTTTCTGAAGAGGATAAACCTGGTTGAAAAGACTGGTATGTTGCAGTGTGTTGAGCTCTGCAAGACGTTTTTGACTGACAATGAAATGTGTCAGTTAGACTGTTGAAGTAGGTATCAAAAATTGCGAGGGCTTGCGTGAATCTCGAGGATAGGTGCGCTGGTGGTAGACGCAAGACTCACCGGTATTGCTGGAGGAACTCCTCGTCCTCCTCGTCCTCTAATGCATCCAGCTCATCAACATCCTTGTCCTCCAGACGATTGTCGTGGGCCCTTTGAGCTGCCTCGATTAGGGCCTCTTGGATCAAAGGCTCGGGGTCTTTGGGCTTCTCGGGGATAATTCCATGCTGGCGAAGAATGTCATTCCTAGAAAAAAGAAAGAAATCAAGTCAGAACGTGGTCATATATAGCTGTCCCCGCAGGCGGGAATGCATGCTTCATGCAGGTGATAGCAACGATACCATTCTGTGTCCTCGTTGGGGTTGACTTCAACCTGCATATTGATTCTTATTTGACAGTGAACCGTAGCAAGAAACGAAGAGAATAATGACAGTGGGAGAGGGAAAGAGAGCAAGTTGAGAGAGCGGAGCAAGGCATCTCAAATGCATGATGCCACCTGTTTGCAGTGTTTGGTTGGGGCGCCACAGTGGCTGCCAAACACACGGAAGGCCACCTTCACCTAACTCCATAAACAGTTGGAGTTCGAGGTCGAGATTCATCACCAACTCTTCTCCACACCCCTTTTCTCCCTCCTCTTTCTCGCCCTTTGCTTTGGGGGTTGACTATGCGCTTGCAGTAGTTGGCCTACACCGCCCTCCTGCTGTTACTCTGTCCTCCCTCCACCCCCCCAATCGAACCCACCCGAACCTAAGGAGATCGCGAACACAATCCGCTGGTGCAATCCCAGCACCTGGGCAAGATGAGCTACATGAAAAAAGATGAAGATGCGGACCAGGTCATGATCAAACTTGATCGGACCTCGGTGTTCCAAGATGGTATGCAATCGGACAATGGCCTCCCCCCCTGGCACTCCGATTCACAACCCGCACCACTCCCTCCTTGTGTACTGACCTAGGTCAATTCTTCTAGCACGACTATTCAATTCCTCTCCTATCTCACCGCGAACATGCCGAACCCTATTGACCAAGATCGCGGTCCTCCTCTTCACTGAGGAGCAATTCCCAACCAACGAAGCCACAACCCTCTTCTTCGGTATCTCGAAGCTGTTCCAAAACAAGGATCCCTCGCTGCGACAGATGGTGTATCTGATTCTGAAGGAGCTTGCGGGCACTGCGGAAGATGTCATCATGTCGACCAGTATCATCATGAAGGACACTGCCGTTGGCAGCGACGTTCTCTACCGGGCCAACGCTATTCGGGCGCTGTGCCGCATCATCGATGGATCCACCGTCCAGGGCATTGAGCGACTCATCAAGACTGCCATTGTCGACAAGACTCCCTCAGTCTCCTCCGCTGCCTTGGTTTCGTCTTACCACCTCCTGCCCGTTGCTCGCGATGTCGTTCGGAGATGGCAGAGTGAGACCCAGGAAGCCGCTTCATCTTCAAAGCAGTCGACCGGTTTCCTAGGCTTCTCATCTGGCTCTCAGGCCCACGCCATCTCCCAGTCGAACTTTATGACACAATACCACGCAATTGGTCTTTTGTACCAAATGCGCTCGCATGATCGCATGGCGCTGGTGAAGATGGTTCAGCAATATGGTGCCGCAGGCGTTGTCAAGAGCCCTGCTGCTCTGGTTCTGCTGGTTCGTCTGGCGGCTAAGCTTGCAGAGGAGGATCCTGGTCTCCGGAAACCCATGATGCAGATGTTGGATAGCTGGCTCCGTCACAAGCACGAGATGGTCAACTTCGAGGCTGCAAAGGCCATCTGCGACCTCCGAGATGTCACCGACGCCGAGGCATCCCAGGCTGTCCATGTCCTTCAGCTGTTCCTGTCTTCCCCGCGCTCTATCACTAAGTTCGCCGCCATTCGCATCCTCCACAACTTCGCCTCCTTCAAGCCGCAAGTCGTCAACGTCTGCAACCCCGATATTGAGTCGCTCATCTCCAATACCAACCGCTCTATCGCCACCTTTGCTATTACTACCTTGCTTAAGACCGGTAACGAGGCTAGTGTCGATCGCTTGATGAAGCAGATCTCGGGTTTCATGGCCGATATCACCGATGAGTTTAAGATCACCATCGTTGAGGCCATCCGCACATTGTGTCTCAAGTTCCCCAGCAAGCAGGCCGGTATGCTTGTTTTCCTGAGCGGCATTCTGCGTGACGAGGGTGGCTACGAGTTCAAGCGCACTGTTGTGGAGAGTATGTTCGATCTGATCAAGTTTGTTCCCGAGAGCAAGGAAGAGGCTCTTGCTCATCTTTGCGAATTTATTGAGGACTGCGAGTTCACCAAGCTGTCTGTCCGCGTTCTGCATCTGCTTGGTGTCGAGGGTCCCAAGACCTCGCACCCCACCAAGTACATCCGCTATATCTATAACCGTGTCGTGTTGGAGAACGCCATTGTGCGTGCCGCTGCCGTCACTGCTCTGGCCAAGTTTGGTGTTGGCCAAACTGACCCCGAGGTCAAGTCCAGTGTTCAAGTTCTTCTCACCCGTTGCCTCGACGACACCGACGATGAGGTTCGCGATCGTGCTGCCCTCAATCTGCGCTTGATGGGTGCAGATGATACTATGGCTGGGCCGTTCATCAAAAACGGTAAGAAGACTGACATCCCTCTCCAAACACAATTTTTACTGACAGACCCAGACTCCATGTACTCTCTTTCCACCTTTGAGCACCAACTTGTCATGTACGTGACCTCGAACGACAAGCAGACCTTCGCTGCCGCCTTTGATGTTTCTTCTGTCCCCGTTGTCAGCCACGAGCAGGCCTTGGCCGAGGAGCGGACCAAGAAGCTCACTTCCGCCACACCCACCCTCAAGGCCCCTTCGGCCGGTCCTACGAAGAGCAAGGCGAACGGCGCTACAGAGGCAAACAGTGCGGCTGCTACCCAGAAGTATGCCGAGCAGCTCATGCAACACCCCGATATCAAGGAATACGGCACCTTGCTCAAATCTTCCGGTCCTGTCGAGCTTTCTGAGAGTGAGACTGAGTATGTTGTGACTGCTGTCAAGCACATTTTCAAGGAGCACATCGTTGTGCAATATGATATTAAGAACACCCTTCCCGATACCGTCCTTGAAAACGTGACTGTGGTCGCGACGCCAGAAGAGGAGGATGTTCTGGAGGATGATTTCATGATCCCAGCCCCCAAGCTTTCGCCCAACGAGCCTGGCGTTGTCTACGCTGCCTTCAAGAAACTTGGTGGCGAGCACAGTGTCCCGATCTCTTCCTTTACCAATATCCTGAAGTTCACTAGCAAGGAGATCGATCCTAACACTGGCGAGCCCGAGGATGAAGGCTACGATGACGAGTACCAGGTGGAAGACCTCGAGCTCACTGGTAGCGATTACGTTATTCCCACTTTTGCTGGCAGCTTCGACCACGTTTGGGAGCAGACTGGCGCTAATGGCGAAGAGGAGAGTGAGACTCTGCAATTGAGCAACATGAAGAGTATTATCGGTATGTATCCTATTTGCGTTCCAGTCGATAAATTGCCGAATTACTAACCATTTCCTAGATGCCACGGAGCAACTGATCGCTGCCCTTTCCCTTCAGCCTCTGGAAGGAACCGATGTTGCTCTCAACAACAGCACACACACCCTGAAGCTCTTCGGTAAGACCGTCTCCGGTGGCCGGGTGGCCGCTCTCATCAAGATGGCATTCTCGAGCAAGAGCGGCGTCACAACCAAGATCACTGTCCGGGCAGAAGAAGAGGGAGTTGCTGCTGCGGTGCTTGCCTCTGTCACTTAATGTTTTCCCTTTTAAACTATTTCCCTTTTCTTTTTCTTTCTCCATTCGATATCAAATTGTAGTAGACATGAGGATGGTTCTACATTCTTCGCGCGCCCTCGCACCCTGCTGTTCTTGTTCATTCTCAATCTGTGCTGCTATTTCTTAAGCTTCCAGGGTGATTTCTGCTACCTATGACGAGTCCCATGATGGCCACAATAAAAGCTTGGAGGACTTGTTTTTTGTCTGTTATCGAGCTGATTTTGTTCCGTTTCCTCTCTATCTTCTGCTTTGTCGGGGTGTCTACATAGATCGATGATTGCGGGCTGAGGCGAAGCAATTACATTTGGTTACTAAATAAATCTAGTACCTACCTATAGCTAGTATCTCAAGATCTTAGACAAGGCAGTACTACTACTACCTCGGGGGCTGGAATACCTAGCTATATGGTTCGTTGCCGGATTCGTACCTAGGTATCCATTGTATACTGTAGCTAGTAGTAGTAGTAGCCCTGGAGTATTAGTATAAAATTTCGCTTGACCTTCCAATGTTGCTGAAAAAAAGATACGTATATTTTAAGTTCGAGCTGATATGATATGCTAACTAGCACGCTGCTAGGTAATAATCAATCCATGGATCCATCCATTTATATGCGAGTTTGTCGTTATAATGATATTTCTAGGCTATATAATGCTATTGGGGTATATTTTTTGAGACTTCGTATCCGTGGCCATTGACACATTAATTGGTTTCGTCAAGGATTATCAATCCGAATGAATGAAGCGATTCAAACTCAGCGAGTTGAGGATCGTCGTCGTTGTCCGGTAGATGAAGCCAAACTTCGTCGTCGATCTTCTGTCGGTAGTCGTCATTCAGAAAGAGCCCTGCTTCTGAGCAGACCTTGAAACACCACACATTGCTGTATTGATTTTGCAATGCCTGGAGAAATATCATTGGGAGGATTTCGCCGCTATCAAGGTCCAACTCATATCCAGACTGTGCGGGAGCAATCTCCAACACCTGGACGGGCGATGCCTGTACTCTAGGTATGCCATCAAGCAGCATTAGAGCAAGATCTGCTGGTAATTTGAGATGGCGAAGCTTCTCCATTGACTCAATCGCTTCCACTACCGGAAAATCGGATTCTTCATTTTCTACCTCGATTTCCCACATGCCGTGGTTATAAGGACCGATGGTCAGCTCTCTGAGCACTTGACTGAGCCTTTTATTACCCAGAGTGGCTCCTAGGGTGTCGAGATCCAAATTCACGCAATGATCGAGCGTCAACTTCTCGAGGTTGTCAGGCCAGCAGAAGTCTAACATTGTTTCGTAATCGACGCGCCCTCCAACGCTCAAATCGATCAATGACTGCGGCCACTGATCCTCATCTGTATGAACAAGATTCATGGAAGTGGGAAGTCTGAGACATTCGAGCTTTTTGATGCCGCTGATGGTTTTCTTGAGTTTCCGAAAACTTACAGAGCTTCCCATAACCAAGCTTAGATCTAAACGTAGAAGATTCTGGCATCTAGAAAGCGCTGCAAGGCTGTTGATGCTGCTCGATAATTAGTCTTGGTCATGGCCGTCATCGAAGACCACTCTCAATTTACTCACGCAAAGGATACACGAGGTGCCGTGAAGGAAACAAGGCTTGAGCTCGCCGCTTTCAATAGCCGTGCAGTCTGGCTGGGGGAGCTGTGGTGGACCAACTCCTGCAAGAGGAGCTCCTTCACCAGAGACCCGAGGTCGACATTTGATTTTTTGGCCCTGGACTGAGGACTGACTGTGGATAAAAAATTTCCGAAGTTGTTTCCTCGCGCAAGCTGCGGACTGCGATATAGAAACTCGATGCCGGCTGAGTACCACGCACGTCCAACAAGGCAGAAATTGTACATATTTTTCTGGCGAGAGAGTAACGAGTCCTTCCGCCCTTCGTCGCTCAAGTAGATAATTTGAGCAATAAAGATGAGAATTTCGACAGGGAGATCGGGGGGCATTTTATCGCCCATTTTGGATGGTGCAGGTTGTACTTTCATTATAAGCGAGCGGAGCGAGAGAAAGTGAAGTGAACAGGGAAGAAAAGACGAAAGGCAACGGAATCATGAACGGGTTTGATGGGATGAGATCGCGCAGTCAATGGGTAATTGATTTTTGCGTCATGGTTGAGATCGAGGTCGCATCAAACAATCAACATATATGCATGGGGGGGCAGAGAGATGAGAATGCTTCAATGCGCGGCGAATCGGAGAAAGAGTGGAAGTGGAAGTGGGGGGGGAAAGGCGGAGTTAAGAGTTGGAGTTGGGGGATGATATCACCCCCTCTCCTCTCCCTCCCCTGCTCTTCTCTCTCCTTTTTCTTTTCCTCCTTTCCCTCCCTCAACCTCCCTCTCTCCACTTGACTTATGAATTCTCAGACTATGTGGCGGTCTCTCAATTTGCTCCGGCGTGTACCCGGCCAATACAATGTTGGCCGTCGAGCTATTCAGACCGCCAGCGCGTCCCGAGTCCCGAACTTCGCCTTTGCCTTCGAGTGAGTGACTGTGATGTATGCACATAACCAATCCGCTACCCTCTTAGTCTAATCCTTCTCCCTCAGCATTGATGGCGTCCTCCTACGAGCTTCGAAACCTATCCCTGGCGCTGCCAACTCATTAGCCCTCCTAAAAGAGCAAGGAATCCCCTTCATCTTACTTACCAACGGCGGAGGTAAACACGAGACAGAGCGCGTTGCAGAAATCAGCGAAAAGCTCAATGTGCCACTGGATGCAACAGACATCGTTCAGAGTCATTCACCATTTGCGGAATTAGTCAAGGGACCCGATGCAGCGAGCGCGCTCGAGAACAAATGTATTTTGGTGGCCGGAGGTGATGGCGACAATTGTCGGCGAGTGGCGGAACAGTACGGCTTCAAGAATGTCGTGACACCGGGTGATATCTTTATGGCCGATCCGTCTGTTTGGCCCTTCTCGAAGAACTTCTCGGATCACTACAAGACTTTTGCCCGGCCGCTTCCCAAGCCGCTCAATTCGACCGATCTAACTAAGGGTCTCAAGATCGACGCTATTTTTGTTTTCAACGACCCTCGTGACTGGGGACTTGATACCCAAGTTATTATGGATCTCTTGCTCTCGTCGCAAGGCCACGTCGGTACGTTGTCAGAGAAGAACGGCCGAACTGACTTGCCCAACCACGGCTACCAGCAGGATGGTCAGCCGCATTTGTATTTCTCCAACCCGGATCTTTGGTGGGCAGCAGCCTATCCTCTCTCGCGTCTTGGTCAGGGCGGGTTCCGAGAAGCACTCGAGGGTGTTTGGGCCGCGACCACAGGTGGACCTGGCAAGGGTATTGAGCTGAAGAAAACCGTGATCGGCAAACCGTACCAGGGGACGTATGAGTTCGCCGAAAGGCAGCTGCTCCGCAACCGTTCCAAGGTCTTTGGCACAGATTTGCCACCCTTGCAGCGAGTCTATATGGTTGGAGATAACCCAGAATCGGACATTCGGGGCGCAAACTCCTATCGCAGCGGGTTCGGCAGTACCTGGGAGTCTATTTTGGTCCGTACCGGTGTATACACTGGAGGTGATCCTGCATGGACTCCTAAAACAATTACCGATGATGTACAGAAGGCCGTTCAATGGGCACTGAAATCTTCAAAATGGTGATTTCGCGGTTGGTTTTGCTGTCTACGTGAAATGCCAAGATAAGTTTCAGCGCATACCTCGGCGACCGGGGATTAATTTGTACCATCGGGGGTGACTAAAGGTCATGACATTCTGGAGTTAAATTAGCGTCATATTATACTATGATGTACATACTATGTGATACCAACATAAACCATGATTCTGTTCTTCAACCTGGAATCAGGTATGAAGATGTCAGCTTCGTATAACCAATCTTGCTACGCTGCCATTGTCTTTATACTATTAAATCTGCGAGTAGTTTAGAAGTCTCCCAACTCTGTATGTTATCCTTTTTGATTCCTCAGGCACCCCGCGATCGATATGTATGAGGTCATGTGACGATCACCCCTCTTAGGGTTTAGGGCAGTTTTTCACGGCGGGGTGACTCAAAGTGTCAACCGCATCAAGTCACCCCATTCAAAGTGTATCATTAAGGTGAGTAATCCACTTTCTCGCAGTCAATCGTCTTCGTATCTAACAATCCTCTTCAAAGCATTATGGCGGACTCCGAATTGCCCACTCGCCCCAAGCCCGAGGAGACCGGCGCGGCTGCCGCTCCCGCCGCGGAAGGTGACTCTAAGAACGCCAGCAAGAACGCGGCGAAGAAGGCCGCAAAGGAGAAGGCTAAGGCTGAGAAGGCCGCTGCCCGCGCTGCACAGGAGAAGGCCCAGGCTGCTGCTCAAGAAGCCAATGATACCGCCAAGCACCTTTACGGCAAGCTCCCCGAATCTGACGACGCCAACCCCACCACGCGATTCACCGACTTCACCGACGAAGAGAAGGAGGTTACTGTTGTCGCCCGTGTGGACAATGCGCGTGTGCAAAGTGCCAAGCTTGCTTTCCTGATGCTGCGCCAGCAGGGTCAGAAGATTCAGGCTGTTATTGCGGCGGCCGAGCCCATCTCCCGACAGATGATCAAGTTCACCGGTGGACTGAACGTCAACTCCATTGTTAAGGTTACCGGTCTGATCAAGAAGCCTGAAATCCCTATTTCCTCCGCCACCATCCAGCACCTTGAGATCCACATCCGCAAGGTTTACATGATCTCCGAGGCCGCGCAAATGCTGCCCATGCAAGTTAAGGATGCCGAGCGCCCACCCCCCGTTGAGACTTCCGAGGATGCCCCCCCAGGTTGACGCTGATGGTGCCCCCATTGTTACACTCAAGACCCGTCTGGACAACCGTGTTCTGGACCTTCAAACTGAGACCAGCCAGGCCATCACCTGGATTTCCAGTGGTGTTGCCCAGCTGTTCTCTGAGTACATGATTAAGAGCGGTTCCCGGTGGATCTTCACTCCCAAGCTGGTCGGTGCGGCCACTGAGGGTGGCAGCAACGTGTTCGAGGTCAAGTACTTCAAGCGCACTGGTTACCTCGCTCAGAGCCCTCAGCTGTACAAGCAGATGTGTATCGCCGGTGATATGGAGAACGTGTTCGAGATCGCTCCCGTTTTCCGTGCGGAGGACAGCAACACCCACCGTCACTTGACTGAGGTATGATAATGATCTAGACTGTATTTGTTGGATTTCATGCTAATAACTTGCAGTTCGCTGGTCTTGATTTCGAGAAGACATTTGACAAGCACTACCACGAGGTTCTTGAGTTCGCTGAGGATCTCCTGGTCTTCATTCTCTCCCAACTCAAGGAGCGCTACGCCGCCCAGATTGCTACCATTCAAAAGTCCTACCCTAAGGCCGGTGATTTCAAGCTGCCCAAGAACGGCAAGGCTCTGCGTCTGAACTACATGGATGGTGTTGCTCTGTTGAAGGAGGCTGGCGTCGACATGTCGGAGCAGGAGCGCTTCGAGAACGACTTCAGCACCGCAATGGAGAAGCAGCTCGGACAGATCATTCGCGACAAGTACGATACCGACTTCTACGTTCTGGACAAGTTCCCCATGGCTGTCCGTCCCTTCTACACCAAGGCCGACCCCAGCGATGCCCGCTTCTCCAACTCGTACGATTTTTTCATGCGTGGTGAGGAGATCATGTCTGGTGCCCAGCGCATCAACGACATCGCCGAGCTCGAGGAGTCGATGCGCTCCAAGGGTCTGGACCCTACCCAGGAGGGTTTCGAGGACTATCTCAATGCTTTCCGCCAGGGCTGCCCACCTCACGCCGGTGGTGGTCTGGGTATGAACCGTATTGTCATGTTCTTCCTCGGCCTGCCCAACGTGCGTCTGGCGTCGCTGTTCCCCCGTGACCCTCAGCGTCTGCGCCCTTAGATTGGTGGCTTGTTTAGATAGAATATAGCAAAGAAGATCAAAAATGAATTGCAAGGAACGACCTTTTAATTTGATATCTTCTGTTTCGATCTGCACCTCCATGCTTTCGAAACAATCCCCTCGCGCGAAATAAAATCAATAAGAAGGAGGTGTGCTTCGCATCTGCTGGATGTTTAGATACATCATGCAGAACAAGGGCCCCCCCGTGCACCATAGTGGGTCTTATAGACCCTAAAGGAACAGCTTCGGTCCAGCCCTGTCAATTCAAAGTCCGCTCCACCTCCCCCAGGCCCCACTGTTATTTGGCATTGACCAGATTTTGGAATTGGGAATAACCAATTGAGAGGATGTTTTGAAAAAAAAGGAAAGAAAAAAAGAAAAAGGAGCAAAAATCCCACCCTTTCCGAGTCCCGAAGGATTGGTCCAGGCTATAAACCCCCCGAAGGGTGTTTTTGGGAGCCGATGCTACCTGAGGACATTAGGTGCACCGGTCTTCCAATGCTGCATTGTGCGTGAGCACCCAACATGGAAGGTACTGAGGACTCGCTTCAATGCAGTAGGTGGTGTGATATACCACTACACCACTCACCCTCAGTTGTTTCTATTACCACTTGATACCAGTTCCTATTGATCCTCCGTTTCTTAAAATAGTATGTGGCCGTCCAACTATACACTGTGGGGGCTCTATGAGAAGCCAACCCCCTATTTTCATCATGGCCTAGTTTCATTAAGAATCGAATATTTATTATCTGAATTTTCTCTCCTTTACTCGATTTTTTACTCATTTATCCTTCCATATCTTTTCTTCCATTACCTCTACAAAAAAAAAAGAAACTCATGGGCTTGTCATCTGTTGCTGCTCTGCGGCCTCGTGTGCATGTACTGGCCTCAGCAGTATTGGAACATTTGCGCCGCCCGTTTAATTTCAGAAATTCTGTCTGGCAAACTATGTCCGGATTATCAGTGGTGCTCTTATTACACTAGAAATATCGTTTGGATATCTAGCATTTGAATGGTAGCCGGATCCGGTTTGGGTCTAGAGATGGAGAAAATTCTTCGTCATGGGGCCATGATCTTGAGGCATTTTCAAATGGTAATTGATATTTCCGTATTCGCGAGTCTAAAAGCCACGTCTATATAGGACTCGCTCGGGACACTATTGCTAGTATTATTGTTTGCGTTAAAGCAACAGGGAGGAGGGAGAGAGATGCACTATACTCGAATTTTAGCCGCCAGTGGGCTCTCCGAGTCTGAGTCGGCCAATGCCATGCTATCTAAATGCTAATTTTTGGCCATACATGCCCCAAATTTCATATCCCCATGGTTCAACTGGCTAGTTTCCCACTCAAATCTCTTCAAATATCATCCAAATGTCATCCAAATGCCATTTCCAAATCCTGCACCTGCGCTAAACCGTGGTGTGTCCTCATTTTCGACCCCCCCACCCCCCACTTAATGCCACCCTAAATTGAACCAGAAAAAGCCGTAGATAGTCGTACCCTAGTGCGCTAGGCCTTGGAATGGACACGTTTCTGACTCCCTCACCGGGGCCATGGGCTGGTGATTTCACCACTCCGTCTTGTACGCCGAGCGGGAGTGGACTAGGGGGGTCGGTGGTGTCGAGGTGCCAAAGGTGCCGAAGGGCCGAGGATGGCAGGGATCTGTGTTAGCAGGTGTCATTCTCACAGATAATTTCGGGAGGTGGGAGTAGATAGGGTAGCCTGACCGTGTGTCAAGACAACACAGACTGTGACTACTGCTCTCTACTCTCTGCTCTCTTGCGAATCGCTTGAATCGCAACTCCAATTTCTGTTTTTCCAAAGTGGCACTGGAATGATCGAGGAGCGTCAATACGTTTTGTAATTCCATCTTTGCCTTACTGATGCCGGAAATGAATTTCTCTTCGCAGTGCAAGAAATAAGACGGGCATACTCAGGAGATGCCTGGGGTAGCTTGTTCGCTCCCGAAACTAAAGGTGTTTGCTGGTGTTGAGAAATGATTCGCGGTAGAAAGATTGGAATGTACCATGAACATGATTCTCGAGAAGACCGCTCAAACGCGAATTCGATGGTATGGAATCACCGGGCGGGGATAGAAACGGAGATCAATTCCGCTAATGGGTCATGGAGTCGAATGGAGCGAAAGGTTGTCAAGATGCCAGTCAATGATGTGGTGGTCGGTCCAATTTTTGGATTCGATAAACAATTGAAGGAATGTCATGAGGAAAGAAGAAAAAAGGGTAAAAGATTCACCCTTTCCGAGCCCCGAGGGGCTGGTCCAGGCTATAAAACCCCCGAAGGATGTTTTTGAGAGCCGATGCTGCCATACGGTAAACCGTAGGCTTTTCCTGAGGACATCAGGTGCACCGGTGATCCCACCTTCCAATGCTGCATTGTGCCTGAACACCCAACATGGAAGGTACTGAGGACTCGCTTTAATGCAGTAGGTGGTGTGATATACCACTACGCCACTCACCCTCAGTTGTTTCTATTACCCCTTGATACCAATTCTTATTGATCCTCCGTATCTCAAAATAGTATGTGGGTCAAGGACCCTTGGGGACCTCCAGGGAGATCTTGATCGAGTGGAGATATCCACTTTACTTTGTTCTAAAAATAGTCCTCAAAAATATCTGGGGTCTCCACAATCATCATTGGTCCTTTTTGAATTGGCCCGTGCGTTTGTACCACCAAGGCTTACTGCTAATTTTGACTGCATGTCTGGAGAGCTTGGATGCATGAAGCTATTGCCAGCTCACCCACGTACCCAGAACACCGACTTGGAGAATTTCCACCCAGACCTTGAAAAGAAAAAAAAATAAAAAAAATAAACTCCTATGAAAAAGTCATTCACCTGAATTTTCTCTGTTTTATCATATTTTTCTCAATATTTTTCTCAAAAGTAAATAATCGCTTGGGCAGGTTACCTACTACTAGTCCGTGAGAAATGCCTTTGAGCCCGAACCATGTACCAGAACACTAACTCGACAATTTCCCACCTATATCTCTCTTAAGAAAGAGTTCCCAAATAGTCGAATTACTCTCCTTATTTTTCTTAATTTTGTCATATTTTTCTCATGATTTTCTCAAAAGTGAAAACTCACTTGGGACATCGTAGGTGAACATGTTACCTACTAGAAGAAATGCCGTTTGCGCTCAATTTACACCAGAACATCAATACAACTAAAAAATCGCTTGGTGGTGTTATACTAGGAGTGGGCGATATGTTACTTTCTTACAAGTAGAAATGCCTTTGCGCCCGATCTCCCTCATGCACCACAACTCGTGGACGCCAACGCGCAGAATTTGCCCCATGTCTTTTAAGATAGAATTGAGTTGTAGGGATTACTCTCCTGAATTTTCTCGACTTTCTCGTTTTTTTTTCGAGAAAAAAATCATCGCTTGGAGGCAGCGCACGTAGCATGCGAAACAAACCCTTTGCGTCCGACATATATATGGTCTACTCACCCTAGGCAAAGTACCACCATCATCGTCACCTGCCCAGGTGGGCATACATCCCGAATAACCCCCCCAAATCCCCAATTCATATATTTTCACATTTCCAAACTTGCCATCATAATGGTTAAGCCCGAGAAAAACACATTCTAGTTTCAATAATACTCAAATCCCCCCTGTTGCTATGCATTTCATCCCTAGGTGATGGGTTGTTGATGCGGATGACTTTATCTTCTTAAGGTTTCCTCGATGTTTTTCAGATTGGAAAGAGCGTATTTTATGTCGATTTTTGTCGATTTTTATGAGACGGTAACGACCGGTAAGGTCTAGGGTTCGAATCTAGATCCCAGGGTATTTTGGCATCCTACACGAACCTGCTGAAGCGTCGTCTTAACAGAATAAAAATGAAGCCACAAATTTACATTTTACATCTTGACGTTTTTTTTATAGTAATTCTTGGCATTGATAACACGGGAGGGCCAGCTTATCGTAAAATTGGGGGTGATAAGCTGGGCTCCACTCATGGCAGAGGGATCCTATGGGAGAAAAGCTGAGGTCGTCGCCTTGCACTAAGCTACCTTGACTTTTCTCCAACTCCAACGCCTTCAATGCCGGACAAGCGCAAAACACCCATGTCGGCCCCTGCACCCAAGCGCCCTCGTATACACGAGGATGCCAGCGATGAAGTGACTTCCCATGAACAGCCACGGAGTCACCCCGTCTATGGCCAAAAAAATGCGTTCCCAGGCTTGGACGACGCTGGAGACGAGCTCTTCTATGGCCCAGCAGATGATGGATTGGAGTATTTACGCATGGTCCGGTGAGTCTCCCTCTCTAAAGCCGATGCCAGAGCGCGTGCTAAAGAACGCTCTTCTCGTTCAGCCCAGTCCCATTCCATCTTTTTCCCCCCTACCGCAGACTTGATTCTGACCTGATGGTATCCAATCTAGATCCGAAGCGAACGCAATGCCCTCGCTGTTCATCGCCGAAGGTCTCCAAAAGGGCCCAGCACCATCTCATTCAAATGCTCCGGTGAATTCGAGTGAACGCGACCGGCAAAAATCGTCTTTCAAAGCCGGTTTCTACATGGACGAAGCCTACATCGCCCCCGCAAATTCCGACGAAAAATCGCCCACATCTCTTGAAAAGGTATACCCCGAAGCTCAAGCTTCCTACTATAACCTTCTCCGACACCGATTTCTACTCCTCCGATCCACCTTGAGGTGCAGCCCTCCCGCCGCGGCGATCGCCGGCCTCGACGACTCACACCCTATCAGCCTCCCGCGAAATCACGCACCGGCACGCAAGGAATGGCGACGCCTGACCCTTGTGGTTGATCCTCAGATGGTGCAGCTTGCCTGTATGGACTCGGAGAGTGTGCTGAGTGTGTTGCAGGTGATCGCGCGGGGGCTGTCGGATAATGTACGAAGTGGCGATACCGCGGGTATAAGGCGCCTGGGTGCCTGGATATGGGGCCTACTGGGAAAGTGTCGCGAAGTTGGAGAACTTTCTACAGAGGAAGTGGGTGAGATACGTGATCTCGGGAAACGCGCCGCGAAGATACTTGAAAAGGTTCGAGAGGCAGAGGAGGCGGGCGAGGAGGCCGAAGAGGAGGAGGCCTACGAAGATTCAATCCCCGGCGAGGCCTACCAAGATGGTCAAGAGGAACCAGCAACTCTATCAACGGAGCACAAAGCTGAATATTTGGATACACATGACGTGGAGATGGCTAGTGATGCCGACCGACCAGATGAACTGGCGGCAGCAAAGGCGAGGCTACAGGCCAGGCTACGAGATAGTGAAGACGCCATACCGGATGATAATACCGATCGGGAGACTCGGGTGAAACAGATCCGTGCCATGCTTGATATGATCATCACCGTTGTGGGCGAATTCTTTGGGCAGCGAGATCTCTTGGAGGCACGAGAGGTTTGGACTGGGCCGCAAACTCCACCCTGATTTTTAAACTTATACCCCATTTGCAAAATTGTACAATATTATTAACCATACTCACTTCATGTTTGCTGCAGAGTCATCAGCAACTGGCAGCTTGTCAACTCGTACAGTAGTAGATCATTTGTATACTTTGAGCGTGACGGGACTAAACCGTTTCGGGTGCCTTGCGTCATGCGTGTGGCCCGGGGACCATCGTAGACTGTCAATAGCTTCTTCCCTTCTTCCCTGCTTCTCTTCCTACATCCCATTACACCAGCCATGGCGCCCACCGTCGAGATCGCCATTCCAACCACCAGTCTCTCACCCACATCCCCTCCTCACACAGTTTACCACATCACTCTTCGCCTCCCTCTTCGTTCCTTCACTGTCTCCAAGCGCTACTCCGACTTCTCCGCTTTTCACGCCTCCCTCATTACCCAGACCAGCGAACCACCGCCAGTGCCCCTCCCTTCAAAGTCCTGGTTCTCGAACACAGTCTCGAACCAAAGCTTTCGAGAAGATCGCCGCCGTGGGCTGGAAGAGTACCTCCAAGCAATCAATGAATCACCCGATAGCCGCTGGCGCACCTCTTCTGCCTGGCGGACATTTCTGAACCTCCCCACAGCTGCCGTCGCCTCCTCGAATGGCGCAAAGAACACTTCCAACCGGTTACATGCCGCGATCACAGACCCTGGCTCCGCCTCAAACGGGCAGATCACAGACCCAACACTATGGCTCGATTACCACCGCGACATGAGAACACATCTACACGACGCCCGCCTGCAACTCTCTCGCCGTGACCAAGAGACTATTCCTTCGAGGCAACATGAGAGTTCCGCTCAGGCAAAGAGCAGTCTTGTGCGCGCGGGTACGATGCTCGGACACCTGGAGGAAGGCTTGAGGACCCTTAGCAGCCGTGTATCCCAAAGCGGCCAGTCTCCATCGTCCAGTCTGGGGGAAGGTGAATTGCGCCGACGGAAAGATTTGCTCATAAACGCGCGCAAGGAAAAAGATGGCCTGGAAGACCTGTTGCAAGCCATGGCAACCAAGACCCGACTCGATAGCGCGGTCGCTGCGATGCCAAATAAGGACAAAGAGGAACTTTTTGGGAAAATAAATAGCGCAAATAGTGGGCGCCGAACACCCGCTCGTTCGGGGAGAGTTCTGGGTAAAGAGACTGAGCGGACGCGTGAGCTTGATAACCAGGGCGTGCTCCAGCTGCAAAAACAAACGATGCAGGATCAGGATCAGAACGTGGATGAATTGTTGAAGATTATCATCAGACAGAGGGAGCTGGGGCAGGCTATCCATGAAGAGCTGGAAGTGCATAATGACCTGTTGAGGTTGGCGGATGAGGATACTGATCGGTTCGTTTCCCCGCTGATCACGAACTGCTCGAATCTTGAAGTGCTGACTACTATTTTAGACTCAAAGCCAAGCTCGATGTTGGCAAAAAGCGCATCGGCAAGATCTCATAATGATCAAGCGAAAGCTGTATATCCTTCCTCTACCGAAATTTGTCATAGATTGCGCTCTTTTCTTACATTCAGGAGGGTTTCGAGCGTGGTGCTACATTGCTGTTATCTTAGTTTACTATACCCTACGTGTGAAGTGTTGATAGTGTTGAAAATTTACAAGATCATAAAGGTTCCTTGGGGTCATTAATTGATCCATTCTCGTGAGTAGTGCTAAAAGTAATGCAATTTAATGCTTGCGGTTCATAGTCCATATTTTTCATACCCGGAGTTTCAACTCGCAGAGAGGAACTGCGGATGCGTTAGTATCACCTTGCGAGCTTGGTGTTGATGTACTTACCTCCTTTGCCTCTTCCTCCGAAACCTCAGATCGATCAGAGGTCTTTCCGTCAATAAGACCAATCTTGCTTCGTCGCAACAGCCACCACAGCTCTCGCCGATCACCACCTAGCTCCTCTTGCAATATCTTTGACTTCAAAGAGCGCAGGAAATCGTTGTAAAGAGCAGGCTCTTCGTAGTCAACCAGCTCGTCACGCAGAGTACCCAATCCTTCCATAACACGATCGTAATTCGCGTCGCCTAGACTGTTCTTGATCTGTGATTCGATGATGGTGCAAAGTTGTTTGACGGCACCATGGATGGTTTCAATATTCTCTGCACGAGACAGCATCTGCTTGAACTCCGGGATAGCGTTATCGGGTGAGATATTGGCGCGCTTTGGCTCTTGGTTGAGAAGAGCGTCAACGTCCAGACCCGAAAGAGGCTTCTCCGTTTCGCGTTGGCGCTTGCGTCCTTTTGTCTTCGGAGGAACTGGAGCAATGTGGTTAGCAAGAAGTCCGTGAGTTAAATCGGAATATAAGTACCTTTCTTAACATCAGCCTTAGAGATCAAGTCGTCAAGGAAGGACGCTGAGTTTTTCACAAGCTCTTCGTCAGGGTGGGCGAATTTGGTGAGTTTTTCAGGCGACTCAAGAATGGGATTGTCTGGGTGCACTGCGCGATATCGTACTGCCGACTCGATGCGGTGCAATAGCGGAGAGAAAGATTCGTCGATCGGCAGCACATCATTCCTATAATTGATTCTTGTTGTCAGTTGTGTACCAGTGTCGTCTGATCAGACTACTCACCCAAGTTCGTCCTTATGGTCAAGCTCCATACTATCAACGTAATTATCCATTGCTTCTTGAAGGTCTTGATTTGGGAGATTTCGGTGCTCGGTGATAATTTTGCCAGATACGGTGATAATCTTGTCCAGCGGTGGAAACTGATACGATCGAACATCTTCCGAATAAGGCAGCTGTACCTCAACCAGGCACTCATAGCCTGCATTGATGGACGGTGCAAGTAGGACCACCATAGGAGCTCGATTCTCCTTGGTGACCATTCGAGCAACAGCATAGAAAGACGACAGGTGTAGGGCGTGGATGAAAGAAGACAGTGCCAGAGAGGCCTTGTCATTCGCACGTTCTGGAATGATGATGTTGGTATTGGAGATGTGCAGGTATCGATCGTACTAGAGAGCAATTAGTTAAGTCGAAGTTCCGATCGAGTTATGGTGTCGTACCTTATCCTGGTTGATGAAGCCGATGAGATCTAGACATGCGAATGTGTCTAATCTCGTAATGTTCTCATCTATTTGGCTGATGTGAACAGCTGTCCGGCCATATTCATAGCCCTTTGCGAGGTCATCGCGTTCAACATCAACCTTGCCACCAACCGCAGACGGATCGTCAACTTGGTAAGTCCGTGCCACTCTCACAGCAGTAAGAGCATCACCCTGACTTGGCTTCGGGTCTCCTTCCTCATCCTGGGTAGCTTTGGAGACAGGGACAAAAGAGCTGGCAGACGGCGGGCGGGCGACATATGTTCGGGGATAGCGCTCGACCGGAATCTGCACAGCTGTTTCGTACTTTTGAGAATCACCGAGTCTGAGCATACCTTTGAAAGATGGCATGGGGTTGACGGCTTTGATGCGAGGCGTGTCTAATTCAGCGATAGCCTCCTCTAGGGTCCCATAGGTTCCCTCGCAGCCTTCAGCGAATTCACGAAGCAGGTTCTCATTTTTTGCCTGTGAATTTGCAGACATAATTAGCAGAATTCCCAAGCCATATTTGCGAAGGTGAATATCACCTTGTGGCGATCTTTATCTTCCTCCTTTACCCCGTACTCCGGATCATCGAAATCAGCTCCCCTGGATGAAATCAGTCGGGTACTCTAACAGTAACGAATAGTCAACCACTTACAGAATACACAATTCAATTCCATCGCCGACGATTTTCTTTTGGATTTCCTCACGTCCATCGCCGTTCATTGGCCCAGTACCGTTTGTGACCAGGACGATCTTCCGCTTGTATTTAAGCGTTCTGGTAAACTCATTGATCATTGTAATAGCAACGACAATGGCAGATATGGCTTGAATAGAGTCAGTATCTCGTTTCTGTCCATAGTGAGGGGGTTTCATGTACCATCGCCCCGGTTTGTATTGCTGGGTTTGATGGCATCACGCAGGTTCCGGATATCAGGCATGAGAACTCTGGACGAGGGTCAGTCGTGTACTTGGTCAGGAAACAATGGGCATCATACTGTCCTAATTTTGAAAGAATAGAGATGTTCGAGTTCTCTGCGTGTTCTTGAAGCTCATTTGATGTTTCTGGTTTTGTCTAGTTAGACTTGCCTGGGCGGAAACAAATGACATTGCATGGAAATACCTACCATCTGAACGCAGAGCAAGAACCGAAACATTCGCTGTCTTTCGACCAGTGCTGACCTGAAATTTGGTGAGTGATTGCCATGAATATTGAAAGGGAAAACGCGTACTGTGGTGGTGATCTTATCCCAGACATACTGCATGGCCCACTCCAGATCTGTGACGGAGCGGCCATGACGACGTTCGCCCATGGACCTGCCCACGTCGATAATGTAGATAGTTGCCTCCTTTTGAGCCATTGGATCTGAGCACTGCAATGAAAGGGAGATGTGGAAAAACAAAATGGTGAAAAAGACAAATGAGGCTCCTAGTGTAGGGCCAGGCAGACGCGTGATATTTCCTTTTTCGTTTAGGCTGTCGCGCGAGCACATGACATCACTTGATCAGCGTGTGATTAGTCATTTGGACGTGGAATTAATCTAGAATTGTAATTACGGCTGTGGTAATACGGGATATCCCCACTGAAGAGAACGTGGCTTTATCAAGTCGGGTGGTCCCACTCCCCATAGGAATCCATCCCCACGTCCAACTCAATATGATTAAACTCTGCCACCATATCAACTATTTCCCAATTTCAATATCGGATTGTAGTCATACACCAAAATGAATGATCCTCGCCCTTATCACGTTCTGAGGTTTGTTGTCCAAAGAGTCACTATTAGTAGCAGCTTTCGGGGCTAGAATCATGTACTGACAACCTTCCAGCTATGGTACCCTGCTGGGCACCCAGTTCTTCCAGGTATGTCTGACGCGCCATTTTATCTAAGCATTCGCCATGGATAAACCCAAAAAACCTTTCTAACTCTTTATTAGTCCTTCGTAGGCGGGATCGTGGCCTTCCGCGCTCTGCCGCGTCCGCAGTTTGCAAGCTTGCAGACCGCCATCTTCCCTGTCTATTTCTCCATGCAGACCGCGCTTCCAGTCGTCGTGGCTCTGACAGCTAGCCGAGGCGGCCAAGCGCTCGGTGTTTCTGGGCTTTTGGCCCCCGAGAACCGATTGAACACGTTCTTGCCGATGGCCACTGTTGCCATCACTGGCTTGATCAACATGTTTGTGTTGCGCCCCCTAACAACCAAGATCATGCGGGAGCGCAAGCATCAGGGTAAGTGTCTACTTCAAATTTTGGAATGTCGAGTAATATGTTGCATGGTAATGGTCAGCTAACCCATGCAGAAACCCGCGATGGCAAACGGAGCTACGACCCTGCTCCCCATTCCAAGGAGATGGTGGCCCTTAACAAGAGATTCGGACGTATCCATGGAATGTCCAGCCTTGTCAACATGGTTAGCTTTATTGCAACAGTCTATTACGGTGCTGTTCTGAGCAAGAGATTGGAGTAAAGTAGGGAACGCCCCTCAATTTTGCAGAACATAGCATGGCACACACAGTACACCCAACAGATAATGAACAAACTGCATACTGTATTATATTCGAACGGTCCGATTTTCAAATTGAGGGTGCTGCTAGCCTATCTAAAACCACTGTGGAGAGTGCCGACCTGTTCGACTCCTCAATTTTGTCGGTGTATTCGCATTCCTGATAATGAAAATTTTCTACAACAAATTGGACAATATCAAAACGCGTAAAACCGTCAACAATCATTGTTAGCACAAGAAAGTTGCAGAAACAGACCATTAAGATTGATCCTTTTACCACGAAGTAAAATAATACTGATTCATTTAGAGGCAGCATTGCCAACTTCTGCAAGGTGTTGGGCACCCTGGTAGAACTTTGGGAGCGGTTCCAGCTTCCGGCGAAGAACCCAGACCCTGAAATGCCACCAAGCATTTTTCAGTTGGTATGAAGCATGCTTTCTAGTTGAGACAGAAAACACTTGATCCAGTTCTTCTAGTGTAAGAGCTATGCAAATATTTGATTAGCAGTTGACTCGGTTTGAGATATAAGAAGGATAGGAAGAAGCACACACCCTTGGTCTCTGGAACGAAGAGCAAGACTAGAACCCAGCCAATAATACACCAAGCTGCATACCAGCCAAAAGCCCCTTGAGGTTTGAATGCTGTCAGGAGATGAGGCCAGGTAAAGGAAAGAATAAAGTTGAAACACCAGGTCGTGGCCGTGGCCCATGACATGCCAACTTCGCGAACGTGTAAAGGGAATGCTTCGGCGGAGTAAGTAAAGGGAACGGGCCCTTCACCAGGGGAATAGAATACTTCGAACAAGTACATGCCAGTAGTTACCATCGCCACTCGCTTCTTACTTTCCGGGTCGTCGGCCTCGATCCAGAAGGAGAAGCCGGACCAGAATAAGAAGATAGCCAAGAACGGGAAGGTAAACAAAAGGAGGTTGCGACGCCCCCATGTGTCAATGGTAAAAACGGCTGGGAGGGCGAATACCCAGTTGAGAATACCAGTACCCATGGAGGCCAGAAGCGCATTGGACAATCCATACCCGGAGTCCTGGAAGATAGTCGTCGAGTAGTAGGCGATGACATTAACGCCACAAAACTGTTGCATGAACATCACAATCCAGGTTGCCAGAGTGGCACGGCGATTTCTTGGGATCGTGAAAAGCTCAATGAACATAGTGAAGAAGTTTTTGCCCTTATTGATTTTCCGCTCCAGCTGTACCCCCACGTAGGCGTAATAGAGATCTCGAGCGGCTTGGATCTCAGTGGGACGTAGGATCTTGAAGTTTTCATAAGCCTTGGGTATCTTGTCATGCTGGATCAGCCACCTCGGAGATTCAGGGCACATATAGACTTGAGTGCAGACAATCAATGGAAGCACCACTGTCGAGCCGAGCATTAGACGCCAGTTCAGGTCATTTCCGACATTCATAAAGGCCACACCCATGATGTTTCCAAGCATTATACCAAATGCCGTCCACATCTGCCACATCATCACTAGAGCACCTCTAATTGGAGCCGGAGAGCACTCGGCAGCGTAGACTGGGACTGTCGAAGACTTTGAGCCAATGCCGAGGCCAAGAACAAACCGAGCCATAAAAAGATTCACCCATGAATTACAGAAACCTTCCCAGATTGAGGCAACAGCCGCAATGAAGCAAGAAATAAATATTGTACCCCGACGAGCGAAGTATCGATTGAGTGGCTCGGTTAGCCAACAGCCAAGAACCGCGCAAGCCAAGTAAGGAGCGCCAACAACGAGTCCGGTAAGATTGTTACTATTCTCAATACCAAGTCGCTATATCATTAATCAATCAGCCACTCAATTCAACTCTCAATGAATGAGTGTGACGAGAAATACCTTCAAGTAGATAGCTTGAGCGCCATTATTGACAGTCTCGTCCATGCCTTGCACGGCAGCAGCGAGAGAACACATAACTAGAAGCAAATGACATTATTAGTATCTTATACTCTTTTTGAGAGGCGAAGGTTGTAAATATTCTCGCAGAATATCGCTCGCAACTCACTTGCTAAGAAGTAGAGCTGAAATGGCTGGCTCCACTTGTGCGTGTGCTCACGCTCCAAGGCCTCTCTTTCTGAGTCAGTCAGCTCCGGCAGCATCGCCGCAGACTCTGGAGCCTGTGAGACAAGTGCACCTTTCTTAAAGGTTTCCAGATCTGACATAAGGCCCCATTGTTGACAAAATTCTTCAACTTGTTTGAAGAGTTGCTCGCGTGGAATACCGGCGAGAGGATTCTCAAAGACAGCATTCATGTGGTCACGCCCACGATTTTCCAAGTCAGGCTCTCCATAATCCGTTTGCTCTTTGTGAGTAAAGGATGGTGGGTTTTCAACCTTGGAATTGGTCTTTAGAATCGGATCCTCGGCCTTTTCCTTGGCCATGATGGGCTATGCGAGTGCTGAAAACAGCAGAATACGTGAGATATTTGCCCGGATACCAGAGAAGACCGGCTTAGAGACAATGCGGGGAAATAATTCACGCATTCAGAAGGAAAACGGGGGCAAAATAGGATTCTGGGGACATCAGCCTTTTATGCCTTGTGCCTTTGACACTAGTTCTCATCCATAGACACAGGTGCTGCGCTATAGACGTCGCTGGAACCAGAAATGTCGAATCAGGTCTTGCCAATTATTTCTTCTTTGTGTCTTCATTTCGGTATGGACCGCAAATGGAAACTAGCCTGTCAGATCCATTTTACCGCGCCTGATATGACTCTATGGGGCGTATCTTCCCTGTCAGATCCTGGTCAATCACCACGTAAGCTATTGTCCGAGAGGTCATAGAAGCATCGGGGGCACGACCCTCTCGCTGGGTCATCGGGCCATGCGGAGATACTACATAGTATGGGGTGGGTCGCCAGATGGAACCCCACGCTGGGTGGATCACGACGCAAATCGATGCCGCTTGTATGGTAGGCCTGATGCAGTAATACATAGAACCAACACGCGAAACTACTGGCCCGAGCCAAGTGAAACCCCTCAGGACTAAGCAATTTCAAGCAACACGAATCGTGGGTAAACATCCAGGAAATGATCACCGCCGGTTGGGCCTATCATGCAGGCCGCCTTTGTCGATTACGTCACGGCTCTTTGCAGCAGCCATCGCAATTCGACGAAGAGGCTGACACGATGGGGGCCCAAGTCTTTCTGCGTCCTTTGACGCTCTGAGTTTGAAGTCAGAACCATTCATGTCTTGTTCTTTTGGCCCCAGGGTTATCGCTTGGGGATCAGCGCCACTGACGGAGCGGACTGGGGTCATCAACTTCTCAAGCAGGCTTTTTGCAATGGATTGCCAGAAAGAAGTCCAATGGCGTCCGGAACCCCCGCCGAATAACGCCTTCCGGCGCCAAGCCCGCCCCCGCAGCAAGTTTAATCCATACTTCATACCCAGTACTCTGACAAACGCCATAATGCTAAGAAGGTTTGTGGCAGATGGGGTCGCATGGCGTTCTAGAAAAAAAAGTGTCACTAGTAGTGGACGTGTGATACGGCAAGAGATTACATACCGATAATGGCAGTGATTGGAGCAGCAAAGGAAGAGATGAAAGAGAATATCTAGTAGACAACGTAACACGTAGCAAACGTCGTCTTCATTATCGGCCAATGTGACTTTTTCATACTAGTAAGTTTGATTCAATGACGTGTCGTATCATGTACAAACACTTGTAGGTTGCAGAGAGCGAGATTGCAGTGTCTCTGCATAGTAATAGCCAGATCAAAGAATATAGTAAAACTGGCCAGCGGCATATCCGAGAGCTCTAGTCAATGGGATGTACTCTTCACTCGTTGATTGGCACGCCTCTTACCATTGCTTATTTGAAGGCGTGTTTTGAGCTATAATGCTTGAAAGGGGCCGACTGCAACTACTGAGCTTCTGAACAATATAAGAAAATTAGCCAAAGCCAGCCTTGGAGCATGTGGAACCTTGGGAACCAAGCTACTTTTTGACATATCAAAAGCCCCATTACAGCCATTAACATGAAAGCCATATTCCCAACTATCATTTTCGTGGGTTCAAGTCTCTGGGGGTATCATTACGGAGAAATCCCATTCACCGGCATTCGGCCTCCTAGCTCCCTCGCCCAGCGCACACTAAGCAGCCTTCAATTAGCCGGTTCAGCGTATGCTCTGGGTGATCTTCTGCCAGTCAACGTTTCTTCCGCAGCCCTGGGCATACCAAGTTCACTGCATCCAGTCCATACATATAAAGCTCCGGGGATCTTTTATCCGCCAACTTCCATCAATGATAGCTCTATTGCGCCCGAGATTCGAATCCCAAAGTCTCTGCCATCCCCATTGGCACTGAATGAGCTAGGGAGAGAACAAAAGCATTCCTTCGAGAGAGTCGTGCTTGTTCTGATGGTTGTCAATTTTGGTATTCTGGTGAAGCTAATCTTGTACCGCAATGAAGACCGCGCCAGCGAGATCAAGAGCCACTATGACCAGCGCGAACACATTGAGCGGCTCTTGTACCTATACGCAGGTACTCTACCCGTGATAGGTAATCATATACTGCGCCAGTCGAATCAGAAGTTTGCAAAGGTCGAGGAATCGATCCAGAGATTGCATGCGAAGTTTGAAAGGTTTGACAGCGGGTTGCAAGATTTGGAGGACCTCACCAACCCAGATCGAATAGACGAAGCTATGGCACGCTGGAAGAGCTTCCACGAGCAGCTTAAGGAACTCCCCAGAGAAACCTCCAAGGCCCTTTCGGACATTGTGAGGACTTTGGAGGCTTCGCTTGAGACCTCTGAGACCGATGGAGCTAGTACCGGAGAAGACTGATATGCGCTCCCAGAAAAAAACTGCATGGGAAATGACTCATAGAGTTGGAGCCAGCCGCATTGACCGGCGGGTTCGAATCTTAATTATTGCGCTGATTCATGAACGCATGGGACACCGAAAGATATCATATAGCGACCAAATCAAAGAAATTCCACTCGTTATTCATTTATCATAGGAGTACAGGCCGTTGACGTAGATCGACACGGCAAAAAATACCCAAGCCATCATGATCAAGCTTGATCAACGAGATATTTCCGACAAGCAGTTTTCAACATCGCAATCCGTCGTTGTGTATGGATGAACACCTCTCGGTACATATCCAGACTCTGCTGTACCACTTCCTGTCGAGTTTTAGAGCCGGCACATATTTCAAGCATTCTCAGCTCCATTTCCTTTCGCAGAAATGGCTTGCTGAGCGATATGCTGTTCGGCAGACCCGCCACAACATTATCATAGCCCTCTACCAGCGCAATACCTAAGCGAGTGGGAATGAGCTCTTCGATACTGCTGCGGCCACTGCCACGCTTGTTCACAACCACATATTCCCTTTCTTTGATCTTCGCGATGTGCTCGGCCATTGTCGCGTCGGTTCCAATACCATTAGCATCCATGAGACCAATGAGCTCAGGTTCCGTCAAATAGCTTGGGGCTGTGGTTTTGCCCTCGGAGATATTGGCTTCTGTGGGCTCAAACATCTCGTTTTTCTCAAAATTGGGGAGCTGCTGGCTGCTTTCCCATTTATCGTAAACATAGACATCAAGGTAGTTTTTCTCCAAAACAATCAAGCCATTGGCATGAAATATCTCCTCTCCGTATAGGATTTCAATTTCCGTGCCTTTGCCTTTCGCATCGTCAGAGCAGCAAGCGAGGAATCGGCGTGTCACAAATTCGTAAACCTTCTTCTCATTCTCGTTCAACTGAGATGGATTGACCCAGCTCACTGGATGGATCGGCGGGTGTGCCTTGTCGTTGTGAGGACCAGATCGGGGAGTTCTAAATTTTCCGTCCATAAGTCTGCACGGGAGTTAATATCCAAGAATCCTCTCGGCGACACATGTGCGTATACTTACTCTCTAGCATACTGTCCCCATCTATTATCCGGAAATTGCTTTTCCACAAGCTTTTTGAGATCAATTGCCTTGTCAAACTGATCGGTTTCGGTACGTGGGTAGCTGATAAAACCTTTGGTGTATAGAGCCTCGGCGACCTATCAAACAGTCAATAATCCCGAGACCAATTCAAATGGATGCGATGCTAATATCTACCTTCATAATCGTCTGACTGTCCAGCCGGAGAAAGCGACTGCCCATCATCTGGAGATCGACAGTTGTCAACGGCAATGGCCGCCATTTGCTCTTGGGCTTTTGATTCACTTTCGTGACCTTTGCCTTCTTTGCCAATAGACAACGCTCCAGCATCATGATCACGGCTGCACGGTCAAACAGGTGAACTCGCTTCCAAAGGAAATTGACTTTTTTCCCTTCTCGTTGGAGCATGACTTTGATGCCCCAGAAAGTTTCTGGTTTGAAGTTTTGTACTCGTAGATAACGGTCCACCACAAATCCTAGAGTGGGAAACTGACATGACCCTAGAATTAATTAGACTATAGACCCCATGGGATTCGAGAACGAGGGATGTTACCATAGCTGATGACTTTCTCCTTTAAAATTTCCGCGACAGCCTGAAGTTGAAGGGTCTGCAAGCGCGTGAAAGCAGCTCCAATGCGAAGATCAAGCTCGATTCTAGCAGCTACGGCATTGGCTTGGAACTCATCAAGCTCTACCGGCTCTCGCGCAGCTCGAAGAACATGTCTGAATTGCAGGATAGTTCGGTCAGCCGGGCAGGTTCTTCTTCCTTTGCCATTGAATTGACTTACGCCCTTTCCGTGTTGCTGAATCTAGCTCGTCTCACTTCGATTCGGGAATTGCCAGTCTTTGCCTGATTGCGAACCTCTGAGCCGATATGCTCTCCCTCGCGATCACAATCAGTCCAGATAAACAAAGCTTTGCTGTATTTCGCTTGGTTCCGAATGTTTTCTGCGATTGGCAGCTTGTCCTTCAGGAAGATTAGCTATTTTAGATGAATTGAATAGAAGGTAATCGTACCTTGTCAACTTCTTCCTTCACGGGAGCCTCAAACAGAGAGCTAGGAGGACAGGATAGCCAGCCCTTGTATTGACGTTCGAAGTCCAAGCCAGTGAGGTGACCAATCACACTAGTCATGGTCACGGAGCAATTCCCCCAAGGAGCTCCAAAATTGAATTCAAACTCATAGTTCTTCACGTATTGGTTTCCACGGATTGCATGCTGCATCCCTTCATCAGTCACTTGCTCGTCGCAATGTTTGAGCTACTTACCGTCTGAAAAGAGCCACCCGACATGTGCGTGGCTACGGCACGAGCAATGGCGGGTTTCTCTGCCACACATAGAATCTTCCGAGCCATGGCGACTCCGGTGGACACGATCAGACTATGTGAAGAGAGAGACACAACTGCAAAAGGGTCTCGTCCCAACCGGGAAATACTTCAGTGGGGCGTGTTCCTGCCTCAGGCTTCAACGCGCCTGACAAGTCGCGTCCCTCTTACATTACATTACCATACCATACGCACCATTTGCATACATTCCCAAGGGTTTGTGGATGAGATGCCGTATTATCATTACATACATACAGGGAAAGTATATAATGTCGGCTCTCCCTCATCACCGCCCAACATTAATGATAGTATGCTGCCTTCACAAAACCCAAGAGTCTGACATTTCTACCTTGATACTATGGCAGGCGATGGAATAAAAAGAGCGAGAGCCGGAGCATGTGCAACCTGCCGGTGAGTTGTACCTACCAGTGAATGAGTCACGTTCTGATATAGGCATATCATAGTACCCGGAAAAGACGATGTGTTCCTGCTACCACATCAGAAGGCTGTCAACTTTGTCAATCTCTATCTCAATCTTGCAGCCTCGCCCGCAATCTTCTGCGGGTGGATGGAACGATGGGTTTCCCGCCAAGTACAACGAATAATGAGGAGCAAAGCAATGCTGCTCTAAACTCGCCAGAGTTGTTTGTCGAGCTTGTTTCCCTTTACTTTAACTATATCCATAATATTGCGCATTCCGTCTTCCATGAGCCGAGCTTCATGCATCGGCTCAAGCATGGAAAGGCGCCTTTGGTCCATGTCTACGCAATGTGTGCATTAGCTGCTCGGTGACCACCCCTTGGGAATTCCGCACATTTCTATGCACTAAGTGGACTAATTATCAATTACTAGCTATTCTGATAACTCAATATTTCGCAATATTCCCCCGTATATCCGCGGAAAGCTATACGCAACCAAAGCAATCAATTATTGCCACGAGAACATGGTGTCTCCGGACCTGGAGACTGTACAAGGTTTTCTCTTGGTCGGATATTACTTCGGCGGAGAAGGAAATACTCATGGAAAGTACGTATATATTGGGATGGCTCGTCTGCATGCGCATCTCGTACCCCATGAGAATTTCACAACTCCGGTGCTTCGCGAGGAACATCGTCGAACGTGGCTTTCTATCCAGATTGCTAGTCACTGGTCTGCTTCAGATATGGCCATGGAACCTACTTCTTTCTTCTATGAGCCGATATACCGACCAAAGATTGACGACGCAGAGTTTCGTACGCCGGGCCCAGATCTCTTCGAGGGTCCAGTTTCACCTCCTCCTCAATATGGCATGTGGGCTCAGATGGCTCAAACTTTGAACATATTCACCAAAATCAACACTTTGCTACGTCGTCTCAGTCAAGATTCGATCCAATTTCATCAATATTGTGAAGAAGCCGCAATTCTTGAGCACGATCTCGATCGTTGGGCGGAGGACTTACCCCCAACCCTTATCTACAACTACGACAATTTTATGCATATGATTGGGAAGAAAATGGGACAAATATTTTTATCAATGCATATTGGCTATTATCATTTTCGTCAGATGCTCTTCTTTCCCTTTTTGGACTCTCGACTCACACGGTCTACTACTATTAGCAGAGCGGCAAAATGCAAAGAGAGCGCTACCATCGTTTCCAATATTTTACGAAACTCAGAGACCACACCAGGGTGTAAGATGATTTACTTCATCTATGGACATATTGCAGTCATCAGCTCCAGTGTTCAGCTCCATACTCTGCTTTTCAGTGACGATCAGCCGGAACGAAATCTGGCGCGAGACGGGCTGGTATCCAATTTTCAATATCTAATGAACCTGAAATTATATTGGCGTGTTGTCGAGTATCATGTTCGTACCATCACGAGTCCCCCACGAAGCATTGCTAACTTTGTGATACTTCAGGTCGCCCACTTGCGAATCTTTCAGAACTCCTGTAAAGACTCATTGCTGAACCCGTTTGCCTTGGATAGCTGGATGGCACGATTTCTTACTGAGCATACTTCGACTCTTTCACAGAGACTCATTCAAGTTGACAATACCAATCTCTCCTCCCCGGGTACGGATATAGTGGTGACAGACCCCATACATCCAGTGGAAGGGATTACGACTGCGATTAACCCGGGTTCCCAAGTCATAGATACCGAGGAACTAGAGCCTGCTGGGACAGAGATGTCTGAGATTGGCACTACAGATTATAATGATCTATCACGACTGATAGGTAGCCAGGGAATGAGTGGCCAAGCAATTGTTGATAGTGCTCTGAGTTGGCTTCTAGACGATCAATCCCAAGGAGTCCAAGATAGTTGCTAATGCTATTTCCCATCGTCAAACAAAATCAACATACAAGACAAGAACTGCCCAAATCATAGGGATACGATTCAAAGATTCTGCTACTGCAATTAGACAATCTTTTCTACATGAAAGGCGCCAGAAATTTCTGACTTCTGGGCAATGTCTCTCGCAGGAGGCATGCCATCCTCAGATTTCATGTCTTTGGATGGGTCGATAGCCAGCGTGTCCCCAAATAGTTCCGCAATTTCCTCCAAAGTCTTTCCTCCTGTTTCTGGAAGTAAGAAAAAGTAGACAAACGCAGCCACGAAATTAGTGGCAATAAACAGAGAATAATACCGCCAGCCAACATTCTCCAACGCGGTTGGCGTAATTTGAGATAAGACAATTGCCGATACAGCTTTGGAGAACACCGCTAGGCCCATGCCTGTCGACCGGAGGAAGAAAGGAAACAGTTCTGATGGGACCACCCAGATAGTGCCGTTGAAGAACACTGCATAGCCGCAGGAGTATAAGAAGATCATGGCAATTGCTGCACGAGCACCACTCATGTTTTCGGTGCTTGCACTCCCATAGAAAGCAGACAAAGCCATACAAACTGCGATCATCACAGAGAGGAAAATCGATCCCACCCATAATGTTCGAGTTCTTGGCCACCTGTCTGCTGCAATAAAGAGATAAATTATCTGACCGAGAACGCCCATTATTCCATAGATGCCGCTAATCAGGAGGGATGTCTTTCCAGTAAATCCAACAGCTGCATAGAAGCTACTCTGATAGTTCTGGATAACGGACGATCCGCTGAATTGCCCCATTACGAGAATAAAACAGGCCATCAAGGTGCGATGCAAGTATTGACGGGAGAGCAGTTTTGTCACCGCGAGCCTGAAAGAGGTGACTTGACTGGAATCTGCGTGGATCTGAGCTCGGATCTGGGCTAGGTCTTGCTCCACGATACCATCATCACAGCTCCCATGTATGAGGGCTAAGACCGTTTGCGCTTCCTGGTAACGCTCCTTTTGAATCACTTTGGGGTTTTTCAGCAACTGGGATAAATGCAACATGTGATAAAAGATGGGTGGCTGGACTTACGCCATCTGGGGCTATATGGGATAAAGCAACATCCGATCGCCAATGCCAGCGGCCCGGGGATTTGCATGGCCAGGGGTATTCTCCATTGAGCATCTCCTGTTGCATAGGCACCTCCGTAACCGATCCAATTCGCTGCAAAAAAGCCAATGGCGATCATAAATCCCTGAAGACCGACGATCATGCCGCGTTGATCGGGAGGTGAGACCTCGGCAATATAAACGGGCACGATGGTAAGCATGATGCCACAACCGACCCCTGCAAAGAATCGGCCTGCAATCATCATGCCGGCATTGATAGCGGCAGTCTGTAAGATACCGCCGATGATAGCTGGCATGCATGTTAGATCTTTTAAATGACAACTTGATGCGTGTTGTAAACTTCTGTAGACATACCGATTACAGCACTGATGCAAATTGTCCAACGTCGACTCAATTTGTTGGCCAAATATCCTGCCGCAAAGGTTCCGACAGCCTGTCCGACATTGTATAAAGACACAATAGCACCTTTATGCAACATGGTTAGACACTTCGGCTTTAAATTCAATAAATAGCAGAATATAAGCTGTAGTTCAACTAACCTGTCAAGGAGGCATTGACCCCGGTTGGGCCCAGCATAGCATATTTGAATGTGTCATGACCAAGAGTGGTTGCAATGATTCCTAGAAGCATTTCCGTCAGCTGCCATCAATCTGCCTGCTCAAGCAAAGGTTGCCCGAACCTGAATCCACGCCGTACACAAATCCCCCCAAGTGCCACCACAAGAGATATCAAAATGACGAAGAAGTTGGCCATTCTGAGTTCAAGTTGTTACTACGTAATATGATCGATGCTCATCTTTCTTCACGGGAATGTGGTTGTTTAAATAGCTGCTTCGCTTTATAGTGTCGACTTTGCCCAGATATGCTTTCCTGGAGATCGGTCATCAAACCCCGAGCGGCACCACGGTTGAGACACGCTTTTAGACAACACCCCCAGATTATTGAAGTGAAGATCCACGATTTTGTTCATCTCGCATAATTTTCCTCCACATTTCACAGCAGCCAAAGTTAGTGGAGAGCGGCCATTGGCGGCGACTATCCAATCGGAGTCCGAGAACGCCGCCCTACTCCGCTTCTTCAAGCGTTTCGGCATCAACGAATACCCCAGAGTCCTTGAATCATTCCACCTGTTTTGGACCCTAACTGTGTGCCACTCCACCCATGACTCGGGGCCTCGTGGAAACACACCCCGAGTAGGCGCTCTCCAGTCATGTTAAATATGGCCGGAGAGTCGGCTGGCGACTTAATTATCGTTTCATCATCATCAGCATCATTTTCCCTCCACGATGCCACTCATTGAAACGCCCACGGTTGAACAACATGCGACAGGGTTCGGCATTGGGACGGCCACTCCGCGTCTGTCCTGGCGATTTATCACCGCTGCTAACGACTCCCCCTCAACTGGGAACAGACAGCATACGAATTGCAAGTCGTTCGTTTGGACCGTGAATCACAGGAAGAGACCTTTCTCGTGAAGAGCAATACCTCAATTCTAGTTCCATGGCCTAGTGCCCCGCTAAGGTCGAGAGAAGTTGCTCAAGTCCGAGTTCGGGTCTATGGCGGCAGTTCTGGCCACGAGCAAGACGAAGTCTCTGAATGGTCTCCCTGGAAGGTTGTTGAGTGTGGATTGCTTGATCGCAACGACTGGAAATTTAATCCGATCGCAGCCCCAGGAGCTTCTCAGCCAGATAGTCCTTTGCGGCCAGTACGGTTTCGAAAAGAGTTTCAAATCCCCACATCAAGTTCTATTGAGAAGGCTCGCCTCTTCATCACAAGCTTTGGTGTCTACCGTGCCTTCGTCAACGGAAATGCCGTGGGCGATCAATGCCTTTCTCCAGGGTGGACGAGCTACCGTCATCGCTTGAACTACCAAACATTCGACGTGACATCACTCCTAAATCCCAACGGCCCTAATGCCTTAGCGGTGGAGGTTGCCGAGGGCTGGTATGCAACACGCCTCGGGTTTCGTGGTGGGAGAAGGCAGCTTTACGGAGATCGACTGGCAGTTATGGCCCAGCTCGAAGTCCATCAAGGATCCGACAAAGATCTGTTTTCACTCGGCACGGACAGCACATGGACTTGCACACCCAGTGCAATCATTCGAAGTGAGCTCTACGACGGCGAGACTTACGATATCCGCGAAGAGAATCCAGCCTGGAACGCTTCTGAGCTCGAGACCCGGTCGGCTCAGACATCTAGCTGGGTCCAAGTTCAGAAGCTAGACTTTCCAAAAGCAATACTGGTGGCCCCAGATGCTCCCCCTGTCCGCATAACTGAGGAGATCACTCCTATTTCAGTTCAGACGACACCGCTAGGGAAGACAGTCATTGATTTTGGTCAAAATATGGTAGGCCGCCTTCGAGTGCGCTCCATGAAACTGCCCGCCGGATCCATGTTGTCTTTCACGCACACCGAAGTGCTAGAGAATGGTGAGATCGGGACTCGACCACTCCGACACGCTAAGTGCACAGACGAGATTATCTGTGATGGTAGTGAAATCCTCAATTGGTCGCCACAATATACATTTCACGGCTTCCGTTACGTCCAGGTTGATGGCTGGGATGAGGAGCAACATGGATTGCTTCGAGACAATCTCTCAGCGCTCGTGATGCATACCGACATGACTCGTACTGGTTGGTTTTCTTGCTCTCATCCTATGGTCAACAAACTACATGAGAATGCCTTGTGGAGTATGCGCGGTAATTTCCTGTCCATACCTACAGACTGTCCCCAAAGGGACGAAAGGCTAGGTTGGACTGGAGACATTCAGATCTTTTGCTCATCAGCAAACTTCTTGTATGACACTGCCGGAATGCTTGGCGGCTGGCTTGAAGATGTATCGGCTGAGCAACTTAATGAGAACGACGGCTGTGTGCCTCCATTTGTGGTCCCCAACATTATCAGTCAAGAATTGTGGCCACATACGCCCCAAGCCGTATGGGATGATGTGGTGATTCTGACTCCCTGGGATCTCTATCGTTCCTATGGTGATATTGACATTCTTCGTCGTCAATATCAAAGCATGATCGCGTGGATCGACCGGGGTATCCGACGTGGTTCCGATGGATTGTGGGATCCCAATCTATGGCAGTTGGGAGACTGGTTGGACCCCACAGCGCCACCCATTGAACCAGGCGATGCACGCACAAGTGGAACCCTCGTTGCAGATGCATATCTTGTACATGTGACATCTGTGATCTCTCAAATCAGCGAGATCTTGGGGCACGGTCAAGACACTGCGCGCTTTAGAACCGATCATGCGAAGCTGAAAGCAATGTTCCAGGCGAAGTATATTGCGTCTTCTGGATTGCTAGTCGGTGACACTCAAACAGCTCTTAGCCTTGCCTTGATGTATGACCTTCACCCCACAACTGAAGAGGCTACGGCTGCGGCATCTCGCTTGGTTCATCTTGTGCGATTAGGGAAATTCCGCGTAGCGACCCGGTTTCGCGGGCACTCCGGTGATTGCACATGCTCTAACCAAGAGTGGGAACCCTCAGATTGCTTATCGAATGTTGCTTGAAAAGAGCCGTCCGTCATGGATGTACCCAATCACCATGGGAGCGACGACTATGTGGGAGAGGTGGGATAGCATGCTGCCAGACGGATCTATCAACCCAGGAGAGATGACTAGCTTCAACCACTATGCCCTTGGATCCATCATCAACTGGCTCCATTCCAATGTTGCCGGTGTGAGTCCTCTTTCAGCCGGCTGGAAACAGATCAAAGTGTCACCGACTCCAGGAGGCACAATAGACTCGGCTGAGGCAATTTATGAAACTCGGTACGGAAGGTTGGAGTGCAAATGGTCGGTTGAGAAAGAAGGAGGGCTCTTCAACTTAGATATCTTGGTTCCTGCGAATAGCCGCGCGCTGGTCGTACTTCCGAGCCGAGAAACTTTGGCGAAATACAAGTCTGACCCTGAAGAAGGGGTTTGGGTGGGCTCTGGACGTCACAAGTTTTCCGTGCCTTTTGAGTGGGAGGACTACTCTAGCGATTGGCCTCCTAAGCCACTTATTCCGATTATGCGAAAACCTGAGCCGGATCAGATTGCTTGAGAGTATCACCTTTAATATCAGATAGTTCATCATCGCTCTTGCGATAAGGTGAACACAATCATTGAATTTATGCCCATATAGTATAAGATGTAGGATGTGAACGTGCCTTACCGCCTTGGCAATTCGAGTGCCAAGAGGCTAATCCTGATGAGGTAACCCAAACATAAACCTGTGCAACCTGCCTAGCAACGCACTCCCCTTGATCTTTATCTTCTTCATCCGACCATCCCAGTCTATTTGTCCGATATCTGGAGATGGCATCTCTCCCGCTTCCACGTGTTGAGTCCCTGGCGGAGTCTACCTCCTTCAAACTCACCGTTCTCCCCTACCTTTCCCAGCTGCAGTATCTCCCCGCTAGCTTGCACGAAGCTGGGCGCGATCTGGGTAGCTTGAAGGATGTTTATCTTGCGACAAACCCCCTGGTCTCCGCCATTGCGATAGGGTCGGTCTTGGCTGCGCTTTTTTTTCTTGGCTGCCGAGGTCAACCGTAACTATTCGCAGGTGGACCGTTTCTGGAGTATCTTGCCAGCGGTGTACAACGTACACTTCGCCGCTTGGGCTCGCCTAGCTGGCATCCGTACCCAGTCCTTAGATACCATTGCCGTCATCACTGTGTTGTGGAGTGTATGCGCCTATCTTTCTAATCGATGTGCCACTGATCAAAGCTAAACGTAATTCTTTTGAATAGGCTCGTCTGACCTTCAACTACTGGCGCAAAGGTGGCTACCAGATCGGATCCGAGGACTACCGCTGGCAGATCGTGCGCAGCAAGGTGAACAATGTCTTCTTGTTCACCATCTTCGACTTCTCGTTCATCGCCGTCGCCCAGTCGATCCTGCTACTCCTGATCACCTGCCCCAGCTATGTGTTTGTTGTTCTCGCATATAACCAGGGCACCGAAACCTTTGGCCTGCCCGATCTCGCATTCTCTCGCGCAGCTTTCTTCTTCATCATCATCGAATACTTTGCGGACCAACAGCAGTGGAACTTCCAGACCGCCAAACAGGAGTACCAGAAGAACGCACGCATTGCAGGAGAAAACAAGGACCAGTATTCCCCTGAGGATTTGGAGCGTGGCTTTGTTGTTAGCGGACTCTGGTCTTGGTCGCGTCACCCCAACTTCGTCGCCGAGCAGGCCGTCTGGATTACCTTGTACCTCTGGGCCTGCTACCGTACCGAGACCTACTTCCAGTGGGCCGGACTCGGCGTTGTTGGATACATGATGATCTTCCAGGGCAGCACCCGTCTAACTGAAACTATCAGTGCTGGCAAGTACTCTGAATATGTGGAGTACCAGGCTCGCGTTGGCAGATTCCTGCCCCGTCTATCTGCCGAAGCCTCAAAGCCCAAGAAGGCCGCTGCTCCGTCTGAGGAGGAGCAGGTTGATGACAAGAAGAGCAACTAGATGTGGACGGATGAGTTTGAACTAGCTACAGCCGATGCTATCTCCTTGGAAGGTCTTTTATTTCATTATTCTACCAGATATCAAATTTTGCGAATTCATTTAATCTTTTTTGCAACTTGAAGATCCAACTTCATACCGGAAAGAAAGGCATTTGCTATTTAAATAATTCAAGTCACGGCGTCTTCTCTTGGAAGTTATCATTTGATGGAACGTCAGTTTCGGTGATATGTTTGGCCCTGGCGTTTGCTTTACCCTGTCATCTGTCAATGAAAACATTCGAGTCCCACCTATCTGACTGCATCTAGTAATGAGAAACGACATTGTTTTGTGGACAGTCTGTAATTCGAACACGGTTTGATCAGGCTTGTAGTTACGTACCCAAGTCACTACCAAGGTAGATACCCCGTAGGTGAGACTAGATTCTCTCATACCTAGGTAGCTTCCATGAATGGATGCAAATATTACCATCGTTTTTCGTTGGATTTGAAGAGGAATCAAACTAAAAACATGTTTCAAAGTTTCCTATAGTACAATTTCTGCGAAGGTAGAAGCATTGAAACCCCAACTTGAGATGGAGGCAGAACGGACACACGAGAAGATAAAAATCTCTTCATATTTAGTCGCGACATGGTAGAAAGGAAGAAGGGAGTTGTTTGTAGAGAGACACAATAAAGAGGTAGGAGGGGGGATTTGAGAGAAAAAGAAAAGTGAACAGTAGATAGGAAAGGGGATGCAGATCGATAAATACAAAAAAAAACCAAGGACACGGTGATATCACACTCCCTGCAAAGACTGAAACGAGCCCGCCAAAAAATGCAGACAAATCACGAAAGAATCCATCACACTGAGCCGTCTATCATGGCAAAGGAGTCTGATCCTTGCCCGAGGCCTCATCTGGGTTCTGAGTTGGCTCGGGGGGAGCAATGGTCGCACCACCCTTACCGTCGAAGTACTTGGCAAACTCGCCAGACTCGGGGTAGGGGCGCGGGCCAAGGAGGCGGATCAGATCATCACGACCAAGGACCTCCTTTGACAGAAGTTCCTCGGCGACAATGCCAACCTCCTTCTTCTTCTCAGTCAGAAGAGTGTTGCATTGTTGATAAGCCTCATCGATGATGCGGCGGACCTCAATGTCAATGCTGCGGGCAGTGTCTTCAGAGAAGGGCTTCTGGATCTGTTGTCCGTCTTCTTCGTAGTGGATGAATCCAAGCTTCTTGGACATACCAAATTTTGTGACCATGGCAGTAGCCATGCGAGTGACCTTGTTGAAGTCGTCACTGGCACCGCTGGTTACAGTATCGAAGTGGAGCTCCTCACTGACACGGCCACCAAGGGTCATAGCCATGCGATCCATGAGCTGGTTGGTGTTCATCAAGTAGGTATCACCACCAGCAGGAAGGTATTGAGCATAACCCAAGGCACCCTGGCCACGGGGGATAATAGAGACCTTAAGGAGCGGATCGGCCCACTTGAAGTACCAACCACAGATAGCGTGGCCAGCCTCGTGGTAGGCAACTGTTCGCTTCTCCTCGGGGGACAGCACGAGGGACTTCTTCTCCAGACCACCAATGACGCGCTCAATGGCCTGTTCAAAGTGCTTCATGACGACTGTATCAGCGTTCTCACGAGCAGCTAAGAGGCGGAGTTAGCATTGATCTGAAAAATTAATAGTGTGCTGGTTTACTTACCAACGAGAGCAGCTTCGTTCACGCAGTTGGCAATATCAGCACCAGCAAATCCAGGGGTCAGAGCAGCAAGTCTGCCCTCAAGGTATTCCATGTTCTCATTGGTGACAATCTTCTTCAAGTGAACGCGGAAGATCTGCTTACGGCCATCCATGGTGGGACGGTCGATACCAATGTGTCGGTCGAAACGGCCAGGACGCATGAGAGCCTTGTCAAGAACATCGGGTCGGTTGGTACCAGCGAGGACGACAACTTGCTCAGAGGTATTGAAGCCATCCATCTCAGTCAAGATTTGGTTGAGAGTGCTCTCGCGCTCATCGTTACCGCCGCCGAAGTTTTGCTTCGCTCGAGACTTTCCGATAGCATCGATCTCATCAATGAAGATAATACAGGGGGTGTTCTTCCGGGCGTTTGCGAACAGATCACGGACACGAGAGGGACCGACACCGACAAACATTTCGACGAATTCGGAACCACTGACACTGTAGAAAGGCACGCCAGACTCGCCGGCGGTAGCCTTGGCGAGTAAAGTCTTACCAGTACCAGGAGGACCAGAGAGGATAGCACCACGGGGAATCTTAGCACCGAGCTTCTGGAACCGTTCCGGCTGTTGCAGGAAGCTGACGAATTCCATGATCTCAACCTTGGCCTCGTCCATACCGGCGACATCAGCGAATTTGATCTTGATATCAGTCTCATGGTTGAACTTCTTGGCACGGCTCTTGCCAATGCCGAAAATTCCGCTCTGGCCACCGCCACCAGCACCGGCACGGCGGGAGAACCAGAAGATACCACCGATCAGGAGTAGGGTAGGAGCGAAAGACATAATGGCACTGCCCCAGGGAACTTCATCATGATAGGCAACGGGAATCCGCTCCCCAGAGGGAATACCAAGTTCATATTGAGCCTGCTCCAGCTTCATTTCGAAGCTTTCAACAGATCCAATGCTGAATTGCACATGCGAGACGGGTTGGCCATTGGAGTCTGGGTACGCTTGAGCCGAAGCCTCACGGTTGAGATCGACCCGAACGCGGCTGCGGTTCAGAACGGTCAATTTCTCCACCAGGCCCTTTTCCAGGTAGTTGGCACGGAATTCCTGCCAGGTGATCTCGCTCACACTAGAATCGCCGGGGAAGAAGCTGCGGTAGACGTAGTATGTGACAACTGAAGTGATGAAGAAAGAGGCGGGATCGAAACGGAACTCGAAGACCTTCGCACCGGGGGGGGAGCTGGCTTCCTTTCTTTTCCTTCTTTCCCTGCTGCTTCTCTTTCTCCTTCTCTTGCTCTTCCTTGCTCTTCTGCTCTTCCGTCTTCTCCTCCTTGGTATCCTTCTCGCCCTCCTTTTCCGGCTGCTGTTGGCCCTTCATCTTCTTAAGGTCCTCGGGGGGGATTTTCATGTCCCGAGCTACTTCTTCCCGAGCCATCTTGTCGGCATGCTCATTGGCGTACTTGAACAACCACCGTACCATTCTGAGGTAATCCATTAATGAGGCATCCTTATAGTTTGTCATGAATTCTTTTAATTCAGAGGGCAGGCCGTTCTTCATGAAGTGCTTCCGGACTTGTTGGGTTGACTCATGCTGCGACTCCGGGATCCGCGACTCAATGTGTTTGATGAACTCATCGAGTTGTTTCTGTTCCGTCTCGGTCAACTTCGATTCGGACTTGTTCGGATCCGCATCTTTGCGGCCATCGTTCTCCGGGCCGTTCCCGCTGGACTGAGGATTCTGGGATTTGTTGTCGGGGGGAGTCGGGCCACCAGGACCTTGTGTGGCGAATCCCCGGACACGGTGCGATGTAATTAGGGACGAAAGCTTCGATTGAGGGAGTCGCACGGAGGACGGTCCAATCCGGCCGATGGAGTCAGTGGCTCTCCTCGAGAATCGAGCAAGGTTGCCTGGTCGCCTTAAGAGGGCGGCCATGGTCGAGGATTAGGGAGCCCAAAGGGCTGATAGGGCGGGAGGGAAGGGTGATCAATCGGTTTCGGTTGCGATGGACGACTTCGCGCAATCCATAGGTGGAATTGGAGGTGCGGTGGGAAGCTCTCACGCCTGCGGCCAGGTTCGGCGCATCGGGTTTTCTGCCGTTCCGGTTCTGAGTCACGTGGACATCGGAACCCGGTCGAATCGAGTGGAGGGTGGATTTAGCGGTGTTAAGCCATAGTTACTTGGCATAAGAAATTACATTGCACATGATGAAGACAAAGAGGGATATGGAGATAAGTGTTTCTCACTATACATGAAGAGGAGATATGTAGTACTATGGTAGTATGATGGGGGATTGGGGAACACCCGTTCCATGAACCAAGGAAGAAAATTATGAACTCCTTGTAGCTCCCGCTTTTTGTAAACGCCGTAATAAATGAACCATTAAATGCCAGCCTATCATTTCATTCTTTGATCATGATCATTGAGGCTGGCCATTCGAGCCAACACCGCCAGATTCAAAAATGGGGAAATTTGTAGACATATCTGCCCAGTCCCATTCAATCGTCATTGGCATTTGCCATAAATCCTGGGGAACGAATGGTTGCTGGAACGATCCGATATTTGGACTGGCATCATAAGAGCCTGGGTCAGAGAAAGGAACATTGCCGAACTGCTCTGGGCTAAGCATATCTGGGAACTCTTGCCCAAGACCAGGCATAGTATGAATGTTACTTGGGAGATCATTAGGGAGGCCAGTATTTGAAGGAATAGAAGGGTCGTTGCCAAACTGTTTAGCATGGTGGGTCGAGGTAGCGGGGTTGTTGGCAAACATGGATGGAGAGAAAGGACCGGAGGTAGAAGGTGCTTGTTGCGTTTTGGGCCTTGGGGATGTTGCGGTCTGTGCTTCATTTGGCTCGCGCTGTGATTGATCAGACTCATCAGGCGCAGTCTTTCGCTTCTTTCGTGCGTGTGATTCTCTCTCAGCCTTGTCGAGGACCACTTTGGCGATTCTTTCGAACTCTCCACAGAGCCCAAGCATGCGTTTGATGCTTCCGTTGGATTCATCAGAAACCAAGGTAGACAAGAAGTTGACCACCACATTCATCAACTTGATGTCGGAGCGTGCACGGGCATCGCCGGGATTTTGAAGGATATTAGCGAAGAGTGTCACAAGTGCAGATACCGGGTAGTAGAGGATCAACCTATAATAGGTTTATATTAGCAGACGAGGGTGGCAAAGAGACATACAAAGAACTTACCAGACGCAAGCAAAATCTCCCTGAGGAATATACTTGATCAGATTAATCGAAGCTCTTGCGGCCGTCACGCAGAGAACGGCTGAGAGGAAGACCCTGGGGTTCAAAGGTCGAGCATTCAAGCCTTGAATCGCATAATTTGACAAGCGGCTTGTCCAATAGCCATGATGCACGGACATGCGGTGGATCGTAGTTAGGCAGTTGTAGTATGAGAATTGAAGAACAACGACGTGAAGAAGAAGAGGGCCGTGGGTGACTTGAATTTCATGTTCGGGGCGGAAGTCGACAGGGATGTTGTCTTTCCAATCCTCTAGTTCCTTGTCAAGCTCACCAATGGTATTCAGTAGTTCCCCATCGGATTGTTTAGAGGCCTTGGCCGAGTAAAGCCTCTTGTAAACACTGCTTTCTATGGTTGCAAATTCACAAAGAGACCTGAAGAGATTGAATTTGCCCTTGCCATCAGCAAGTGGGACATTCCCGACATTGTCAGGTGGGTCTTCGCTGGGAAGTTCAACATTCATGTCATCATCGTCCTGTACAGGGGGTCTCCCAGATCGAAGACAGATACTATTTCGCAGTTAGTAAAGTACGAATGCATGATGATGAGGCCACAAACTCTTTATCAAGGCAGTATGCGATCCAGAACACACGTTTCCGCTGTTCCACTTCGACTGGATTGAGCCCGAAGCCAGAGCCGCGTTTGTGCAGCCCAATGCTATGGGATAGACGAATTGCTGCGGCGACAAGGAAAAAGGCTGGTTGGGGATTAGGTGTACCCTGAAGGAAAAGTGACTGCGATTATGTTAGAGGAACCCGGTTGGGGAAAACTCAATTGGAGAATACTAACCATGCCCAACAACGCCTGAACACTCAAAAGATCCGTATTTCGCATTGTCAATTCAGTCAAAACCCCCATAGCGTTCTTCAAGTACAGCCACGCTTTCTTATCTTCCTCGTGAGGAACCAGGTTGCTCATCACCCGAAGTCGATGTGAGATAGCGAGGACCACATTGATACTGGCCCACCAACCAGAGCCTTCATAAGGATCACGCGAATACTGTTTTTCCACAAGATGCATGAACGTGGCCTCATGGAACAATGGGAACACGCAATTGAAATTCTCAAAAAAGTCCTTGAAAAGAGAAAGTGCCTCTTCCTTCGGTGGAAGGGGCTTGAAAACCCGTCGAGCGAATATATCGCTGAAGATCTCAGGTTTCCAATACATCCACTTGTTATCATCAACGTAGGCGGACGAGATCATGTCTTGGAATGAAGTGTCGCCGGTCTTTTCGTTGACCCATTGGATGCCCTTTGGAGAGAAGATGGAAAATCCGGACGAGGAGCCTATATAGATTGGTTAGGAAGGAACAAACATCTCTGATGAAGAGTATAATATACCGATGTATCGGGTCTCGCCGCAGTTGTTAGTCACAAGCGAGCACATCATGTCTGATAGTGCCTCCACCTCGGTCTCTGACTCCTTTTGTGACTCCGGGGATGTAGCAGCTGTTCGCGGGCTCGAGCCCGAATCCATGTGCGGTGTCGTATTGTGAGAGGCGGGCGCGGTTTGCTGGGTTGCACTCGGGGTTGTAAACTTATTCGTAGTTCTCGCAGCGTTTAAAGCGTTCGTCCGATCTGCCAGTCGTTTTTCGAGTGTTCCCAGATCGGTTTTGCCATTGTCGTCCTCGGAAAGAAGCCCCGACAACCGTAGGAGGGACTCCATGCGACCCAGGCGGTTCTCCAACCCTTCAATATATTTGGCACTGCGCAGCCCATTAGATATTTACATTCTCCGACATAGATTCTAGCCTTTGGCGATGCAACATACCCTTTGGGGGGGATTCCGTTTCTTTTCAACCTGAGTGAAAACACAATCCGTCTTATAGTTGCTGCAGTGCGAGCACTTGGGCATCTTGCCGTCGCACTTGATCTTCTTCTTCCGGCACATATCGCATGCCTACAAGCGAGGGTGTTAGCCTCGACATGAAGGGTAGGGGAGCATTCCAAGTAAAAGATGCATACTCGAGCAATTCTTCGTCGTTTCGCCTCATTGGTCTCATCCCCCGCGCCCAATGCCGAATCGTCCGCGTACATAGACCCCGCAGACATGCCGGCCATGTGCGAACCGTCGTGGGGGTAGCCACCGAAAAGTTGGGGCTCCTGGTTCATCATCATGTCAAATCCGATGCCATCGCCATCCCCCAGGCCGTCCATTTTGAGAATGATGTTCTTTTTGCTTCCTGCTTTTTCGCGCGCTGGGACTTCCGCGGAGTGGAGTCGAGAGGAGAGGGCGGTGTTAGGTAAGAAGCTGCGGGGCTATCAGACGTCTCGGAAAGGCGTTTTTCCCGGAGGTCACCCTTGAGGCGGTCGTTGTGAGAAGAGGGTCAGGAGTTGGGGGAATCGTCGAGGTCGGTTCCAAATGGATGACGCATGTAACGGAACAAGGCGAAAAGATAATAGTCTTTCGACGAAAGAAGGTTGTTACTAAGGACCCGCTGAGTCAACCTAGTGCGAATGCGAATGCGAATGATATACGGAGTACGGGATCTAGCGTCAAAGAAGTTGCCTAAAAGTAAGATATAGGGGTAGTTTAATCTAAACCTCCAGTAGAACGCAAAGTCTGCTGCCTCAATCACGAGCCAAGAACGGGATGTGGCGGTGCGGCGCGGATGTGATGAACTCCGTCCGATCTTTTCGTCCGTTCGGCGCCGAATCCATCTGGTCCCGCTATCAATCAGGTACAAAGTGGATGACCCCGTGGAGTCTCCGGGGGAAAGGGTACGTACCTGATGGATTTTCATTTGGTGCTTTTGTGACTAACGTTTACACTTTTCTTCTTTGATCGGAGGAAGATCCTTAATACATACCTGTGGTCCTGTGGGGTAATGGTAGTACAACCCTCGAGCCCAAAAAAACTTGGTGGTTGACGGAGGACGGAACACGGAGGATGTGCACCGACTGCCGAGACGTCCCCCATGCATTGCATTGCTGGAACGAAAAGGCGATCAGCGGTCTCATGATTAATGACCACTTGCTGATCCTGGGTACTTTCGGGTGCAAACGGGTTATTTGAAAGGTATGAATGTCAATCAAGAAAATAGTATATAATATTGAGAATAGTACAGTCAAGGAGGAGTGGCGATCTCGTATGAGTATATGACACATGTGCATAGAGTACAGAAAGATTGTGGGCAAAACGGTCTGTTCTGCCCATCAACCTGGGAAATATCAACCAAACGCCACGCTATGGACCCAGAATCCAGCCAAGATGTCTCGGTGCTTGCATCGCTGCAACGTCGGGCGCCGCGGGCCCGCGGGCCCAGGAGACAAGCATCCTATCTTGGCCGGAAGAAGGGGACGATGTTCAAAACGACCAGAAACCGGGTGAGCAATGTTCAGACATGCTTTTCAAGAAATTCTTTGGCTTCGTTGATCTTCGTGGCCAAGTATGGGCTGCCGCCTCGGTCGGGGTGGTTGAGCAGCATAAGTTGACGGTGCTTCTTGGTGACCTTGTCCTTGGTCAATTTGCGCTCACTATCAATGGGAAAAAATGGTTAGAATCGTCAATCTATATAAGACCAAGGTGGCTCAACCCGGGAAAACATACGAAAGCTCGAGGATCAAAGAGGCCTCGCGGCGGTTCATGCGTGGCTCGAAACCTCTGTACAGCGAGTTAGCAATCTCAAATCCAGTAGCACTTAGATATCCAAAGCATCAAACGAACCCTTTGAAGAAAGC